CTAACTGTCCCCTATACATGGTCTCCTGGGCAAAAAACCAACATGATATACACAAATATTAGTTACAGAAGAAACGTGACATTGTAGAAAATAGGTTTATCTTTCATCATTGAAATTCAGATCTTCTATTTGGTGATACAAAATTCCTTTGTTTAACCTTCATCATTATCTAAATCTCCCCCATCAGCTGTTTGAAGGACACCCCCCCCCCTCCCTCTTTTCCCTCTTACTATTGATCTAGCTCTAGATCTAAAAGATTCAAGATTCTCCTCATCACTGAAGCTCTCATAGTCTGTGGCAGTTGAACTGGAAACATATTCTTGTTGAAATTCTGACTCCTCAGCGTCTGAATCAATGAAAGTATCGATCACCTCTTGGACTGTGAGAAGCCTACATCTATTTTGCTTTCCTGTTGAAATGCTTGCTTCATCAGCCGCTCATTTCATTGTGAATGTTCAAAAATTTTTCACATTAAACAACACAAATACAATTTGCAATGACTAACCATGAGGTTTGACCACGACTGGTTGGTTATAATTAGTTTGTGATGCATTTTTTGTCACGTAGTACACAAAGTACCAAAAAATAGGTACAGCGGTTTAGCGGCAGATTAGGGTATTGCAGAAAAAGCGTTACAGCGGTTTGGTAGAGTTAATTTATCAGAAATCTTCATGTGTCTAACATCACTGAAGGTAGTGTAATTTTTTATTTTATTTTCCAATGCTGATGCTTAATTTGTTTAGGAGTATTCTGTATTGATTTCTCTTTAATTTGATACATTATTGTCACTATACAAAACACACGTTTTCTTCAGGAAGGCTTTGGCTTTTTCATGCTGCAGCTAAAAAATATCAGCTGTAAATTAAATCAATCTAAACCACAGAAAAAAAAGGCTGTCCTGAAAGAGTAAATAATTATCATATGTATGACTACACACTTCTCTACTTGATGGCTGAGTGAGCATCTTTTCTTTTGTAACTGTCAGATGTATGACAATGTAGCAGCTCTGAGGTTTCAAAAAAGTCCAAATGCTCCTAAAGACATGATTGTGACTGCAATGATCTCTGCCGAAAAAGAGGTCATGGATTTTAAAGGAAGTATAGCTGCCAGCGACCGTGTTGAAGTGTGGATGACTGCAGTCCTGCATGAAATGAGACGAACAAACAGATTAATTACTAAAGAAGCCATCTATTATTACAGTTATCAGAAAACTAGGTAAGGCAAGTTTCATCTAAGTTGTTTAACTTGTTGTTGTTTTTTGGGGGGGGGGGGGGAGCTGGAAAGTAAAGGCGACAAACTAGTTGTTAGCTGCATGACATCTAGTGCTAATAAGTCTATGAGTCTAGAACCATATGCCAGATGCACTAATGATGTTGAAAGTTTCCTTTGCTGTTTTATTACTTTATGAGAGGCAGTCACAGTTTAGCCCCTGTAGTGAATAGATGGGTTGAGGCAAGGCATGGGTTTGTTTTAAATTCATGTTTGTATACAGGACATGTCATTCTGCACCAGGTTCAGTGTGTGAGAATCACTTTGTAGATGTTGTTTTAATGTTGAATGTTTAATTAGGAACCAACATCACAGCATTCTGGGACATTCCCATAGGTGCTCTATTCCTGTCTTGAGCAGCAAGTGCAGCTTTCCAGTTCTGATAGTACTATAACAGTCTGATAGTATATCCATCACACCTCTCCCTCTGGGTGTAGAGCATCGGCTAGATCCCGTGGTCGCACCATTCTCCACAGACCATGATGATCCACCTGTGCTTCTGCACTGTTAATCCCTAAAGGGCATTTACAACATCTAGCTTGTCATGAATTAGTTTACCACCAAATTATGCAGAACCAGCATTTATCTGCATGTTCATTTTCTAGCATGCTAGCATGACTTGGAGAAAATATCCAAACGCTAATTACCCAGGACCTGTGAAGCAATGCTTGCCACACTGTATGAAGCATGACTTTCCACTATTCTCAACATACTCCCTGATTGAGTTACAATTACAGCATGTGTGTGCACTTTTTCTAAAGCAGCAGAAGGTGGCAGTGACTCCCTCACCCTCCATTCTCAAACCAGATGTTTGGTGTCATAATCCAGGCTTTCTTGCTCTTAGCGACATTCATTTACTTTTGCTACCCCCCCCCCTTTTTCATAAACTTTGGCCACCTCTTAACACAGAACCATCTGTATAAATAATCACATCACCAGAGCTAGAATTGCCATGAATCTTTTGTTGAACTTCTTATTCTGCAGCGCCTGCTGCGCCAGTCCCTGCATTCACCGTCCACAGTGATTGAGACCCTACACAAGTATGACTGTTGCTCGGACACTTTGACCCACTCCTCTCCTTGCTTAAATTTATGAAGCTTGCATGCATGTCTAACTGTGCACCATCCAAGACCTTTCTCTTTTCAGCTATGACCATTAGCTTTATCTAGGGCTTTATGCAAGAGGTGCTTCTTGCCTGTGGCTACTCTGAGATAGGATAGCACTATGATCCTATCTGTAATAGTCGGCAGTGCAAATATATATCACATACATACTACTTGCTTGTCTCGTATATATCCAAGAATTAAGTTCAACTTGGTGTATGTCCTGTTTAGATGCAAACAATTTTGCTTGGTAAATGACCTGTGTGCTAGAACTCGTATTAGTCAAAATTAGTCATGACACCGCACATCTTTGTTTACCAACTCTCTGCAAAGCAATGACTAGAAATCAGTGACTTTTCAGAGAAGTAACACACTTACAAATCTCAGACAAGCTGCATTAGCATCTGAAATGATACCACGTTTACAAAGCCCAAACAAGCTGCAGTAGCATTGTCTGAAATGACAACACGCTTACATAGCCAAACAAGCTGCAGTCGCATTGTCTGAAATGACAACACGCTTACATAGCCAAACAAGCTGCAGTCGCATTGTCTGAAATGACAACACGCTTACATAGCCAAACAAGCTGCAGTAGCATTGTCTGAAATAATAACACGATTACAGTCTGGATTCAAACAAGCTGCAGTAGCATTGTCTGAAATAATAACACGCTTACATAGCCAAACAAGCTGCAGTAGCATTGTCTGAAATAATAACACGCTTACATAGCCAAACAAGCTGCAGTCGAATTGTCTGAAATGACAACACGCTTACATAGCCAAACAAGCTGCAGTCGCATTGTCTGAAATGACAACACGCTTACATAGCCAAACAAGCTGCAGTCGCATTGTCTGAAATGATACCACACTTACAAAGCCCAAACAAGCTGCAGTCGCATTGTCTGAAATGACCAGACAGTGTCGCATTTCTGAAACACCTGAGGAAAAGGCAGAAGCAAAGGGAAAAAAGTGACTTGGAACTTGAGCGAACTGAAATTCAGTGACCGTCTCAGAACGAAATTATGTGTGAATACTGAGGTATCAGTGTGTGTGTGTATGTGTGTGTGCGTGAGGGCTTGCTTGGGTGCATATTTTCAAGTGTGTGTATGTTTGTGTGTGTGTGTGTGAGATAGATGGGTGGATGTGGGAAAGAGATATAGTAGTAATATTGTCAATGACAGTAACTGACGTATACATCCACAGCGATGGGGATGGTGTGAATTTTAACTGGTCAGTTGGTTAGTAAACTGGGCTATCATGTGACATACCTGGGTTTTAGTGCTTTAAAAAATTATGTTTTTTTTTTCTTTCTGTCACTGGCAACAAATTAAAATCCTTACTTGCACAGTTTGTGGCAACTGCACTAGCCAGGGTACCCTAACTCCTCAACCTCAGGACCTCCCTGTCTACACTGCACTAACAAAAAGTAAACATAAACAGTCAAGACATTTCTTTTTGATTCTTTCAGTACCAAAATATTTTGTAGCACATGATCCAGGGAGGCCTTAACTACAATGTAAAAAGTGTTGTAGCGCATGATCCAGGGAGGCCTTAACTACAATGTAAAAAGTGTTGTAGCACATGATCCAGGGAGGCCTTAACTACAATGTAAAAAGTGTTGTAGCACATGATCCAGGAAGGCCTTAACTACAATGTAAAAAGTGTTGTAGCGCATGATCCAGGGAGGCCTTAACTACAATGTAAAAAGTGTTGTAGCGCATGATCCAGGGAGGCCTTAACTACAATGTAAAAAGTGTTGTAGCACATGATCCAGGGAGGCCTTAACTACAGTGTAAAAAGTGTGAATATAAGCCTTTCAAAGAGGCAAATACACAGTGCCACATGTTGACATAAAAGTCTATGGTAAAGCACCAGCAAGGAGATAAAAATTAGAATTTTGAGAGCATTCATCTTTCCTGTGGCTACATACGGATGTGAGTCGTGGACTATCTCTTAGTCCTTAAGAAAGAGAATAGGGGCTTTTGAGCTGAAATGCTATAGAAAGATTCTCAGAATATCTTAGACAAAGAAGATAAGAAATATTGACATCTTAAAAGATCTCAACATCAAAGAAGATTGGCTAATAAACAGCATCCTTTCTCGAAAGCTGAAATATTTTGGTCATATCAAGCGCCACGACAGATTGGAAAATATTATAGCAGAAGGCATGGTACCAGGAAGGAGGTTCAGGGGCCGACCGACATGAAGATGGGCACAGGATATAAGTGACTCCTTGAGTGTGAAAGTGCATGAGGCGGGAGAACTGGCGAGAGACCGAGTTTCTTTCAGGCAGACTGTGATGAGAGCGACATTCTGCAAAGGACCTGCTACATGATGATGATGATGACATGTCTAACAAAATGTATCTGGCATGCTTAATTCAAATCATAAAGGTTCAGTAATAAACATTGTGTTGCTTTATAATTATAGGGACTAATGAATCTCACATGATGGATTGCTTAGGATGCAAGTAGTTAAAAAATAAATTATCTCTTTCTGCACTTATTATACCAGTTTTTCATTGCGGTGTAAAGCAGGTTATTTTTAAAAAAATTATATACAGATAAAAGCCAAAATGCAAGTGTAATCTCTTGAAAGATATGCTAACAATATTTTTCTGTTTGCACAGAGCTAATTGGATGCTGGACTACCAGGGGATGGTGTGTCTTGCAGCCAGCCAGGTGTGGTGGACGTGGGAAGTGGAGGATGTGTTCAGAAAAGTCAAGAAGGGGGCTAAAACGGCACTGAAGGACTATGCCAAAAAGATGCACACTCAGATTGATCAGCTGGTTGTCAAGGTCAGAAGACTAGAAAACTGTTGTCATGTTTTTGAAGACCTGCACAGACACATCAGGGCTGAACTGAAAGAGCATGATGTTGGGCTGGGTTGATCTGGGACTTCAATCTCATATCCAAATTCACCCAGTCTGGATTCAGAATCAGAACCTTATGACCGACAGGCTAGATTCCAATCACCACACTACCGATTCCAACCACAACATTACCGATTCCAACCACCACACTACTGAGTCTCCCAAACAATTGCAAAAAACGTATAAAAGCTTAAATAAGAACAGATAAATGTTACGTGAATACCTGATTCTCCCTGTGTGGGTCCTGGGCCCCATTGTGGGGAAAAATTGGGACGGTGTATGTGTGTGTGTGAGAGAGAGAGAAAGGGGAGGGGAGATGGATGGACAAACAGAGAGAGAGAAATATATCTACTGCACTCTAACAAGCATGTTGTAGATGTCAACTAATTAGGGATATTTGTTTCAAAGTCATTGTGCATACGCCTGAGAGGCCAGGAGTCAACAATTCACACATAGTTAATCCAAATGTTTAAGATGGATATACATGACAAAACTTGAGTTCTGGAACAAGTCTAAATTCTAGAAGTGAATCAACAACTATAACTTTCCACTTGAGTTTACAGCCAGTGAACACAAACAAGAAGAAGGGGAAGGTGAAGAAAAGCACTTATTTAAAAATATTTCTTATGTATCTATATGTTTCTGATCGTTCTGACATTTTCCTCTGTATATCTACAATTGTTTCACAGATTCGATCTAACTTACCAAAGAATGACAGAAAGAAATACAACACTGCCCTGATTGTAGATGTACATGCACGCGACATCATCGATGGATTTGTGAGAGACAGGTGAGAATATTGTCATCATGCAAGTGGGAGGGGAGATCCTCTATCCTTTACAGTCGGCATCGGATAGATCTTGAGGGTCACTGGAAATCAAACCCCTCTACCACACCAAGGCAGATCATAACCTCAAATCGACTTGCACTATTCTATCATTTGCCATGTTTTGCAGCTTACTATGCCAGCCCCATTTCATTTAACTGACTCTTATTTTCTGTGTGCTTATTGCCTCCCTTTCACACCCCTTTTAGACTGGTTTTTTTTGTTTCTTGTGTTCCTGAAGCAATTTACAGAAGTTTACAAAATTAGGTAGCCAGCCCCAAGGCTTGAATGTTGAATTAGGAATCTGCATCACAGCACTCAGGACAATCCTATAAGTGCTCTGTCTCCATCTTGATCTAGTGCAGAGTTCCAATTCTGAAGGCACCAGAAACAGTCGCATTGTACACTCATCCCACCTTTCCCTTGAGTGTTGAGCAGATCCCCAGATCACTCCTCGCTACACTACTCTATTGAGACTGTGATCTATGTGTGCTTCCACACTGCTCACTCGCTCCCTAAGGACCCTTATAATGTCATGCTTGTCATGCATCCATTCACCACCAAGTGATGCAGAATTAGTCTATCTACCTGTTTGTTTCCAGTACACTGGCATGACCTGAAGAAAATATCTAAAGGACGTTAACTACCTGCAACCTCTTAAGTGATATTTGCCACTCTGCATGGAGCATACCTGTCTCCACTTTTCTTAACATGCCCAGTGAGTCATTTACAGTTCCGTCATGTGTGTACATACAGCTGGTTCTAAAGCCAGCGGAAGGCAAGGCTTCATGAGGTTTAAACAACGGATCAACATCATGGCACATGAGTAGTAACCCATAAGTGCTACGTTCTTCTTCTAACTTAAGTCTGAGTCCGAAGAAGCCCAGCACAGTACACAGTCTCTGTAGCACCGGCAAGGATCCTGAAATACTTTGAGTATATTTTCAAGTCGAAATTTTGCCTGGATAGCGTTGTAAGGCTTCTTTTTTTCTATTTCCAACTGCCAAGGGATTTTTTACGTGCGCAAAAATGCACACGAGCGTCCAATCTCACTACACAGAGACCAGGAAGAATTACTAGATGAAAAAATCCAAACCCTTACCGGGGAATGAACCCGGAACCTCTAGCACTCGAGGCTGACACCATTCCTCGAGACCACGCAGCCCCCAACAGGCTTGATGAAGAAAATTAAAACAAAAAAGAACAACATTCGACTCTTTTGATATCAGTTCAAAAACTGCATGTGTATTAGTAAATAAGGAGTACAGTGTTTTTGTGTGTGGTTGTTATACTACTGATGGATCAGGCATATTATGATAGACTCTTTTTTTGTATAGACCAGTCAGCCCTCAGGTGATCATGTCAGTTGCCTTGACTTTCCAGAACACTACCAATTTCTGTCTTGTATGTGGTATACATTGTGTAATGTTTTTCTCTTATTATGTTTTGTTTGCTTATTATATCCAAATTGCTGCTTTTACTTGGTCTGCCATTGTAGTTGTAATATTTTAACTAATTACATCTCAGAACGGAACGGACTTTCTACCCCACTAGGACATCTCACAAGCGATAAACACCCGATGACACAAAGTGCCACCATGTGGATGAGAATCACCGTGGAGAGGTCCCAGAAACCGCGTTCAGACAATTGGCCATATTTATGGCCTGCCTAACTTGCGGCCCCTGGCAAAAGCCAGAGTGGGGCTTCAAATAACAAAAAATTACGTCCTAAAAAGGACGTAAGGAATAGAGTAAGATATTACATCTCAGGCATTCTTACTCAATTATAACCTAAAAAGTGTTGTAGTAAAGACATCATAGGACTGAATGAGTTAGCATCCTTTTATCTTCTTTCTGCTTTTTCAAACCCCATTTGAGCATAGGCGCTCGATCAACTCACGCCAAGTCATGATATCCTTCACTGTTGCATGTAGTTCTCCCCATGTCCTCCTTATCTTTTTGACTTCACTCTCTAGCTTCCTTCTTCAGGTGTTTTTTAGGTTTCCCTTACTTCTGTGCCCCTGTAGGTTCCAGTGCAAAGACATTCTGTTTATATTGTTTTCAGGTTTTCTCAACGTGTGTCCTGTCAAACGCCAGCGTCTTTTCTTTACCTCTTGGTCCGTCTGAACTTGTTTAGTTCTCACCCATAGTTCTGTATAAGGTATTGTTTCATACCATTTAACTACCTCTATTCTGTGCAAGCATCAGTTAGTGACTGTTTGTAAAAAAAGTAAACTAAAGGACCCTTTTCCACCCCTTTAGGTGTATAGGGTTATGGGGCTAGACCTATATTTTATAGACCAATCGGCACAAGATGGGTGATGTGGTCAGCATCACGCCTGCTTCTTTTACTTCCTGGGACTGCACTCGGTACCCACTCAAGGCTGGGTCGACCTGGGAGATGACTGTTTGTAGTTTATTATTAATTGCCTTAGCAATTTAAAAGGCATGACATTCTTATTAAGATAAGGGATTTGAAGGCAGACAAGAAAGAAGTTGACGGTCACAAATTGAAGGACAATATCAAATGCTGGATGAACCAGCATCCTGGCATTGAGGAGAACTGGCTCATAAACAGCATACTGTCCAGAAAGCTGAGGTATTCTGGCCATGTTAAACCTCATGAGGGCCTGGAAAGAACAATTATGGAGGGTTGTTTCTGAAAAGTGAGGCAGATGCAGCCCTCCATGAAGGTGGATAAAAGACGTTATAGATTCACTGGTTATGAAAGCATAAAGGCCTGGAGAAATTGCTCAAAAAAGAGTCTTTCAAACATAGAATGCCAAGAGTGACACTCTGTAAAAGAACTGCTGATGGATGATGATGATGCATAAACCACCTTCTGAGATAGTGCAGAACGGGTACAAGAGGCAAACAATTAGAGATCCATTGCAGCCAACTTTTGTTGTGGAGATGGCACTTGATTAATGATGATCCTAAGTCCAACTTGGTAATGGTTTGCTTCTGGTTATGTTAGATATTCTTGATCTGAATTAATGTACAGTGGTTTAATAATTATTTAGTAGCGGTTTATAAATTATTATCATCAAGCACCTTTTTGACTGATTTGTGCGATCGTGTCCCTCCACAATTTCTAGTCAACAACAGCATGTATCAATTTATGTGCTGACATCCCTCTGTGCTATAACAAAAAAACTGTCAAGAATCTTCTTGTGTTGTCTCCTTCTGTCTCTTTTTCCACAGATCTTTCCAATGGTCACACCTTCCGTTTTCCTTCTTCTCATAATAGCTCTCCGGTGGCTAAAGAACAATTTGCATACACATGTCGAATTGTAACAGACTCTATAAGCATGCTGAGAAAGGTGAAGACAGGGATACTTTGGGCAGAGTGGCAAGCTTTACTGGAAAGGTCATGGGTAGTGAGCATACTTTGGATCTTTTCTCCAGGCCATGCTGGCATGGTGGGTAATGAACAGGCAGACAGATTGGCTGGATCTGCACCACTGGGGGTGAATTGATACATGACAAGGCAGATGTGGTCAAGGCCCTTTGGGAACTAGTAAGGGAATCAGTAGAGAAAGAAGATTATTATGGCCTGGAGAGAATGAGGCACCTGGGTGTAACTAAAGGGTCTTGCCGGCTCACTACACTCAGAGGAATGACAAGACGGACATATAACCAGATTGTGACTGGTACAATCAGTATTGGAACTCTGCACTGGCTGCTGAAGATAAGGATGGAGCATGCAGGGGAATGTCTGAGTGCTGTGATTATATAATGGCCTATTAAATAATGTTCATTGGTTGAATAATTAATTTACAGTGGTTGAATAATTATTGTACCTGTGGTTGCATAATACACATAGTATTATACAACTTTTTAGCAGAGATGCAATTAGCATTCCCAGCTTAAATTCTACAGCATCATGGATGAGAAAGAATTTGAGTGGGAATCCCAGCTCCGCTTTTACTGGGTCCGGGAGCCAGATGAACTCTACATACGACAGTGTACGGGTGCATTTTTATATGGCTATGAATATATGGGGCTGAACGGACGACTAGTGATTACACCACTCACAGACAGAATTTATTTAACATTGACACAGGTAAAGTAATTATATGTATATGAGTTTTTTTTTTCTTTTTGAGATAGAGAGATAGATGTAATTTTTTGCCCACATATAGTCTGGGGAAAAAATCCATATTGCAGCAGATTTTTAAAACAAATGTGTCACCCAGGTTGACCCAGCCTAAAATGAGTGCCAGGTAATGTCCTGGGAAGTAAAGACGGCCAGTGTATTGTGGATCACATCACTCATCCAATGTTAATTTATGTATAAAATTATAGTCTTCACTAAATGCCCAACGCACCAGTAACATGACAAGTGTCTTTTACTTGCTTTTACTTACATGCAAGTAATTTTAGGATTTCCTACAGTCAGCCTGCAATCTTTGGCCATGTCCTCTAAAGAGGACATTTTTTGATTATAAACAACATAATTATACCAATACTGTGCTACCAGTGTCAGACTTGGACATTATCAAAGGCTAACCAACATAAAATTACCACCTGTGAAATGAGATGCCAGAGAAAAGCTGCCAACTTAACCATCCAAGACAAAGTTAGAAAAGATATAATCAGTCAGACTGTGGGAACAACACCATGCAGCAGATTTGTTGAGAAACAGAAGATAAGGGTCATCTAGTAAGAATACAGCCAGAATAACTACCAAGTATGGTACCACACTTGAAAAGATCTGATTTGAAAGCAAGAGGTCACCCTAGGAGAAGGAGGATTGATGACATTAAAGAGCTTCTACAAGGTCACGGAATGACAGTAGCCACTGCTGCCCAACTAGCAATAGATTGTAAACTGTTCCTCCCCACAACACTTAAGGGGCAGTAGTGGAAATTGATGATGATGATGATCAGTAGGGGAAAACTGGAGTATGTCTTAATAACTAGAAAAGGCCACAGAATGACCAAGGCAGAAGCTGCTGGATGTTTTGACATCATGGCATGTATCAGAAATAATTTAGCTAAACATGTGGCAGAAGGTTCTGGCCATGATTACCAATGCCACACATTTTTTATTGTGAATAAACTTGGCTACTAATTTCATCTGATCTTTGAGTGCCTGCAGGGACTGGGGTATGTAGAGAGAATGGCAGACGGTAGAGAGACAAAACCTGAATGCAAAAGAGTTGAATAAGAGTAGAATACAAGTTAGACCTAAAGAGGACATTGGAGAGATAGTATACATTCAGATGTACAAACACTTAGTCACCAAATGGAAACAGAAAGCCAATCACAATGATTTTTGGAGGTGGGTGATACCAACAGCAAGGAACCTCAGAGGCTCAGAATGCTGAACAAAAATAATCATCCCAGTTAATACATATCAGTTTATTTATCATACTATCTGAAGGGTACTACAAGTTCAGTAGCAGTTTGTTCTTGTGTGTTGCCCACAACACAGTATAATTGACACATCATGTCTCTTGAAATGTCAGGTGTATACCAGACACAGCATTGCAGTCTGATGTGTTTGTGTTATTATTTGACAAAGGCTTAGTTATTATAAATTTTCTGCAAACCTATAGTGCTATTTATATATTTAGATTTGAATACTGTACACCTTGCAGAGTTGATGGTTCATATGTATTGTAGGACCTGACTGGTGATGAGCATCCTATTTGTGACCCATGCTGGAATAAATGCATAGCATTTAAGGCAAATATAATTGCATCAGTGGAATTGCTACACAAATTATTTAGTAAGGTCTGGGAAACTGAAAAAATACCAGCAGACTGGAGAGAAGCATGTCTTGTGAAACTGCCAAAGAAGGTGATCTATAGGAGTGCAAAAACTATAAAAGAATCATTTTGCTATCCATTCCCGGACAAATATTTGGTAGGGTTATTCTGAAAAGACTAAAAGATGCTATTGATAAAAAGCTAAGAGATGAACATGCAGGTTTTCGGCCAAGCAGGCCCTGTAACCAGATACCTGCATTACACATAATAATAGAGCAAAGCATTGAATTGATTTCACTACTTTACACTGGATTGATAGATTTTTAGAAAAGCTTTTGACAGCATTGATAGTGAATCTCTCTGGAAATTAATTAGGCACTATGGAATCCCACAGAAAATGAATAAATTAGTAGAGGCAGCATCGCAAGGCGAGAAATGTTGAGCATTTTATGAGGGAAAGCTAACAGATACGTTTGAAATAAAAACAGGTGTACCACAGGGATGTATTTTGTTGCATCTCAAATTTTTATTGGCAATAGATTTAATTATAAAGATAGCAACAGCTAACACCAGGAATGGAATTCAGTGACCTCTACAAAACAGCATGATGATCTTGACTTTGTTGATGATATTTCTTTTCTGTCCTATTCATGGAATCAAATGCAAGAAAAATTAAATATTTCTCATGCGAGATCACAACAGCTAGATCTGAAAATTTTAAAGGGGAAGACAGAGATAATAAGAATAAATCAGGCAAATAGTAATGTGATTTCTCTTAATGGTATGCCACCCCAAAACGTCAAGTTGTACAGTTATTTGGGCAGTAATGTAGATACAGATGGGGGGAACGGATGGAATATTAAAGTATGGATACAAAAGCTACAGAATTTGTGGAGGCCAGTAGAAATTAAAACTAATTCTTATGTTCCAGTGTTAAATCAGTACTGTTGTGTGGAGTGAAACATGGAGAACAACTAAGGCTATTACTATAAAACTATGACATGATATAATCACTAATATAGAGCTTTGGAAGAGAACTAAACAGGTTCCTGTGGACAAAGAGGTAAAGAAAAGACTCTGACATTGTATTGGACACATTTTGAAAAAAACCCTGGCCTTTAGACCCCCTTCACCAGGCATAACAGTGGGAGAAATAAATGAAGTAAAGAATAATTTTGACTCCATTGAAATACCAAAGTTTAAATTTAACAGATGTGAGTAAAGGAGACTTCTTTGTTTAACAGAAAGGATTTTCTCCACTTGAAGCCTATGAATAAGGATGCTTTTTTTTCCCAGTAGAAATCTCTCTCCATTGTTGTACCCCACCAGGACAACACACAAGTGATAAACACATGGTGACACAAAGTGCCACCATGCAAATGATGATCACCCGTGGAGAGGTTCCGGAAACCCCTTTCAGCTGTAAAGCCATATTTATGACCCAACTGTATTCAGGGCCCCTGTCAAAAGCCAGGGTGGGGCTTCAAATAACGAAAAATTGCATCCCACATGGGGACAACTAACAACAATAGAAATAGGTTTCGGCACTTGAAGTCTTTATTGGGTAGCAATATTTCTGAAGTTGTCATATAGTAAATTGCAACCATCTTATTCCAGGCTCTGTCAATGAATTTGGGAGGAGCACCTGCAGGACCTGCAGGTACAGGAAAGACTGAGACCACAAAAGACTTGGCTAAAGCCCTGGGTCTACTCTGTGTGGTCACAAATTGTGGGGAAGGCATGGACTACAAAGTAAGGCTTTGAGTGTTTGTTTTTGACTTGAAACTGTAAATGGTAACATTTGAAAAACTTTTTTGTTTTTATGACTTTAGCAAATGCTGATTGGTATCTAAAAATGTGGGACTAGCACTATATATCCGGTGTTTCAATGGAGTCAAAAGTATTCATTACTTTATTCCCCCCACCCCACCACTGTCATGTCTCTGGCAAAATGGTCAAGGCGTTCTGCAGGCCTTGGGCCATTTCATGGCTGTTACGGGATTTAAGTAAACATTTATCTGTTCAGGGAGTCTTTATAGTTAGGCCTTTTGCCTTGTAGTCAGATGGTTCTGGGTTTGTTTCATGAAGTGACTCCCAGTGATCCATATAGAGATCATCACTGGAACTATAGAGTTTGTGTTTTGTGTGACACTCTTGGCAGATGGCTAGCCAAGTGTGTAGAATTCTTTCAAACCCAGATTTTAGATCCTCAGTTTCACATTCTAATTTCTTGTTTGCTATCCCGGTTACTGCACCATCTTTTCTTGAAAATACATTTGACAGTTCTTTTTTTTTCTCCTTTTTTAAATGTACTATCACTGTAAATATTTGTTTTTAACATGATAAAAGTCATTAGAATCATTCCTATTCCCTGTTTGATTTCAACTTCACTTCTACCACCATCTTCAATCAAAAGTCCAGTTTCTCTCACTGCTGTTTGATAACAATGCAAACTATCATACTATCATACTGACAGGCCTTTGGAAAAATTTTGTCTGGACTGTGTCAGTGTGGGGCATGGGGCTGCATGGATGAATTCAACCGCATCGACATCTCCGTGCTGTCAGTCATCTCCACGCAGCTTCAGACTATCAGATATGCTCTTGTGATGAAACTGACTCATTTCCAGGTGAGGGCATGTGCATGTTTGTGTGTGTTAATTAAAATAAACTGGATATAACAACAGTTTGTGTAACAGGAGCAGAAGAAAACAGACATAATGCAATATAGATGTGAGCACTCTTAACAAAGTTAATAGTACTTCACTTTCTAAGGCTGCTGCTATTTTGGGACAGTATAATTTTTAATAACTAAATAATACTCAGTTGCTTGGTCAAAAATGAAATTAGCCTTGTCACCAAGTAAAGGCAAAAAACAACTGAAGACTCTGAAAATTCCTTACATGAACAACCATTTTATACTGGCCACTAAAAAAAAAATTGTTTAAAATGTTTGTATAAAAGTTTTTATATTATTTGGGGGGGGGGGGGGGGGGGGGGGGGGGGGGGGGGGGGGGGGGGGGGGCTTGGTGGAGAGTAATCATCAAAGAATTAACTGGGATTCATTCTCCCAGGCCTCAATACGTATCTGGTGACTCATACTATGAACTATGACCTCTTTAGAATTTTACACTAAGATTTACTGGGAAATTATCCTGAACTCCTTAATGCTGCACAGGTCCAAACACAACCAGTGGCGTTAACTGGGCATCTTGTAAGCACTTATTGTTGAATTGCCAATGTTTACAATGAATTGGACCTTCCTGAAAATGCCGAGTATGTGACTTCCCAGGCTAAAGATTTAACACAAATTGTATTATTTCAGGGATATAAAAGGACAACACAGAATATATTCATATTAAATTGTTATGTCGCCTGCAGTTTGAAGGTGCAGAGATTCCTCTAGATCCACGTGTGGGTGTGTTTATCACCATGAACCCAGGATATGCTGGCCGCACTGAGCTGCCAGAATCTGTGAAAGCTCTCTTCCGACCCGTTGTAGTCATTGTTCCAGATTTGCAGCAGATATGTGAGATTATGCTGTTTTCAGAAGGCTTCCTCTTGGCAAAGGTAGGTTTCAAAGTTGAAGCTTTGGTTTCTTCTTCTCCGCCATACTCTGTGGCGTTGGTAGTCATGTCGATCCATAACCTTCTATCTCGTTTACTTTCAATTCACCTCTGACACAGAGTCTTCCATGTCCTGATGTTAAATCATCCAGCATCTTCTCTCTCAGTCCCCTCCACCTCTCCTCCCCTCCAACTTTCCTACCGTCACGATGTACTCAAGTTTTCTCCTTCTCATCACATGAACAAAGAATGTAGATTGTCTGTTTCTGATGGGGGCAATGAGTTCTCTTTGTGAGTCACATTCTCACAGCTTTCAGGCAGCAGTGGTGCAAGAGTCACACTGTGAAAGAGATTGGACCTCACTGTGTAATATTCCCAAAGAGAGAAGGGGATACACCTGTATGCTGTAGCTAACATCCATTGTGGACATAGTACTCTGTGTTTGTGTGTACGTGCGCACGAGCGCGTGTGCGTATGTTGAACACCATGACAAACAGCTGTTTATTATTTTAATGCTGACCCAGTAATTTTTTTTTTTCAAAGTAACATTTACCCTTTGTAAATTTAAACAATGAAGTTGTTAATTTAGTACTCACATAGAGAGATATAGTGGTAAGTCCAAGTGATGGGCAGTTTGTTGTTGATGATATTTTCTTTGTTCAAGTTCTTTTTTTGTGTGTGTTTTTTTTTTTCTTGTTTTATTTTCAATGTTGTAATAACTGTGGATTTATTCAGGTCTTGGCCAAAAAGATGACTGTATTGTACAAGCTAGCCAGAGAACAGTTGTCGAAGCAGTTTCATTATGATTTTGGACTGCGAGCATTAAAGTCTGTGCTGGTTATGGCTGGAGAGTTGAAGAGGAGTGCTGGGGAACTAGAGGAGGTAAAACTCAAAAGAATGTACTTATGATAAAGATCTCATCATGGCGGGTATTGTCATCTTTATGTCTTTGTTCTAGTGGTAACTGGGGGATTGGAAAGTTATTACCATACTTATCATTCCTCAAAACTATAAAGCAAGATATTTAATTTTTGTGACATTGCAGTAAGAGAAAATGAGGTGAGAGTTAACATTTTAATGACAATATCTAGCTTAGAATTGAACTTACAGGTTTTTAAAAAGCTTAGTCTTCTTCTCTTCCTGCTGCTGCTGCTGCTGCCGCCACCGCCACTGATCAGATCAGGTCAGTGCACTGATCTTGCCTCCATACATATTTCCAAGCCTTTGCTCTCTTCCCAGGAAAGACATAAAACCAAATGAAAATTATATCAGCGAGCTTCGCCATATAACAAACACAAACAAAACGTGAATGTTGCGGCTATTTAGCCCTTTTCGGCACATACATAGAATAGACAATATTACACAAATTCACAATATCACTTATCTTCGTATCTCATGGCAGCCAGGTCAATGTCAAGACAATAGTCTCTTCCCAGGAGTCTCACCAACTGCACACTACAGAATTAAGTAAAATGAAACAAGTAAAAGAAACAAACATTCACAATACTGTGAAGGGCATGACTGTAAGCTTGTGATGACCCTGGTCATACATGCAGTTAATTTGACTATGGAGTGTGTTTGTATTTCTCTTCAACAGAAGATTTATTTGCTTTATCCAGTACAATTGTTTTGTATACATCTTATGCCAGTTTCTACAGCAAAACTAATTTTACAGGGTGGGAAAACTGGCTTCAAGCCCCCAACCCCCACCTCCTTTCTCATCCAGGCTTAGTACTGGCAATATAAACTATTTCATTTTCAGCATATGCCAGTAACACTAAAGATATTAAATGAAAGTTTAATGCTTTAAATGTATCGTAAAACAAATGCCTATGGAAAGTGAAAAACATAAATTAGATGAATACAAGAAAAAGGAAGGAAAATCAGAGGGTCCTCTCTCGTTTTCAGGCCCAGAAAGAGAGTGACTTCCCTTCCCATTCATAAATCATTGTGTCACATGGCTTGTGCTTTGTTGTGGTTGTGTCATGCGAAGTAACTGACCAACAACACATAGCATTTGACTAGTTGTTCTTATGGGCCGTCAATATCACGTGTTCTTTGTTACATGATGTGAGCGCTTTTAAAGGTTCCAAAACATGCAGAACTGGCCCAACAACCCCCTCCACCCCCTCCATGTTCCACCACCGCAACATAGGACAAGCCATGTGACACAGCGATTTATGAATGGGAAGGGAAGTCACTCTCTTTCTGGGGATAAAAATGTGCGTTGTAATAATAAGAGAAGTGTTCTGAACAACCACTGGTTTCAGCCAGTAATACGACCAAGAAGATGACGCTATAATGAGCACAACCTGGGGGAAAAAGTGGAACATCACCAAACAGGAAAGTGAGAAACAGATTGATAGAGGAAAGGAGGCTGTCTACAAGAATCCCTAAGATAAACGTTGCTGAGAAAAGCCAAAGTTGCTGGACTGGATTCCATCCATGATAATAAACAAAGTAAAGGTAAAGTTGGGAGATGTGAACCAGCGTCATTGCACATGGTTATAAACCATAGGTGCTCTGCCACCAGTACGGACAGCTGATAAGAAACTGTCCACCTGTGTCACTGACCACACAAAACTCTTTAGCTACAGCGACGTTCCTTCATTCACTCCAGAGTTTTAACTCTGATACCCATTTTCTAGAGACTGGGTGAACCCTAGGAACTGCCCAGTTTTGAACACCCATTGTGTGCTGCAGCGAATCTCAGCTGGATTTTAAAGCAAGTCTCCTATTGACTGCGCTAAAGCAGCCCCCTTTAATAGTAAAAATATTGAATGAAATAGTGGAATAGACCATGGGCCCTTTGTGACATATAATGGGCACAGCAGGATGATGATGATGATGCATCCGATGAGGTAGTCAAATATAGTAACCTAGTAAAGAACCCCTTTTAGGCCAGTTGCTCATCTTGCATATTTGGTAGTAATTTTTTAAAATTTATAAACCATATGATTTTGAAGGATAATTTGCCTTACAGCATGCAGTCTCCTTTATTTCCCACATCATTTCCTGGTAGCTACTTTAGGTTGTGCTGATCTAGAAACTTAAGTCAGTTATAAAATTGCCACTGCAGCATCCTATAGAGACATATGCCAGATAATAAATTATAGTCTTTTATTTGTGCCTTCTTTGTCTAAACTTTTGACTAGTGAAATATTATTCTTTCCCAGGATGTGGTTTTGATGCGAGCACTGAGAGATATGAACTTGCCCAAGTTTGTATTTGATGATGTTCCCCTATTTTTGGGATTAATATCCGATTTGTTCCCAGGACTAGACTGTCCGAGGGTGCGCTATCCCAACTTTAATGATGCTGTTGAGGAAACAATTGCTGAAGGTGGATATGTTGTTTTGTCTCAGCAGGTAATATTTTTGATACTGTTGTGTGGTTGTAATGCTAGGATATGAAACTGAATAAGAATTATTACTGAATGATCCTGAGTATTTGATACCTGTCTGTGCCAGGGCTTAAGGGTTGTCATCAGTTTCACAATTCCAGCATACTGTGAATTGAAAGTCAACTGCAAACATTTAAAAAGCAGACTGCTTTGCATTAATTTTGACAATGGTGTGAGCATTGTATTGTTCAGAAAGCAATGGCAAACTACTAAACATTTAATAATATAAAGTCAAGAGTATCAGCTTCAATGCGTCAAGTTTTATCTGCCTTGGTCTGTCTCTACAGAATAGCTAGCTGCCTATGAAGAACGTCACACAAATCATAAACTGCGCATCTGTAGGGGTCTCAGTTCTTGAAAACTTCATAGCTGAGGTGACAATCTGTAGGGATCTCAGTTCTTCTGAACTGCATAGCTGAGGTAACAATCTGTAGGGATCTCAGTTCTCTGAACTGCATAGCTGAGGTAACAATCTGTAGGGATCTCAGTTCTCTGAACTGCATAGCTGAGGTAACAATCTGTAGGGATCTCAGTTCTTGTGAACTGCATAGCTGAGGTAACAATCTGTAGGGATCTCAGTTCTCTGAACTGCATAGCTGAGGTAACAATCTGTAGGGATCTCAGTTCTCTGAACTGCATAGCTGAGGTAACAATCTGTAGGGATCTCAGTTCTTGTGAACTGCATAGCTGAGGTAACAATCTGTAGGGATCTCAGTTCTTGTGAACTGCATAGCTGAGGTGACAATCTGTAGTGATCTCTGTTCTTCTAAACTGCATAGCTGAGGTAACAATCTGTAGGGATCTCAGTTCTTGTGAACTGCATAGCTGAGGTGACAATCTGTAGGGATCTCAGTTCTTGTGAACTGCATGCATAGCTGAGGTGACAATCTGTAAGGATCTCAGTTCTTCTAAACTGCATAGCTGAGGTAACAATCTGTAGGGATCTCAGTTCTTGTGAACTGCATAGCTGAGGTAACAATCTGTAGTGATCTCAGTTCTTCTAAACTGCATAGCTGAGGTGACAATCTGTAGGGGTCTCTGTTCTTCTAACTGCATAGCTGAGGTAACAATCTGTAGGGGTCTCCGTTCTTCTGAACTGCATAGCTGAGGTAACAATCTGTAGGAATCTCAGTTCTTGAAAACTGCATAGCTGAGGTGACAATCTGTAGGGGTCTCCGTTCTTCTGAACTGCATAGCTGAGGTAACAATCTGTAGGGGTCTCCGTTCTTCTAAACTGCATAGCTGAGGTAACAATCTGTAGGGATCTCCGTTCTTTTGAACTGCAAAGCTGAGGTAACAATCTGTAGGGATCTCAGTTCTTCTAAACTGCATAGCTGAGGTAACAATCTGTAGGAATCTCCGTTCTTTTGAACTGCATAGCTGAGGTAACAATCTGTAGGGATCTCAGTTCTTCTAAACTCCATAGCTAAGGTAACAATCTGTAGGGATCTCAGTTCTTGAAAACTGCATAGCTGAGGTGACAATATGTAGGGATCTCAGTTCTTCTAAACTGCATAGCTGAGGTGACAATATGTAGGGATCTCAGTTCTTCTAAACTGCATAGCTGAGGTGACAATATGTAGGGATCTCAGTTCTTCTAAACTGCATAGCTGAGGTGACAATATGTAGGGATCTCAGTTCTTGTGAACTGCATAGCTGAGGTGACAATCTGTAGGGATCTCAGTTCTTGTGAACTATATAGCTGAGGTGACAATCTGTAGGGATCTCAGTTCTTGTGAATCTAGCTGAGGTGACAATTGTAGGGATTCAACTTGTGCATAGCTGAGGTAACAATCTGTAGGGATCTTAGTTCTTTTGAACTGCAAAGCTGAGGTAACAATCTGTAGTGATCTCAGTTCTTGTAAACTGCATAGCTGAGGTAACAATCTGTAGTTATCTCAGTTCTTTTGAACTGCATAGCTGAGGTAACAATCTGTAGGGATCTCAGTTCTTGTGAACTGCATAGCTGAGGTAACAATCTGTAGGGATCTCAGTTCTTGCGAACTGCATAGCTTAGGTCACAATCTGTAGGGATCTCAGTTCTTGTGAACTGCATAGCTGAGGTGACAATCTGTAGGGATCTCAGTTCTTGTGAACTGCATAGCTGAGGTGACAATCTGTAGGGATCTCAGTTCTTGTGAACTGCATAGCTGAGGTGACAATCTGTAGGGATCTCAGTTCTTGTGAACTGCATAGCTGAGGTAACAATCTGTAGGGATCTCAGTTCTTGTGAACTGCATAGCTGAGGTGACAATCTGTAGGGATCTCAGTTCTTGTGAACTGCATAGCTGAGGTGACAATCTGTAGGGATCTCAGTTCTTGTGAACTGCATAGCTGAGGTGACAATCTGTAGGGATCTCAGTTCTTGTGAACTGCATAGCTGAGGTGACAATCTGTAGGGATCTCAGTTCTTGTAAACTGCATAACTGAGGTAACGATCTGTAGTTATCTCAGGTATTGTGAACTGCATAGCTGAGGTAACAATCTGTAGGGAACTCAGTTCTTGTAAACTGCATAGCTGATGCGTGGTTGGTCTGCTTTATTTACTGAGGACATTTTTTTTTTTCAAAATTCAAAATAAGATTAATTTCTTCGCTGTGTTTTTTTGATGGCCAGAATTAATTTGTCTAAACCTTATACACTGTTGGAAAGGAGAACTGTATTGTCTGCATATCTGAGTTCTGGGAGAGGATTACCTCCAGTTTTTAGTGGATCAAAGCTCTCACATGCCTCAACGCTAATCGCGTTTCTCATCACATTTTTAGCATAGATGTTAAAGAGGGAGGGTGAAAGATTGCAGGCCTGTCTCACTCCTATCTGTACTTCAAACCGTTCTGATGTTTCATCAGCTACTCTGACCGCAGTTAGTTGTTCGTGGTGAAGAGATTCTGTTAAGTGCATCAGATGATTTGGAAATCCCATGCCTCTCATTATATGCCATAGTTTATGGTGCTGCACACAATAAAATGCCTTGCTGTAGTCTATGAAATAAGTATGAAATCTATCTTGTATTCTCTACACTTCTCTAGAATGATTCTCATATTGAAAATATGGTCTCTTGTTCCCCTGTTAAGTCTAAAGCCCACTTGTGTTTCACCCCTTGCCAAGACAATATTTGGTACCCATTTCAGGTTGGGTCAGCTTGAGAGCCAATTTCAAGTTTAAAAAAAAAATTCTGCTTCAATGAAGATTTTAACCTTAGACCTTCAGGCCATCAGAAATCTACCAGCTACTATGCCACCGCAGCTTGCCTTAGCATTTGATGTTAGACCCATTTTTTTTATAGACTAGGGCTCTTTTTTTTTGGAAGAAAGAAAAAGTTGCTGGTATACATTACAATTGTCTAATACGTGGTGGTATTCACCAGAAAAGATCAATTACAGTAGCACTGAAAAGAAGTTGAAAGATATACATGGGATGTACTGGGCTTAGCAGAAATAAGATGGACGGAAATAGGTGAAACCACAACAGATGGGGGGCATAAGATTTGATACAGCAGAGAGAAAAACAAACACCAGCACAGAGTTGGTTTTATTGTCCATAAAAACAGAACAGATATCATAGAGACCATAGAGATGGTCTGTGGACAATTTTACGACATTATGGAATTCCAGAAAAAATAGTCAACATAATTGCTCTCTTCTATAAAGACTTTTCCTGCAGTATAAAAAATTACAATACATCTTTCCCAGTAAAGATGGGTGTAAGAGGGATGTGTTATGTCATCTCTCCTCTTCAACCTTGTGATTGATTGGATACTAAAGAACACAGTAGACAGGACATTAAGAGGCATACGATGGACTCCATTCACCATGCTTGAGGACCTTGATTTTGCAGATGATATAGTACTCCTATCACATAAACATGAACATATACAAGAGAAAAGTAACAGACTAAACTGCACAGCAGAAATGGTGGGACTGAGAATAAATAGAAAGAAAACTAAGATCATGACAAACAGTCCAAACCAACAACCAGTGACCATAAGTAACCAATCACTTGAAAATGTAGAACATTTCACATATCTTGGTAGTGTGGTGTCCCTACTGGGAGGGACAGAGGAAGACATACAGTCACGTCTGAACAAAGCTAGAGCTGCTTTTGGAAGGATGAGGCAAATCTGGAAATCCAACAATTACTGCAGAGGAACGAGACTCTGACTCTACAAGAGCATCATTTTGCCAGTTCTTCTTTATGGCGCGGGATGCTGGAGAATGACCAAAAAGGATGCACACAAGCTGTCCACCTTCCACCACACATGTCTACGTAGAATTATCAAAATTTTCTGGCCAGATACAATCTCAAACACTAAACTACTTCAAGCCACAAACCAAGAAACTTTAGACAGTATGATTACCAAGAGAAGATGGAAATGGCTTGGCCACTTCTGATATACCTGCTAAAACAGCTCTCACATGGACACCAGAGGGAAAGAGAAAACAGGGGCGCCCAAAAACAACGTGGAGACGAACGATGGAAAGTGACCTGAGTGCGGCATCTTTGACATGGAAAACTGCACTGAAGATTGCACAGGACAGGAAAGCATGCAAAGTCCTCTCTGAAGCCTCATGTGCCACTAGGCATAACGAGAACTGATGATGATCATGATGAGCTGCACTCCTATATACAGCAGACTTATCACCATACGTAATTGCTGCAAAACCAGAAAACATCTCTATTATTCAGGTAAATGCCCCAACCACCGACTATGATGAAGATGAAATCAACACTTTCTATGCTAGGCTGGAAGAAATAATACATTTAATCCCAAAGAAAGATCTTCTAATTGTCTTAGGGGGCAAATTCAGATTAGGAGAAACAAATGACCGGGGAAGGAGACAAATGACTTTGAAAGTAAAAAAATGATGGGGGAAGAAGACAAATGACCAGGGAAGAAGACAAAGGACCAGAAAAAAAGACAAATGATGGGGGAAGAAAATAAATGACAGGGGGAAAAGACTGGTAGAATTTGTCAGCATTTATAATTTAACCATCACTAACACACTGTTTTCTCACAAAACATCCAGAACAACAATGTGGCAAGCACCAAAGGCAGAAATAAACAAAAGAATGATTATATACTTGTTCCAAAAAGGTTTAAATTTTCCATTAACCAAGCAAAGAAAAGGACTTTCTGGGAGCTGACCATGATATGGTTCTGGTTACACTCAAACTCAAAAAGAACTACCATTGTAACAGCTATACTTGACAGGTTTGATCTAGATAAATTAAAGAATCCTGAAATTGCAGAGATCTTCAGAGCAACTATAGAAGGCAGATTTGCAGTTTTAAATCTTCTAGAAGAAGATGTGAATTCACTGACACAAAGCGCGAATGAGAGACTCTTGAATGCAGCAGAAGAAATCCTAGGTAAAAAAAGATAGCACATAAACCATGGATAGAAGGTGACATCTTGAAATTATGCTATTTGCAACAGGAAATTAAAAAAGAGAAAAAGCAGACTGCAGAACAATATAGGATAGTTAATACAAAAATAATGATACAAAGGAAGATGGCAAAAGAAGAATGGATTAGAAACCAGTGTGAGTCTATTTATGTGGGTTTAAAACAGGGTAACACCAAGGAGCATACAGGACAATAAAAAGACTAACCAAACCACAAAAACCCAATATCCCAGTATAGAGGATAAGAACAGTCAAGTCCCTAATGGGAAAACAGCAATACTGAAGAGATGAAGGGAATATTTTAAAGACTTGTTTAATCAAGAAGCGGAGCCTGACACTGCAGTCCCAGACCTCAGACACCATCCTATGAGAAGTTGGGGACACTGAAATATTAGGAGAAGAACTTGAGGAGGCCATATGCTCACTAAAAGAAGGTAAATTGCCAGGTGTGTACAATGTCCTAGCTGAACTTTTGAAATATAGAGTAGAACAAGTAACTAAGGTGATGACAGAAGTGTGCCAGATAATTTGGATCACAAAGAAGTGGCCTACTGAATGGACACAATCGTTGGTATAACCACTGCCAAAGAAAGGAAATCTAAAAAGCTGCAACAATGATAGAACTATTAATCTTGTCACCCATGCATGTAAAATAATGTTAAAGATACTGCTCAACAGATTAAAAGCAAAATCTGAAGAAAAACTAGCCGAAGAGCAGGCAGGTATCGGAAAAATAGAAGCACCACATAACAAATTTTCAACATTAGAACGATGATAGAAAAGCACGTACAGCAACACGACCTATCCCATAACTTCATCGACTTCACAAAGGTATTTGACCGTGTGTGGCATGCTGGGCTCTGGCAGATAATGAGAAATTTCAGCTTCGAAAAAGAACATCATAGACATCATTGAAGCACTTTATAAAGATGCAAGCAGTGCAGTACTCATTCAAAATGACATAGGCAAATCTTTCAATACCAGTGTGGGACTGAGACAGGGTTGCATACTATCCCCTGTCTTTTTCAATTAGTATTTGGAACACACAATGAGAGAAACAGTAGAAAATCATGAAGCATCTATATATACTGGTGGAAGACAACTGTGTAATTTACATTTTGCAGATGGCATAGATCTCATGGCTGATTTCGACGCAAACCTCCAAGGACTTACTACAAAATTAGAGACATTATGTGATAAATATGGCATAGAAATAAATACTGAAAAAAAAAAGCAAGTTTTGGTAAATAGTCACAATAATCAAGTACCCACCAACATACAGATAAAAGGGAAAAAAACTATAAGAAGTTGAAACCTTTAAATATCTTGACTCCCACATATGCATCAATGGAAGCTGTACCAAAGAGATCAAGACAAAACTTAATTTGGCAACAGCTGCGATATCGCAACTGGATACGATGTGGAAGAGCAAAATCAGCATCGCAGTCATGGTCAATATTTTCAAATCACTGGTACTGTCTTTTTTCTTATATGGATGTGTGAGTTAGACTTTCACTGTGAAATTGGAAATGAGATTCAGGCTTTCAAGGGTAAATGCTACAGACAGATTTTACGAATTAGTTATTTAGAACACAAAACTAATAAATATGTCAAGAGACAAAATATACAAATGTGTGGGACATCAGGAGCCTCTCTTGGCAGTGGTGTAACGTCCCATGCTATCTTGGTTTGGTGAGACATGATTTGATTGCAGAGACTGTACTTTAAGAAACATTAGGGGGTAGCCGAAGAAGAGGAGGGCAAAGAAGAACCTGAAATGACAACATCAAGAAATGGACAGGACTAAGTTATCATACACTTATTTATCAAGCGGAAGACAGACAAAGATGGCAGGTTTTATATGCTGGTACTTCTATCAATACACTTCCACGACCCTAATGGGTTAAGGGTTATGTTATCCTTGAAAGAAGAAATGCAGCTGGTACTGCGTACCATTGCATACCGCCATAAAAAAGCCCTGGTATTGAACTGTTGGCCAACAGTTGGTCATGTGGTGAATATCACTCTGTCCGTTTTACTTCACAAAACATGAACAGTAACTTTCACTAGACTGATATCCTTGCCAGGTAGATAAAATTGTCCAGCTGTACGAGACAATGATGACCCGCCACTGTACCATGATAGTGGGGCCCACTGGAGGAGGCAAATCAGTTGTTCTTAACTCACTTGTAAATGCCCAGGTCCGGTAAGTTCTGAAACAGCAAGGTATTAACTTAAAAACATCAGTAAGTCTCTTTCTCCAGAAAGAAGGTTAGCTGCAGAGGATCTTCAACACATTCTGTCTTTAACTTATGTTTTAGACTCTGACAGGCTGCTGTTTGTCAAGCTTGAATATATGTGTGTCAACCTGACTGTACATCTCTTGGTGTTGTCAAGCTTGAATATCTGTGTGTCACCCTGACTGTACATCTCTTGATGTCAAGCTTGAAAATCTGTGTGTCACACTGACTGTACATCTCTTGGTGTTGTCAAGCTTCAATATCTGTGTGTCACCCTGACTGTACATCGCTTGATGTTGTCAAGCTTAAATATATTTGTGTCAACATGACTGTACATCTCTTGATGTTGTCAAGCTTGAATATCTGTGTGTCAACCTGACTACATCTCTTGGTGTTGTCAAGCTTAAATATCTGTGTGTCAACCTGACTGTACATCTCTTGATGTTGTCAAGCTTAAATATCTGTGTGTCGACCTGACTGTACATCTCTTGGTGTTGTCAAGCTTAAATATCTGTGTGTCAACCTGACTGTACATCTCTTGATGTTGTCAAGCTTGAATATCTGTGTGTCACCCTGACTGTACATCTCTTGATGTCAAGCTTGAAAATCTGTGTGTCACACTGACTGTACATCTCTTGGTGTCAAGCTTGAATATCTGTGTGTCACCCTGACTGTACATCGCTTGATGTTGTCAAGCTTAAATATATTTGTGTCAACATGACTGTACATCTCTTGATGTTGTCAAGCTTGAATATCTGTGTGTCAACCTGACTACATCTCTTGGTGTTGTCAAGCTTAAATATCTGTGTGTCAACCTGACTGTACATCTCTTGATGTTGTCAAGCTTAAATATCTGTGTGTCAACCTGACTGTACATCTCTTGGTGTTGTCAAGCTTAAATATATTTGTGTCAACCTGACTGTACATCTCTTGATGTTGTCAAGCTTGAATATCTGTGTGTCACCCTGACTGTACATCTCTTGATGTTGTCAAGCTTGAATATCTGTGTGTCACCCTGACTGTACATTGCTTGATGTTGTCAAGCTTAAATATATTTGTGTCAACCTGACTGTACATCTCTTGATGTTGTCAAGCTTGAATATCTGTGTGTCAACCTGACTGTACATCTCTTGGTGTTGTCAAGCTTAAATATATTTGTGTCAACATGACTGTACATCTCTTGGTGTTGTCAAGCTTGAATATATGTGTGTCAACCTGACTGTACATCTCTTGGTGTTGTCAAGCTTGAATATCTGTGTGTCACCCTGACTGTACATCTCTTGATGTCAAGCTTGAATATCTGTGTGTCACACTGACTGTACATCTCTTGGTGTTGTCAGGCTTGAATTTATGTGTGTCACACTGACTGTACATCTCTTGATGTTGTCAAGCTTGAATATCTGTGTGTCACCCTGACTGTACATCGCTTGATGTTTTTTAAGCTGAAATATCTGTGTGTCAACATGACTGTACATCTCTTGATGTTGTCAACTTTTAATATCTGTGTGTCAACCTAAATGTACATCTCTTGATGTTGTCAAGCTTAAATATCTGTGTGTCAACCTGACTACATCTCTTGATGTTGTCAAGCTTTAATATCTGTGTGTCATCCTGACTGTACATCTCTTGATGTTGTCAAGCTCGAATATCTGTGTGTCACCCTGACTGTACATTGCTTGGTGTTGTCAAGCTTAAATATCTGGGTGTCAACCTGACTGTACATCTCTTGATGTTGTCAAGCTTGAATATCTGTGTGTCAACCTGACTGTACATCTCTTGGTGTTGTCAAGCTTAAATATATGTGTGTCAACCTGACTGTATATCTCTTGATGTTGTCAAGCTTGAATATCTGTGTGTCAACCTAACTGTACATCTCTTGGTGTTGTCAAGCTTGAATATCTGTGTGTCACCCTGACTGTACATCTCTTGATGTTAAGCTTGAATATATGTGTGTCAACCTGACTGTACATCTCTTGGTGTTGTCTAGCTTGAATATCTGTGTGTCACCCTGACTGTACATCTCTTGATGTCAAGCTTGAATATCTGTGTGTTTCACTGACTGTACATCTCTTGATGGTGCCACCTAGCAAAACAGACTTGCACAAAGTGATATTACCTTGGACCAAGGGTGCCGAGAATGGATAGCTAATGAAAGAGAGAGTCAGCAGTGCAAGAGCTGATCAATGAAATTCATGCCCAGGTGACATCATACTATAAGCATTTGTAGTGAGAGCTAAGAAGAGTAGGTGGGATTTTATTGCAAAGGTGAATTGACACTGCTTGAAAACAGAGAGCCTCATGTACAATGTCACTTCATCCAGTATGAAATAGAAGGTGGAGGTGGTAATGCTTTCCAATGGCTTGAGAACAGCACAGCCCAACATGCTGTAATTACAACAGACTCACAGAGCATGCTTTAGAAAATTGAAGCTGGTGTCCTGTGCAGACTGGCTAACATCACTTGATAAAACCCAGATCAAGAACATATCATGGATTTTCTGTCCAGGATATTCAGGTGTGCGAGGTAATGAGCAGGCCGATAGATTGGCTACAGCCGCTCCTCTGGGCGGTGAGCTACTGAACATTAAAGTGTATGTGGTGAAGGCTCAATGGAATCGAATGGACAGTGCAAAAGAACAGATAGGGAATCCATACACTGAAAGACTAATAATGGAGGGGGGGGGGGGGGAGGGGATGAGTAGAGGTTCTAGAAGATATTAAACACTGAAGGTTGTAACTGGTACTGTTAGCATATCAACTCTTTGTTGGTTACTGAAGAAGGGGACGGAGCATGTGTGGGAATGTCAATTTTTGATTGATTGATTGATTAATTAATTCATTCACTATAGTTTTACATCTCCTGTGTCTCCTGTTTGCAGATCTCTTAGCCCAGCTGTATATCTTTAACCTCACCTTAACTTTACACTACCTGACTGCTGTTGTTTTATCTGATGGTGTTATCCCAGTCGTACCACTGCCTACCTCTAGCTTGTCTCTGTTTTAATGTTTCCTCTAGCATGGCTTTATAAGAATGTCTCCCTTGCTACTTTAGATTGTGATATGGTGAGACCACAATCTGTTTAATGATGGCCAGCCATGTATTTGCCTTCTGAACATGCAAACAATTGTATCATTTTACCTGAGACCACACAGCCTCTATAAAAATCTATCAGTTTTCATGAACTCAATGAGCTTAGTTATTTTTCACAACACTGCCAAAAGGTAGAAATTGTCAGAGTTAAAATGTGTGAGTGCATTCATTTGAAAGAGGTGTAAAATAAACACACCTTGTGTGCGCCTTACACATAAGGATGCATGCACGTATTCATATAGAAAAAAATGGGATTGGGGGAAGGAATAGCTGTGGGTATTGGTAATATATGTATGCATTTGTATACATACTTATTAGTTGAAGTATACAGCAGACATTTAAATGTAATCGTGTATGTGTACCCTCTGATAACACAGTGATACAATTATATAATGGTAATAATTTGATCAGACTGGGCACTCCAACTAAAGTCTACACAATCAACCCCAAGGAGAGGCCAGTTGTAGAACTCTATGGTGTTCTTGACCCCGTCAGCAGAGACTGGACAGATGGGCTATTGTCCAGCATTTTCAGGTCAGTGAGTCTAAACACATTGTCTGCCTTTATTGCTACTATCTTCATCTTATAATCTTTGTTGTGTTGTGCTTGTAATCATTGCATGCAGCTCATCCCATGTCCCCTTCATCTTTTTAAATGTGCTCTTTAGTTTCCTTCTCTGTGTTTGTTTTTGTTTTTGGTGTGCTTTTTTTTATATGCCCTGTGCATTCCAATGCAAAGACATTCTAGTTATATTATTCTCAGGTTTTCTCAGCAAGTGTCCTATTCAAAGCTAGCATCTTTTCTTTACTTCTTGGTCCACTGGAACTTGTTTAGTTCCCTTCTAAAGCTCTGTATTAATGATCTTTCATACTGTTTAATTCCCTCTACTCTGCACAGGCACTAGTTAATTATTGTTTTGTAGTTTATTAGTAACTGTTTTTAGTTGTTCTCTATGTTTCTTCTCTCTACAGAAGTACTGATTCAGTATTAGAATTAACAAATTTAAGTTTTGTATTAGTTTCATTTTGCTTTGATCTCCACAAATTTTCTAGTGCTATAAACGCTGCTCATGCCTTTTGCATCCATATTTTAATATATCTATCTGTTCCCCATCTTTATCTATATTAATGCCCAATTAGGTGTTTTTTTTTAAAATTCTGAATTGCGATACTATAAGGAGAAACCAGATTACTATTTGTCTGTTTTATCTCATTATCTTTGTCTTTCCATCATGGATTTTTAAACCTAGTCACAGTTAGAACTGATTGTGCTACTGACAAGATAGTACATGGTGTAGAATGGGTTACAGTGTCACCCAATAAAACACACGTGCACAAAGTGATAGTTACCTTTAACTGAGGGTGCCAGGAATGGATAGCTGGTGAAAGAGAGTCAGTGGTGCAAGAGCTGATCAATGAACATTCAAACCCAGGGGACATCATAATGTATGCATTTGTAGTGAGAGATAAGAAGAGTGGGTGCAGTTTTATTGCAAAGGTGAATGATCACTGCTTGAAAACAGAGAGCCTTGTGTACAACGTCATTACATCCATTACGAGAATGAAGGTGGAGTCAGTAATGGCAGCTTTCCAGTGGCTTGAGAGCAGCACAGCCCAACATGTTGTGAATGTAGCAGACTCACAGAGCATGCTTCGTATAAGTGAAACTTGCGTTCTGCGTGCAGACTGGCTTGTGTCACTTGGACAATACCTAGATTCAGAGCATATCCTGGATTTTCTGTCCAGGATATTCAGATGTGTCAGGTAATGAGCAGGCTGATAGATTAGCTGCTACTGCTCCTCTAGGTAGAGAGCTACTGTATGATAAAGGGGATGTGGTGAAAGCTCAATGGGATCAAATAGATATTGCACATACAAAAAGGGGGGTGAAAGGGGGGTGAGTAGAGGTTCTGGAAGATATTCAACATTAAAGGGCAAGAGAGGCAGAGTTTTAATCAGATGGCAGCTGGTACTATTAGCATGTCAACTTTTTGTTGGTTGGTCATTGAAGAAGGAGACGGAGCACGTGTGGGAATGTCCTGAGTGCAGTGATATCAGTTCTTGACCAATGCACTCATTCATTAGACTTAGTTATGGTGATCTTGCATTTATTTTATCTTGCATCTGATTCCGTCAGTGGGAAGAAGAAAAATATCATCCACCAGGTCATCAAGCTAATTTATAGGGGTCCACTGAATTCCGTTCCTGGTGTTAGCAGTTGTTGTCTTCATTATCCAGTCTATTATCATTAAAAACAGGAGAGGCGACAAAAGACATCTTAGATGCTCTTAGCCTTGAACATTGATGTGTATGTTGAGGGGTGATGCCGGATGCACTTTTGAGGAAAATAAAACTCAGATCAAGATTGACATTAGAACCCAATGGATCAACTTCCCATCTAGGGTGCAGTCCTGAGGACCACATCAGCTTCCATAAGAGAAACAGACTATTATGTTTCTATTGTTGTGCAATGTGTTTCTATGTTGGCAAAATGTATGCCAAGATAATAGAAACAAGACTGAGACCAGTGATAGAACCACAGCTGGCAGAAGAACAGATGGGATTTAGGAGAAATAGAAGCTGCACAGATGCAATCTTCACACTTAAACAGTTAATAGAAAAGAACATTGAATACAATAAGAACTTATTTGTGGCATTCGTAGACCAGGAGAAGGCATTTGACAGAGTCGACAGACAATTATTATGGAAAATAATGGCAAGATATGGAGTAAGCGAACACCTCATCGAAGTGTGCAAAAGTTTATACAGGGATTGTAGAAGTGTAGTTAGAATAAATCAGGGAACATCTCATCCTTTCACAGTGACATCTGGAGTAAGACAGGGGTGTGTCTTATCACCACTGCTGTTTATCACCTACATCGACAGTATATGCAAGAATGCCAAGCCCATGAATGAAGATCTTAGTAAGATCAACGAATTACTCTTTGCAGATGACCAGGCCTTGATAGCAGATACAGCCGTGAAATTGCAACAACATCTAACATCCATGAATGAAGAATGTAAAACAAATAATATGAGAATCAACACTGAAAAGACAGAAGTAATGTCAATAGGAAAAAAGAAGACATATCTAAACATAACAATAGAATACAAAGGCATTAAACAGGCATCTGAGTTTAAATATCTGGGAACTACATTTACCGAAGATGGGAAATTGGATAAAGAAATTGACATTAGATGCAGTAAAGCAAACCAAGTATTGGGACAGCTAGCCCCCCTCTTACAGCATAAGACAATCCCAATCAGCACAAAGAGACATCTTATTCAAAGCATATTTTATTCCAACTCTGTGCTACCAGTGCCAGACATGGTCACTCACAACAAACCATAAAAGAAAATTAGTAACCACGGAAATGAGATGTCTGAGAAGGGCTGTAGGAGTGACCATAAGAGATAAGTTCAGAAATGAGATCATAAGAGAACAAGTCGGCACAGAACCAATTCTGGATTACATACAAAGACAGCAAGTGAAATGGTTTGCCCACTTAGAGAGAATGCCTTGTGACACCATACCATACAAAGCATACATGGGAAGAGAAGAAGGACGTAGAGCACGGGGTAGACCAAGAACAAGATGGAAGGATAACATCAGAGAAACTCTACAACAGTACGATGTGCCTATGGTCGAGGCAGCCAGAAGAGCTAGAAACAGAACTTTATATCTCCCTCGACACCCACAGCGGTAAAAGAGGAAGTGAAGAAGAAGAAGAAGAAGATTGTGTACCTGACACAACAGACTCTACAACCATATGAAATCAAGATTGGGGATTCATATTTGTTACTCAATGACAAGGGACCACAAAATGCTGAACGTATGTTACAGACATATTCTTTATGTGCATTGACTGGCTCTACACAGCTTGGTGAAATATGATGTGTGATAAGGAAGATGTGGTTACTGCTTGTGGGAGAGCATGTACAGTTCGGCGGAGCAGATGGATCACTACAGTCAAGTGGGATTGATGCAATGGGAAGTTACAAGGGGTGGCAGGGGCTCAGAGAAAAGGCAAGACAGACGTTTAATCAGAATGCTACTGGCACGATTAGTATCGGAACTCTGCACTGGCTGTTAAAGATGGGGAAGGAGCACTTATGGGAATGCCCTGAATGCTGTGATATCAGTTCTTGAATCAACTCAACCCAACTCATGTGCACTGGAGAAGTCCCAGGTTTGGTCTGTTAGCATTCCGATGGCAACCCAGCTGTATGGAACAGTGAAAGACATGCATTACACCACAGACCTGATAGAGGCCTGTGTTCTTCTCATCTGGGGCCGCATGAGTGCAGTCAATAGGAGACTCGCTTTCAAATCCAGCTGCCACTCACTGCAGTCTACAGCTGGTGTTTCACCCAGCCTCTAGGTAATGGGTACCAGAGTTAACACTCTGGGGTAAACGAAGGAACGTCGCTGTAGCTACTGGGTTGCGTGCGGACAGCAACACAGGCGGACAGTTTCTTATCAGCTGTCCATACTGGTGGCAAAGCACTTATGGTTTATAACAATATGCAATGAGGCCGATTCACATCTCCCGACTTTACTTTACTTTTACTTTTTGTTCTTCTCATCTGAAAACCACTGTTTGGGATGAGAAAAGAAAAATAAGAAAACTGAGCCCCTATAGATGAGTCCAGAGTGCTGTAAAAAAATAACCCAACTCGTAACTCCTAACATATTCCACCTGCTGTTTTAAAAATATTTAAATTATTCCCTTTAGCTGGCCATTGTAATCCTAATATTCTATGAAATAGGGAAATGAATCGACCTACAGAGAAGAAAGAACTGAGGTATATTGTCTATGATGGTGATGTTGACGCCTTGTGGATAGAAAATATGAACTCAGTCATGGATGACAACAAGCTGCTGACTCTGTCCAATGGAGAGAGGATTAGACTGCAGTCATACTGTGCCATGTTGTTTGAGGTAATCATCAGATGCCATTTTGTCTGAAGTAATCTCATTATCAGATGCCATGTTGTTTGAGATAACTGCACTGTCAAATACCATGTTTAAGGTAATCTCATTGTCATAAGCCATGTTGTTTGAGATAACGTTCATCTGGGTAATGATTTGACATCACAGCATTCAGGACTGCATATTTTAGCTCCGCCCCTCCCCTACTGAACAGACAGCAAAGAGTTACCATATAGATGGTGCCGATTGTAAAAAAAAAAAAAAAAGTAAAAGTAAAGGCCCTTTTCTACGGCTTTAGGCACATAGGGCATATAGGGCTATATTTTTATAGACCAATTGGCACAAGAGGTGAGGGCCTATGCTCCATTGGGGGATAAAAAGGCAGAAGAAGAAGAAGAAGAATTGGCACAAGATAGGTGATGTGGTCAGTATCATGTTGGCCACCTTTGCTTACCGGGACTGCACCCAGTACCAACTCAAGACTGGGTTGACCTGGGAGTCAGGGTCAGTTTTGAAAAACGTCCAGCTCCACAAATGAGTGAACCCACAACCTTCCGACCCGTACATGAGCGTCTAACCGCTACGCCACAGCGACTCAGTGCCCTTTGTCATCTTGTTAACTGCTTGTTTTGCCTTCCATCTGAGTCTGGCAGTGGTGCCCAGAGCCCACAGCCACTCTCAGCTGTATCATTCACTTCAGGTATGATTTTTCAATGGCCTTTCTCAAACAAGTGATGAACTACACTTTACAAAGAGACTCTTCCTCTTTGAAATGATTTGTTTTTCACAGAATTATAATTACATGTGAGACTTTATATTTGTTAAAAATAGTATAACCATAATTAAAGTAAACGGTATAACCATAAATAAAGTAACTCCATTTATATATCATTAAAATCCCTGTAAAATTAGCACAATATAATATCAGAGAATATTGTGTCCCTATGATCTCTTTGATCGTTGCACAGTTGGTTAGATACCTAATTTTTTTTTTTTTAGTTAATTAAAAAAAAAAAAAAAAAGAAGGTCTTGTGTGAAGGAATTAATTAGTTAACATTTAGAATTTGATAGCATTAAAGGCCACATATTATTTTGTAACAATGGTGTTTATGAATTGTTTGTAAAAATATTCCATGAAAACAGTTTGTAAATTGATGCATGAAGTAGTTTTTTAAAGATAATGCTTGCATTTAGGTTTTTTTTTTTTTTTACCTGATTACAAGAAGTATTCTTTTTCTTTTCCTGCCTTCTTTTGTTTCTCGTCATTTTTGGTTGATGAAGACTTGTTACCACATTGTTCTTTGCTGGTTTATTGTAATAGTGTTCTGTAAAGCTCAAATATGCTTTTATATTATTTTCAATTTCTCTTTTTTCCAGGTCTTTGACCTCCAGTATGCTTCACCAGCAACAATTTCACGATGTGGCATGGTCTTTGTTGACCCCAAGAATTTGGGCTATAACCCATATTGGGAAAGATGGATAAAGAGCCGAACCAAGGAGACTGCCAAAGAACTCAGTGGCCTCTACAAGAAGTATGTTTACAATCTGGTGGAACTGGTTATTGAAGGCATGCAGGATGGACAACAAATTGAAAGACTGCGGACAATCTTGCCAGTAACAAACCTGAACTTGGTGAGCACTGAGTAGAGACTGTTGGATACTCTTGAAGTTGTAGGTTTACAGGCCAATTAGTCATGTTTTAAAGCAAAAAAATGATGTTTGCATGCTTGAAAGCAAAATCTTGAATGATTTCTAAGCACATGAGAGCGGTTAATGTTAGTTTTATGCTTCTACTGCTCTTGACCTCACTCCCCACCTCCCTCAAGTGGAACATTGACTCTCAACCATCTTGCAACATGTTGTTGCATCCTCTGCTGCCTTTTGCAGCTCACCATCTCATCCTTATAATATTGAACTCTCTTTCTCATCCTCATATTTACCCCCCCCCCCCTCTCTCCTCTCTCTCTCTTCTTTTTCAAATCTCCACATTTTCTTTAGTCTCCCTCCACTTCTTTGGGTTCCAGTATAAAGACATTATAGTTATACTGTTTTTATTTTCTCAATGTGTATCATATCCTGCAGTATTTTACCTCTCCCTCATGTTAGTTAGTTGCGTATCCTTTACAGGACATTGCGAACCAACCCCAGCATCTTTTTTGGCTGTTTGTGGTTTTTCTAGTCAAATTTTTATGTTCAGTAGGTTGCATTGCTTTCTGAATGGTCAGCTCTGGGTATCACTGGCAATACCAACACAGGATGGTCAACTGCCAAATCACTGCAGCTCGCATCAAGCTCAGCACCCTGGCATTACAAAGTGTCAATCTTGACTCACTTTACATCTTTTTTAGTGTCTCCCAATTCTGAACATTAGGGATGAGGAACATTGTGTGTGTCATATCATTTAATTTCCTCTATTATGTGCAGGATGTTGTCTGTATATGAGAGAAATCTCTAGCTGGACTATTTTGACGACTTTTTTTTCACACCAGCTGTACATTTGAAATATGGTATCAAGGTCAGATTTGTATGGACCAGTCATCATACTAGCCACCTTTACTTCCCAGGACATTAGTTGCTACCAGTTATAGGCTGGGCTGACTTGTAAAAAGCTAAAGTAAAGATCCCTTTTCACATCTTTAGGCGCATCAGGCATATGGGAAGAGCACCCATATTTTTTCAGACCAACTGGCTCTCGGTGGGTAATGTGGTTAGCATTATGCCGACTGTCTTTACTTTCCCAAGACAGCCATCCTGGTACCCATTTGAGGCTGGGTCAACCTGCGACGTCCCATACCACAATAAAAATCCACACAGGGGCTGACTTGTAAGGCAAGATTATTTATTTCGATCTGGCAGGTACAAATATAAACCCATGACTTTTCACGCCAGTGGTAAAGCACCTGGCAAATATATTTCCAGCTGGACATTATAACCATACTAATCAGTGAAAGTGTCTCTTTTACTGAGGTTTGAGTCAACACCACTGAGTTAAACTTACAAACAATCATCATAAGACTGCAGAAAATAACTAAATAACAATTTTAATAAAGAAAGTTATCTGCATTGATGAAAATAAAAAGTTATCAGAACTGATGCAGTTGAGTAAATTTTAATGTAATATTCACATAATGCACAATAATTATATGTACACTAATTATATGTACACATGTTACATTTTATGTGTTTTATGTTCAATTTTTATAAACTGTTTACATTAAAATTGTTTCGTGATTATAAATTCAACATTCAACGAGTTTGACTTACAACCGCTTAGAATGTTGGTTGAGGAGGCCCTCTATGTAGATAATACTATTTTATGCAGTTTTTCTGTGCTTGCCTACCAAGACAGTCGTTTCAAGGTTCAGTCTCCAGCAGAGACAAGGTCAAAGGTTCCAAATTTGTGACTGATATTATTGCCTGTTTGTATACCTGAAAATAGAGACGTGGAGGGCAAGGTTATGAGTAATTAAAGTGGCTTAAAACTTTATTTTAATTTGATAGATTAGAATTATTAAACTTATGGGGATCTTATTCATTTAGATAGTGAAGACATTTTCAACTCAGATGTGATTTTATTTCAATTTTTTATTTCAAATCAGAAATGAGTAACTTACTGTGATTTATGTTTCAATTAGATAGACTAGACATTTTAAGCACATATGTGACTTTTCTTTTAATTTGAACATTAGTATTATCAAATTTTGTTTCAGTTATATCAAAGGAGATTAAATTTATTGTTATTTGTATTTACATTTTATAGAGAATAACTGTAAATTGTATTATGACTTTTGAGAATAAATGTTACAATTACTGTGATTTTTGTTTAGAGATAGATAAAGCATAAATGTTAAAACTGTTTTGATTTTTCTTTCAGTTAGTTAAAATTACTGTGCCTTTTTTTTTTTTTTTTTTGAGCACATAGAAATTTTAAACTTATTGTGTTGATTATTCAAACAGATCCAAAATGTAAAACTTTATGTGATTTTTATTTCAATTAAGTAGATCAGAATTACTATATGTTTCTGTGACTGATTTGGAAACAAAATTTATAAATTTGTGCAGGTATGATTGGTGGATTGTTAGCAGTGTTGCATCTTGTTGCCAGGTTACACAGCTGACAATGATGCTAACAGCCACTCTTGATGACAATGAGTATGAACAGGGGGAGCTTGAGGCTATGATGATACAAGCACTGGTCTGGTCTATAGGAGCCCCTCTCATTGAGAGCAGCCGAGTCAGATTTGATGCATTTTTGAAGTATCTGGCAAGTCTGAGCTTAATATATGATGAACGGAAGGCTGCAGGACTGGGTAATAAACTTACATAAATTTTGTCTCAGCATTACATTCTTTTTGTCAGTTCTGGGGCCCCATTTTGAGGTGTGGAGAGAAATTACAACGGTCCCAATGCTCCCAATGTTTGTCATAAAAGACAACTAATTTAACTCTTTGAGACCCAAGGGGTGGTATTGCAATTTTGAAATGTCACAAGTCTGACACATTAAAACAGACCATACAAATGTAGTAGTTATTTATTAGTAAAAAATCAGATGATAAATCTAGAGAAATTAATAAAATGGTGTAATAATTTTTCCACTTACCACCACAACACTCAAGAAAGCTTCAGTAAAATATATCCAAAATGAATCTAAATGAACATAAATGAGTTAATAATGTATAAATAAAATACAAACACCATCTGTCCATTCGATTTTGTTTAAGAAAAACTTTTAGAACATCATAACAGAGCAGCATTTTTTTTTTTGTTGGTAAAGATAAATGACTTCAGAAAACAGTATTTTCACAAAAAATTAACTTTTTATAACTCTCAATTTGCCTGTAATTTTATAGCCTGTGTTCCCAAATAATAAGGGAATCATACTAGATCTAACTGACACTGAAGACTATTGCCTTTTTCACAAATATTTATTCTCTTTGTACCAGCTGACGTTGTTATCGTTGTATGCTTTGCATGAGGTATATATCAGAGCTATTCCTCATCAGAGTTTGACACTATCAATGACTGAAACAAGTCTGCTTTATAAATTTCTTTGTCTAGCTCGAGATATATCTGATAAATCAAAATTTTTTTTTTTTTCTTTATATGATGTTCTGAATCATAGATCTTGTTGGTATGCATGAAGAAGACTGCTCGGAAGCCATATGGTTTTTACACAGACACTTAGTAACTCAGGAACGCTTACAGACATGCTACATTTTATGCTTTTAATCATGATCCATATAAGCCTAATGGTCAACAGGTGTGACATCGGACACAAAGAACAGGAAATACCATTAAAAACTTCCGGTTTGCATTGTTATAATGGCCACTGGTAAATTAAAATACAGATGAAGAAGAAGTTGGGCATTGTAAATGTTGTAACAAATTTGTTGAAACCTGGGTAATATTGTAACATTCTTAGTTTACTATCACTTCAACACTTTCTGTCCCAATCAACATACCATTTGTAATTAACAGTTTTCTGAGTATATAAGTATCAAGTTTTGTTATATTTTTTAATAAACAACCAAGGCCTTTCTTACTGAACTACACTATGGCCATAAATTATTACAGGACATCAAATCTGATTCTGGAACTGTCCTTGAAAGTCAAGCATGAATGGTTACTTTAGTGTCTAATAGGCCCTATCCTATGCACAGTGCACCATTGGCTTGTAAAAGTGTATGTTACTTAACTTACCATATGCCCAAAAGCATACAGAGTTTTATAATGGTCATTTAACTTTCTTTCTTTTTTTTTTGTTAACAATGTTTGTCAAATGTTCATTTGAATCACTGTTTGTGTTAATCCATTTAAAAAAAAAATTATATATATATATATAGGATCAACTGCAGCCATTGCTATTATTTATAAATTTTTTTTTTTAAATTCTTATCTGGCAATCTGTTTGGTGTTAACAGGAGAACTTCCTGCCATAGGAACTTTGTTTGACTACACCTACAGCCGGGAACAGAAAAAATGGCTGCGATGGGCAGCCTTAGTTCCTGCCTATGTCCATGATCCAGAACGGAAATTCTACGACATCCTGGTCCCTACTGTGGAAACTGTAAGTATATGGTCTCACACAATAAAAATTCAAGCAATTGTCCTATCTATTTTAGTGTGCTTATTTAAAAAAAAAAAAAAATATTCAAAAGTTTAGCAAATGTAATCTCCGCAGTGAATGTTTGCTGCAGTTGATCTGCAACACTCTCTTTACCTGGCCCCATTTGTACACTGCCTGAGACCCTGTTTATCCATCTCTTGATGTTACCCTTCCACTTGCCTTCAACCTCTCGCTCTAATAGATGATTTATTTTCAAATGTATTGTTTCTTTTAAATGTGGCCAGAATATTTCACTTTATTTTTGTTTATTTAAATTTAAGGGCTAGACCTATATTTTATAGACCATTTGACACTTGGTGTGTGATGTGGCCAGCATCATACCAGCTGCCTTTACTTCCCATGACTATAACTGGTACCCTTACAAGGCTGGGTTGACCTGAGAAACCAAGTCGTTTTTTGGGAAAAAAACTTTTAAAAAATCTGGCTCTGTCAGGTCCTAAACCCACGACCTTCAGATCTGCAAATGCACATCTAGCTGCTACACCCTGGCTCACAGCAATATTATCATGCTGTCTAAGTTCATCTGTCATATTCTTTTCCTTCATTTTATGTGTTTGCACCTAAATGGTGGCTTGGCATGTTGTGTTGTGATTTACAGGCTGTAATATCTGTACCTTTTGACTCACCACATTTAATTTTAGCAAACCCCTTAACTCTTTCAGGACCACACTTTTCCTGGGGTTTGGAAAGTATTAATTTTGAGCAGAATTTTTTTAAAGTGTTTTGAGCAAAATATTATGAAAACTGCAACATGACAAAGCTAGAAACATTTTCGGAAGAAAACGTATTGTGCTTGCTTATTTGCGGGACAATATAATATTATCAAATTTGAAACAATTAAATGATTTTATGATCATTTTTGTATGAATGTAAATCTGAACTATTATTATATTTACAACAAAATGATATTAAAATTTTGTTCACACAACATAAACTACAATTGCTAATATGTTAGACACATCATAATATCAAGACTATTGTCACCATCTGGCAGAGATTTATCAATGACAAAGCAGTGTGAACAGTTCTAGTCCTTTTTTCCCTTATTTTTTAGTACAGAAAAAATCACATAAAAATTGAAACACATCTAAATAATTTTTTTTTTAATCAGAAAATGACGCATAAGTCATGCAGAAGATTGCAATTACGAAAGGAGCTTCCTGTTGTTAACCCTACATTTTAAAAAACTTGTTAATAAAAGTTGGTTTTGCCCACAAATGGAACAAAATTAAAGTGCCTCTTATGATACACCAGTTAACTGGCGACTAGTCCGATACGGATACATTCTAAAGCCAGTTAACTGGCGACTAGTCTTCAAAGAGGTAATTAGTCATTTTTTTAGAGCATGCCTTTCAGGGGACAGTTGGTCTATACTGTTTTTACCCCCAAAATTGGCAAAGAAACCCATATGGGGATTTTTTGTCATGTTCAGACTGTAAACCTTTTTTTTTCTTATTTTTCCAGGTGAGATCAACTTGGCTACTGAATCTTATGGTCAAGATCAAAAGACCTATTGTGTTAGTAGGGGAGACAGGCACATCCAAGACAGCAACCATCCTCAGCTATTTGCGAGCAATCAACCCTGATACCACTGTAAGAATAGCTGATGGAACTGATGTTGTTACTGGAATATATATATATATATATATATATATATATATATATATTATATATATATATATTAATATATATATATATATATATATATATATTGTGTGTGTGTGTGTGTGTGTGTGTGTGTGTGTGTGTGTGTGTGTGTGTGTGTGTGTGTGTGTGTGTGTGTGTGTGTGTGTGTGTGTGGTGTGTGTGTGGTGTGTGTGTGTGTGTGTTTGTGTGTGTGTGTGTGTGTCTGTGTGTGTGTGTGTGTGTGTGCGTGTGTGCGTGCGTGCGTGCGTGCGTGCGTGCGTGCGTTGCGTGCGTGCGTGTGCGTGCGTGCGTGCGTGCGTGCGTGCGTGCGTGCGTGCGTGCGTGCGCTTGCGTGCGTGCGTGCGTGCGTGCGTGCGTGCGTGCGTGCGTGCGTGCGTGCGTGCGGTGCGTGCGTGCGTGTGCGTGCGTGCGTGCGTGCGTGCGTGCGTGCGTGTTGCGTGCGTGCGTGCGTGCGTGCGTGCGTGCGTGCGTGCGTGCGTGCGTGCGTGCGTGCGTGCAGTGCACGTGCGTGCGTGCGTGCGTGCGTCCGTGCGGCCGTGCGTCCGTGCATCCATGCGTGCGTGCGCGCGTGTGCGTGCGCGCGTCGCGCGTGCGCGTGCGAAGTTTGCGCGTGCGCGTGCGCGTGCGCGTGTGTGTGCGCGTGTGCGTGTGGTGTGCGTGCGCGTGTGTGTGTGGGGTGGGGAGGGGGGGTGGGGGGGGGAGGGGGGGGTGGGGGGGGGTGGGGGGGAGGGGGGGGGGGGGGTGGGGGGGGGGAGGGGGGGGGGGGGGGGGGGGGGGGTGGGGGGTGGGGGGGGGGGGGTGGGGGGGGTGGGGGGGTGGGGGGGGGTGTGTGTGTGTGTGTGTGCGCGTGCGCGTGCGCGCGCGCGTGCGTGCGTGCGCGGGGGTGGGGGGGTGGGGGGGTGGGTGTTGTTCATCAAAATGATGATGACCACTCTTTTTCATCAAGTATGGGTCCGAAGATGACTGATGTGGCCAATGCGGGCCCGAAAAGTTCTTGGACAGTGAGGATAGGGAATGAGTGTTGTGCCAGGAAGCAGATCTCCTGCAGTCGCCTTCCTGTCCATCCTTTTCTTAATCAGTCTTGCTATTCTGTTTGCTTCACATGTAGCCCCGCCCTTGTGTAGATGAATGAATAAATGAATGAATGAATCAAGAATTGGCATTACTGCACTCAGGACCTCCCAACATGTGCTCCATCTCCTTCTTCTGTGGCCAATAAAGAGGTAGCAAACTAATAGTACCAGTTGCGACCTGATTAAAAGTCCATCTGTGCCTCCCCCCTCCCCCCTCCCTTTCTCCCCTTTCTCACACTCTGCTGCCTTGGCATTGAGTATCTTCCGATCTTTCAGGACCTTGACTCACCTTCTTGTGAATTCGCCCTTCAGTGTATGGATTTTCTGTTTTATTGCACTGCTCATTTGATCCCAGAGAGCCACCACCACATCAACTTGTTTACTGCCCAGAGGAGCAGCAACTGCTGGTCTATCTATCTAGCTTGCTGGTTACCCTGGACATCAGAATGTTGTGGACAGAACATCTGTGATATGTTCCTGAGTCTTGTCAAGTGATTTAAGCCACTTTGTGAGCAGAACACCAGTGTACATTTTCTGATGCATGTTCTGAGTCCATTACGCTTACAATATATCAAACTGTGCTGCTTTCAAGCCATCAGAAAGCTGCCACCACCGCCTCTACCTCCATTCTCATACTAATGTAGTGGCATTGTATGCTAGGCTGTCTGTTTTCAAACAGTGTCCATTTACCTTCAATGTTACTGGGAATAATGTATTGTTGAACTTCATATCACTCTTGCATTGTTGCTTTATAGCAATCACAGTTCATACCTCTCAACATTGTGGTGTGAGCACTTCATAGTTCTTTATTTTTGTGTGTGTGTGCATCCCATAGAAGTGAGCTTACAAAAGACTCTTGTAGTTGACACTATGTAAAGATGATGTTGTTGACACTATGTAAAGATGATGATGTTGACACCATATATCACTGATACTGTCACCATTACACAGCACTTGTGTTGTCAACATTACATGGCATAGATATTTTGAGACTTCATTGTTGACGCTGTGTAGCAATGATGTTATAATGTGTAGCACACATGTTATTGATGCTATATAGCACTAATGTTGACACTATTAGGCGCTATATAGCACTGATATCATTGACACTATGTAGGGCTGATGTTGTTGGCACTTGCTTCAAGAAAAGAACTACCTGTTTGTGTGTGTGTGTGTATATATATATGTGCACGTGCGTGCGTGCGTGCGTGTGTGTGAAGTACGTGTGGATGAGTGTGTACGCATGTGCATTGATACATTCATTCATTTACATGCAATTGTTATGTGTGCATCCATCTCTGCATCCATCTATGTTTATGCATGTATAATTTCTTTTTTTCTTGTCTGATGTTTGAAAATCATTAGTCATGTACTGCCATACTCTAAAAGTCACCAGCATGAAGAGTACTTATTGTTATACACAAAACATTGTTTTAGAGTATTTTCTAATAGCTAGCACTGGAAAAAAAAATATTAAGCAAGATTAGGATTAATTTGTTTGGTCATTTACAACAACATAATACATTGCTAGGGAGCCGGAGTGGTGTAGCAGCTAGAGGCTTGCCTATAGGCCAAACTATCTTGGGCTTGAATATGCACTGAAACAGATTTATGGAAAAAATGATCTTGGCTGCCAAGTCGACCCAAACAAAAATGGGTAAAAGTAAAGTAAAGGCCCATTTTCCATTCCTTCAATCATATTAGGTCAGGCGTATAGAGCTAGACCTGTTTTTTAAAGACCAATCAGCATTTGATGGGTGATGTGGTCAACATCCTTCCGGTCACCTTTACTTCCCAGACTAATAATGGGTACCAGGTAAACATCTTGGAAGTAAAGGTGATCTTCAGGCATATTGGGCATATAGGGCTAGACCTATATTGTTTAATTTATTTTTTTATTATATGTTAACATAATATAGATAAGCAACAGCGCTTAACTCTTTGAGTCCCAAGGAATGCATCACCCGCTTATCCATTACTATCCAGCTACCCAGTCAGTGCGTGACGCCTTCATTTCATTTTTTTTTTTCAAATTTTCCCTGGCAAGTATAACAATGCAAACCAGCAGTTTTGAATGGTATTTCCTGTTCTTTGAGTTCAATGTCACATGTGTTGACCATTTGGCTTATTTGGATCATGGTTATAAGCTTAAAATGCAGCATGTTTGTAAACTTTACCTAGTTACTTAGTGTCTGTGTGAAACAATATGGCCTCCGAGCAGACTTCTTAATGCATGCCATCAAAATTTATGACTTTAGATGCCTCATATTTTAAAAAAAAACATGTGTTTATCAGATTTATCCTGAGCTAGACAAAAAAACTTACAAAGCAGTCTTGTTTCAGTCATTGATAGAGTCAAACTTTGATGAGGAATAGCTCTGATATATACCTCAAGCAAAACATACAACGATACAAAGGCAGCTTGTACAAAGAGAATAAATATTGGTGAAAAAGGCAACATTCTTGCAGTGTCAGTTAGGTCTAGTATGATTCCCCTATTATTTGTTAACATATAGTATAAAATTATGGGGAAACAGTGTTATATAAAGATTTTATTGTTGTGAAAATACTAATTGTTTTTGGAAGTCATTTTTCTTTACCAAAAAACGTTCTAAATGTTTTTCTGAAACAAGATCTAATGGACAGATTGCATTTGTGTTTTATTTACACATTACTAAGTGGTTCATATTCATTTGTGATACCTTTTGGATATATTTATTGAGTTTTTCTTGAGTGCCATGGTAATAAGGGGAAAAATTATTACTTTATTTTACTAATTTCTCTAAATATACCATCTGCTTATTTACTAATAATTAACTACCAACATAATTTTTTTTGTAGCAGTAGTTTAATATTGTTCCTCAACAATCCCTGGTTCTTTAATTGTATAATATGTGTGCGTTACCAAGCAGTTAAATGAGTTTGGTCTGTTTTGATGTGTCACATTTCAAAATTGCATAACCGCTCCTTGGGCCTCTGATGCTAATCTCCCTGGGACTCAAGAGTTAATGTGGGTAAGATATTATGCAAGTGTGCATATGACATTATAATAACATCAGTTCTGTTTATCAATAATTCAGTCTCTGCTCAACATGAATTTCTCATCTCGGACAACTTCCCTTGATGTTCAGCGAAATCTTGAGGCAAATGTGGAGAAACGAACCAAAGACACTTATGGCCCGCCTTCTGGGAAGAGGTTGTTGATATTCATTGATGAACTTAACATGCCACAGGTATGCACACTGGTTAAATGATTGAAGATATGGGAAATAATACAATGAGAAGCTTCGCAACAGTTTTCATAGCTAAAAAATTTCTTGCTGCACATTTTTTAGTTCAAAACTTCAAACAATAGGTAATGAGTGATAGCTCCTTTCCTCCTGAACCCAGTCAATGCACAGTGTGGTATCTGAAGTTTTTACATTTATTCAGGGCATACTGAAAAATCTTGCTTCCCCAGTAGTAACTTCTGCTGACCTTAAACATGTTGCCCAGAGAAGCTGTAAAACTAGGAAAAGGGGGAGGGGGGATATATAATTGTGGCATTGTGACAGTTTTTATAAAAATAGATCACTAGGACAACAGTGTTAAAAAGTGTTAAAGGATAAGAGGACTGACATCAGCACTGGTTTTATCCTATTTGGCTGTGTTTCTCTACAACTTTTTGAAATGCCACAAGTGTCAGGAATTAAAATAGGCCATACAGTTGTAGCTGTTGTTCACTATGCATACATTGTACAAGTAAATGAACAAGAATTATGAAGGATTGATTTTAGCGTAATAAGGTAGATGACCCTTTCCAGGCCCATGGCACACTGGGCAAATGATGCCAGATTCATTTCTTTTTATAGACCAATCAGCACTTGCTGGATAATGGGGTCACCATCATGTTGGCTTCCTGTTTACCCCAGGACATGTTACCATATTTTCTGTGAGGCTGAATAATAGATAATGGTAGATGGTACATAAAAGTAAAAAAAAAAAAAAAGAATAGGAACAGCGAAAAATATTTTCAACAGCTTATGAATTTTACTGACGTTTATAGACAATAACACATTAATAAATGAGAATTTCATTATTCAGTGAGAGTGGTAAGCATCGCTTCAGAGGTCCTGGTTGGTTAGTGCCCTTTGAATATTTTCCCTAGGTCATGGTCATGTGTTGGAAAGTGAACAGACAGATAGACTGGACTGGCTGGTTCTGTACCACCTGGTGGTGAATACCTAGATGAAAAGTTAGATGCTCTAAGGGTCTTTTGGGAGAGAGTTAACAGTGCAGAGACACATATCAATTATTACAATTCCCTGTGTGGGTTCAGGGCCTCATTGTGGGAAAACAAGAATAGACACACTGCCTGCCCAAAAGCATGTCATAAGAATCACTAATTGGGAGCTACCTTCAAAGTCGAAGTACATCTGCCTGAGAGGCAAAGAACCAACAGTCTCCATGCAGATAAGTCAGACATGCAAAACCTATGTGCACGCAACATTGAGTTTCTGGAACAGGACTAGAGTTCAGAAGCAGAGGAAGAAACAGAACTTTCCGCTGGAGTTTACAGCTGATGAACGCAAAAGAGATGAAGAAGATTATTATATTCTAAGGAGAATGGCACTGCGAGGAGTTACCAGGGGATGTGGCTAATGCTCAACACTCAAGGGAAAGGCAAGATGGATATACAATCAGACAGTTACTGGTGCCATCAAAACTGGAATTTTTTTCTTGCTGCTGAAGATGGGAGACAGAGCGCTTATGAGAGTGTCCTTCGTGCCAGATGTTATATATATACTCAGCAATGCTGCATGGTGCAGGGACCCACAGTAAGCTAGCAATTAGAAAATTGTATTGAGTCTCTGGAGATGTAGATATACAAAAGGATAGGCTGTATTTTGTGGAAGCTAAGGCAGTCAAAAAGAGAAGTTTTGATGAAACTATAATGGAAAAAGAGTTGCTGAAGGAGAAAAAAAAGAGAAAGGCAAGTGAAATATTTCAGCCATTTTAAAAACACATTAGAAGAACATACAGGAGGGAATAGTCAAAGACAAGCAAGCAAGAGACAAACAGCAATATGAATGAGAAGATAACATCATAAAATTGATGAAAAGTAGTCTGGGAGTGAAAGACAGAGTATGTTGCAGATCCATTTCAGCCAACCTTTATTGAGGAGACAACATCTGATTGGTTGGCATGGAAGCCGAGGTCATTTTTAAAAATCCAAAATTGTAGGATATGGTTACAAAAATAATTGTCTTATTGCTGAAATATCAAACAGTCAGGTGACATGCATGGAAAAGTAAGCACAGTGAAATGGTTTTCTTCATACCTTCATTGTGAACTATGAAGTATCAAGCTATGTAACACAGCTAGTTACTTCCTTGCCAGAACATATAAACCTATTGTCAAATATAATATGACAACAGGAAGCTATTATTATTATCTGCCATACTTTTACCTTTTTTAGAATATTATTTTACATAAGTATGTTACTGGTTTTTTTATTTTAATTTGTTTTTTTATTGTCTTCATTTTTGCTAAAATAATAGTGTAATTTGTAACCACAGGTGGACACATACGGAACTCAACAACCAATTGCGATGCTGAAACTTCTTTTAGATCGGGGTGGATTTTATGACCGAGGAAAGGAGCTGTGCTGGAAAAATATCAAGGACTTGGGTTATATTGCTGCTATGGGGAAAGCTGGTGGTGGACGCAATGAAACTGACCCAAGATTTGTCTCCCTGTTTTGTGTATTCAATATGACATTTCCGGACAGCGACTCACTCTTGAGGATTTACTTGTCCATTCTCAATGGTCATCTGAATGCATTTGATATTGAAATTTCTCGCCTTGCTACACGCATCACACAGATGACCATCGATCTCTATTCGTAAGTCAGAAATAAGTAACCTTGTGTAAGTACTTTACTGCAGCCCTAAGGTGGATAGCTGATAATAGAGAATGATGAATGAATGAATTGACATCACTGCACTCTGGACATTCCCACGCCTGCTCCGTCTCCTTCTTCGGTAGTTAACAAAGAGTCAACATGCTAATAGAACTATTTGCAAGCTAATCAAAAGTCTGCCTATGTTTTCTCCTCTGTGTTGAATACCTTCCAGAACCTCTAGCGTGAGGCCAGAAGGGCAGAATGTAAGACGGGCCTGTGTGCCCAATTCTTAACCCTTTGAAAATCAAGTTTGTTCATTTGTTCATTCTACCCATCTCCTGGTGAACTAGTCTTTCAATGTCTGCATTCTCTGTTTGTTCTACTGCACTGTGCGTTTGATCCCAGAGAGCCTTCACTATGTCTGCTTTATCTTAATCAAATCTTTCATTTGAAAATAGAGTTACTTAGGAAATAGTGGTGTCTAATTTGGTCATTGTTGCAAAAGATTCTGAAAAGTTGACTACAGCGTGACTGAAAACCAAGGATCCTCATGTCTAATTTACAGGGACTGACATGATTACACTGCAAGGATGTGAAGGAATGCAATGAATAAATGAGCTGGGTTTTTTGGCTACAAAAAATGGTGGCTACAGAAACACTGATACAGTACAGGGAGACACTGAAGAATTTGTGAAGGTATACTGATGAAGACTTTTTTTCCCTTCAAAAAATGAGCCTTGGCTGCAGTCCCATGGTGGTCAACCACCCACCCATCTTGCCAGTTGGTATAAAGGTAGGTGCAGCCCTATATGCCCTATATCCCTAAAGGCATGGAAAAAGTTCCTTTACTGTTTTTTCGTGTTTGCTGTCAGATGAGATGGAACATGTTAATGTTGTGGTGGCCCAGTGTATGCTGTAATGCTTATAGGACTGCAAACAAAATCATTGGAACATCTATCTATTAGATATTTGCTGTAGGAGAAAAGACGGAGCATCTATGGATTATATGTCCCAGTTTTGCTGTCTAGGGACTTATGATTATGCCCAGTATGAGTAAACTTTCTTTCATATTTTCTGCTGGAGCATCTATTGCTATGCCCAGAGTATATGATTACGGTAAACTTTCTTTCATATTGTGCCCAGTATGCTATGATGTCAGTTCTGAAATCAGTAATCTATCTTTCCTATTTGCTGTACAAGATGTAATCTAGGGGTATCGACAGTATGCTATGATATTGATTCTCAGTGGAGCATAAACTCTCAGCCAACACATGCCAAGCCTTTTGTAGACTTGAAAAGAATTGCGACTGAGATCAAGCAATGGTGTCAAGAATCACTAAGGCTTTATTTGTTTCTGGTGTCACACATTGGTTCACACTATCAGTACCTTTTTTTATGCATAATTTTTTTCAGCGCTAATGTAGTAGACACTTTCTTCTGGTTACTGGCACCTTTTTTCTACATATTTATGTTTACCGTCACCTTTTTTTGCTACATATTGTTTTGTTTACCGACACCTTTTTTTTCTACATATTGTTATGTTTATTGGCACCTTTTTTGCTACATATTTTTATGTTTACTGTCAACACCTTTTTTCTACATATTGTTATGTTTACTGCACCTTTTTTGTACATATTGTTATGTTTACTGGCACCTTTTTTCTACATATTGTTATGTTTACTGGCACCTTTTTTTCTACATATTTTTATCTTTACTGGCACCTTTTTTCTACATTTTGTTATGTTTACCGACACCTTTTTTCTACATATTGTTATGTTTACTGACACCTTTTTTTTCTACATATTGTTATGTTTACCGGCACTTTTTTTTTTCTACATATTGTTCTGTTCACTGGCACATTTATTCTACATATTGTTATGTTTACTGGCACAAGCCTCTGACTTTTCTACATATTGTTATGTTCAAGGGCACCTTTGCACCTACATATTGTTATTTTAGTTACAGCAAGTTTTGCTTCTACATAACCATTGTTTTTGTTTACTGGCACATTTGTTCTACATATTGTTATGTTTACTGGCACCTTTTTTCTACATTTTGTTATGTTCACTGGCACATTTGTTCTACATATTGTTATGTTTACTGGCACCATTTTTTCTACATATTGTTATGTTCACTGGCACCTTTTTTCTACATATTGTTATGTTTACTAACACCTTTTTTCTACATATTGTTATGTTTACTGGCACATTTGTTCTACATATTGTTATGTTTACTGGCACCTTTTTTCTTCATATTGTTATGTTTACTGGCACCTTTTTCCTACATATTGCTATGTTCACCGGCACCTTTTTCATACATATTGTTATGTTTACCGGCACCCTATTTTCTTACCCCCCAAAAATGCTGAGAAGGACTTAGCACAAGCCTGTGACTAGGAAATTAGGGAGCTCGTTCTACGAGAATTCACATCCTCATGTATTTGTCTCTTATCTCATGTTTACTCGTATTTTATTGTTTAGAGAATCCCTGTGGAAAAATACAAACATTATCTTTCTATATATTTTGATAGTTTCTCTCGTTTATCTTTCAGGGCTTTGGTAAAAGAGCTGCCACCAACTCCATCTAAATTTCACTACATCTTTAATTTGAGAGACTTGTCACGGATTTTTAATGGTCTGTGTTTGTCAACTCCTGACCGTTTCACTAAGGCAGATCAGTTCTTGCGGCTGTGGAGAAATGAATGTATGAGAGTCATCAGCGACAGGCTTATTACAACTGAAGATAAGACTCTAGTTCAGGTTGGTGAAAATTTTTTCACTCTTGTTGTAAATTTAGTTTTTGAGTGTGTGTTATTTGTTTATACTCATCAAATGTCAAGGGCCACTCTATTATTTTCAATACACTTTTATATGGGCACTGTAAGTATGTTGGCTCACTTGTTTTATATAAATCAAACGTAATAAAGGTTAGGTCACTCTTGTAATAAGGCTGGCTGTCTAGGGAACAGAACTCTTGTAATAAGGCTGGCTGTCTAGGGAACAGAACTCTTGTATTAAGGCTGGCTGTCTAGGGAACAGAACTCTTGTAATAAGGCTGGCTCTCTAGGGAACAGAACTCTTGTAATAAGGCTGGCTGTCTAGGGAAAAGAACTCTTGTATTAAGGCTGGCTGTCTAGGGAACAGAACTCTTGTATTAAGGCTGGCTGTCTAGGGAAAAGAACTCTTGTAATAAGGCTGGCTCTCTAGGGAACAGAACTCTTGTATTAAGGCTGGCTGTCTAGGGAAAAGAACTCTTGTATTAAGGCTGGCTGTCTAGGGAAAAGAACTCTTGTATTAAGGCTGGCTGTCTAGGGAACAGAACTCTTGTAATTAGGCTGGCTGTCTAGGGAAAAGAACTCTTGTATTAAGGCTGGCTGTCTAGGGAACAGAACTCTTGTAATAAGGCTGGCTGTCTAGGGAACAGAACTCTTGTAATAAGGCTGGCTGTCTAGGGAACAGAACTCTTGTAATAAGGCTGGCTGTCTAGGGAACAGAACTCTTGTATTAAGGCTGGCTGTCTAGGGAACAGAACTCTTGTAATAAGGCTGGCTGTCTAGGGAAAAGAACTCTTGTAATAAGGCTGGCTGTCTAGGGAACAGAACTCTTGTAATTAGGCTGGCTGTCTAGGGAAAAGAACTCTTGTATTAAGGCTGGCTGTCTAGGGAACAGAACTCTTGTAATAAGGCTGGCTGTCTAGGGAACAGAACTCTTGTAATAAGGCTGGCTGTCTAGGGAAAAGAACTCTTGTATTAAGGCTGGCTGTCTAGGGAACAGAACTCTTGTATTAAGGCTGGCTGTCTAGGGAACAGAACTCTTGTAATAAGGCTGGCTGTCTAGGGAAAAGAACTCTTGTATTAAGGCTGGCTGTCTAGGGAACAGAACTCTTGTAATTAGGCTGGCTGTCTAGGGAAAAGAACTCTTGTAATAAGGCTGGCTGTCTAGGGAACAGAACTCTTGTAATAAGGCTGGCTGTCTAGGGAACAGAACTCTTGTAATTAGGCTGGCTGTCTAGGGAAAAGAACTCTTGTAATTAGGCTGGCTGTCTAGGGAACAGAACTCTTGTAATAAGACTGGCTGTCTAGGGAACAGAACTCTTGTAATAAGGCTGGCTCTCTAGGGAACAGAACTCTTGTAATAAGGCTGGCTGTCTAGGGAACAGAACTCTTGTAATAAGGCTGGCTCTCTAGGGAACAGAACTCTTGTAATAAGGCTGGCTGTCTAGGGAACAGAACTCTTGTAATAAGGCTGGCTGTCTAGGGAAAAGAACTCTTGTATTAAGGCTGGCTGTCTAGGGAACAGAACTCTTGTAATAAGGCTGGCTCTCTAGGGAACAGAACTCTTGTAATAAGGCTGGCTGTCTAGGGAACAGAACTCTTGTAATAAGGCTGGCTGTCTAGGGAACAGAACTCTTGTAATAAGGCTGGCTGTCTAGGGAACAGAACTCTTGTAATAAGGCTGGCTCTCTAGGGAACAGAACTCTTGTAATAAGGCTGGCTGTCTAGGGAACAGAACTCTTGTAATAAGGCTGGCTCTCTAGGGAACAGAACTCTTGTAATAAGGCTGGCTGTCTAGGGAACAGAACTCTTGTAATAAGGCTGGCTGTCTAGGGAAAAGAACTCTTGTATTAAGGCTGGCTGTCTAGGGAACAGAACTCTTGTAATAAGGCTGGCTGTCTAGGGAACAGAACTCTTGTATTAAGGCTGGCTGTCTAGGGAACAGACACTCTTGTAATTAGGCTGGCTGTCTAGGGAACAGAACTCTTGTAATAAGGCTGGCTGTCTAGGGAACAGAACTCTTGTATTAAGGCTGGCTCTCTAGGGAACAGAACTCCTGTATTAAGGCTGGCTCTCTAGGGAACAGACACTCTTGTAATAAGGCATCAATAGACATGATGAATTGTACCTCTTGTTGTCAGCTATGTTCCATTGAACAGTGACATGTTCCACTCTATGATGTCAGCTGAGAAAAACTGTGTCAGTATGACGAATTTGAAATGTATTGTCCTTGTTTACAGCATGTCTGCAATTCAAAAGGTGGCAAGCAGTCAAAGAAGTATGGTCTTTCCAACTTGTTATTCTTGTTTTGGCTTTTACTTTAAATTGCTTTTTCCGCCCAAATGCTCGCAACTCATTTCTCCAGGCATTAGTCACTTCTGCACACATACGTAGTTTCACAGCTGTTTTTAAACTTGTAGTTACAAGAACAAGAACAAGATGGAAGGATAACATCAGAGAAACTCTACAACAGCACGATGTGCCTATGGTCGAGGCAGCCAGAAGAGCTAGAAACAGAACCTTATATCTCCCTCGACACCCACAGTGGTAAAAGAGGAAGTGAAGAAGAAGAAGTTACAATTTCATGGGGAGTCCCCATAGTGTAGCAGCTAAATGCTCACCTGCGGATTGGAAGGCATGGGCTCAGGTCCTGATGGTACTCAACTTTTTTTTGTTTTCCAAAATGACATTGGCTGCCAGGTAAACTCAGCATTGAATGGGTACCAGATGGAGTAATGGGAAGTAGCTGTGGCTGGCGTGATGCTGACCACTTCACCCATTGAGTTCTGATTGGTCTACGAAATATACACCTGAAGGTGTGGAAAGGGTCCCTTACTTTACTTACAGTTTTGTGTGGCATGTGTTAAGAATGACTTTTTTACTAAGGGTATTATCATGGGGTTCATTTTAAACCTCACAACAGGCACAGAGGCATAGAAAGTTTGACTGACTGCTGTTCTGAGCCAGTTGTATAGATGTTTCATAGTGTCATCCCTTTAAAAGGTTAAATGGATAAAGACTTGTTTTTGAGGGACCAACATTTTTTGGGTAGTTGGTTTAGGAGGCTGGCAATAGTGCTTAATAAATCTTAATAACTTTTATACATTAGATAATAACATTTGCTTGAGAGTTCAAATTCTGATTGTAGCATATCACTGGAATATATCTCTGACACAATAAAACAATGTTCACACTAGGCCATGTATTGGATAGGTGCAAAACTGTTAAAATTCCTATACTGTCACATCCAAATGTCTTTATGATATACTGATCCAGACATCCTATAAACAAGGACAGCACATTTTGAATTCTTCACATGTCGTCCAATGGCAGAGCATTAAGATTTCCTGAAACCACTACTAATTGTTACCTCTGTCCAGACCTTTTTAAACAGAAAGACATGAGAATGACCCTATGGTTACCATGGCAAACCAAGCAGTTGCTTTTGAGAGTGTTTGAATTTGTACTTTAGTTATAAAGTATTCACTTATTTGCTTTATTTTATTTTTTTGTCACTGTAGAATGCATCTCAATGAGATATGGCGAAATATGCCAGGCAATAAATTGTGCAATGTGTTATTTATTTTCTCTACCTGTCTGTGAAAAGATTGCTGCTTTGAAAAATTAAATCATATTGGTATACTTTCTTAGATTTTGTTGTAAACACCCATATAGGCAATGTCAAAGTGTTGAAATTCCTTGACAAAACAATTGAGCAATTATCATTATTTTTGTTTCAGAGTCACTTGAGTCGGTATCATCATTTTTGTTTCAGGATCACCCGGTATCATTATTTTTGTTTTAGGGTCACCTGAGTAAGTATCGTTATTTTTTTTTCAGGGTCACGTGAGTGAATATCATACTATTTTTATTTCAGGGTCACTTGAATGAATATCATACTATTTTGTTTTAGGGTGACTTAGTACCCCACCATTATTTTCACACAAGCGGTAAATACCAGATGACACAGTCATGCCACTATTTTTATTTGAGGATCACCGTGAGTGAGGTCCCCGACCTGTTCAGCCTTTAGGCCATATTTATGGCCAGGCTATATTGCGGACCCAATTTTGTTTGGAGTAGGGCTTCAAATAATGGAAAAAAAAAAAGGACTAGAAATACCTTACTATCATATTATTTTTATTTTAGTGTCACTTAAGTGAATATCATACTATTTTTATTTCAGGGTCACTTGAGTGAATATCATAATGGTTTTTTTCAGGGTCACATGAGTGAATATCATATTTATTTTTATTTTAGGGTCACTTGAGTGAGCTACTGACTGAATATTTTAAAGATATTGATTCCAGCCAAGTTTTGAGTGACCCAATTCTGTTTGGAGATTTCCGGAATGCACTAGAGGAAGGGGAACCAAGAATTTATGAGGATATGCAAGATTATGAAGCTTGCAAAGCTATTTTCCAGGAGGTTAGTGTTTGTAAGAAGCATGTTTACAACATATATATTCAGTAGTAACCCTTTTAAGCACATACAGTTTGTTTTGTTTTTAACTCTTTGAATCACAGGGTGTTTAACATCAGAGGCCCAAGGGGTAGACAAGATGATGCCTTCCTTGGGACTCAAAGAGTTAAGGAAAAAAAGAAAGAAAAAAAACCCTTTTTTTAAAGTCATTAGTGCATCGATCAAATGGTGTTTGACAGATATTTTTAGAAATCAGTGAGCACTTTGTTGATGATTTAGTCAATGTCATGCTTGCCACCTTTATTTCCCAAAACATCTCTAGTACCTTTTATTAAGTTACCCTGTCATGTTAAAAATAAAGAATCTTCAGACTTCTCAAAGAGTGTTCTCCAGAGATAGTCAAAGGGAATGTTCATGGGAAACTCGACTCTTTTATTACCACCAAACAGCTGATATTTTAGTTTCATCTGTTCTGAAAAGTTGTTACTTTAATAACTATTTGAGTGTAACAAATTAAAAGAATAGTTACTTTAACTCTTTAAGTCCCAAGGAACGCATCATACATTCATAGTTTTCTACCTAGAAGCCCAGTGAATGCAAGATGTGCCGATTTTACGTCTCTCTTGACTACCCCTTGGGCCTCTGATGCTAAATCCCCCTGGGACTCAAAGAGTTAATAAATATTTTATGTTTGAACAGTTTCTGTATAAACAATGGATCATTATCATGACACAAGTGTGGTAACCCATAAGTACTCTGTTCTGCTTCTAACTGAAGCTTGAGTCTGAAAAATCTCAGTGCAGTGCAAAAGCTCCTGAAAATACTTTGGTAGATTTTTAAACTCTAAATTTTGTCCAGGCAGTGCCGTTAAACTAATTTTTCCTATTTCCAACTGCCAAGGATTTTTTGTGTGCGCAACAATACACATAGGCATCTGATCTTACTACCCAGAGACCAGGGGAAATAACTAGAAGTCCAAGTTAAAAAATCCCAGCCTTCACCAGGGCCTGAACCCAGGACCTCCAGCACTCGAGGCGAACGCCATGCCTCGAGACCACTCAGCCCCCACCCCCCTCTAATAAATAAATGTTTGAGTATGACAAGGTAAAATAATAGACACTTTAATAAATGTTTGAGCATGATAAGTTAAAATAATACTTACTTTAATAAGTGTTTGAGTATGAGAGTTAAAAAATAATATTGAGAAATATTAAATTACAGGAGATTTTGAGGTGTTAAGCCTCCACATATTGTAGGCTTTAACATATTAGGTGAGATGGCCAGTTCCCTTCCTTGTTACCTTTCTTTCCCAGAAAATTTCCAGAAAATTTTAGAAATTGATATCTATTTGATGAAGACCTATCTGATGAGACTGGTCAACCCCCAGAGTCTAACTGTGCTGAAAAAATCCATGCCACATCTGGGGATTGAATGCAGGCAACTGTGTCAAGCAAGCAGGAAGGCTAACCGAAGCAATAACTGCTGAATGGAGTCAGATGTGTCACTGAAAGGCCTATATACCACAGCCCTACTGTAAATGGCCAGAATACATTGTTATCCTCAGATGAACACGGAAGAAAAAGAAGTCTCAAGCAAGCTAACCACTATGCCACAATTTATAAATCAATACAACTGTGAAATCAGCATTGTTGAGTGAAGCACAAAAATTCATTTGTTGCAGATTCTAGATGATTATAATGAAGTTAAAAGGAGCATGCCATTGGTTCTCTTTGATGATGCAGTGGAGCATCTAACTCGCATCCAAAGAGTGTTGAGGATGTGCAGGTGGGTTTAAATGCTGATATGCCTTTAGTAAAAGTAAGTTTACAACCCTTTTCACACCATTTGCTTACTAGGCATATTTTTGTTTTGTTTAAATAGACTAATTTACACTCAGTGGGTAATGCAGTTAACATCCTGCCAGCCATATTTACTTCCCAGGAAATTTAATGTACATTGACTGGACCATCTCTAGAGGTAAAAAGTCTTATTTCTTGTGTATTTGTACATGCTAGAGACATCACCCATCAAGGGCCTATTGGTCTAAACAAAATAGGAGACTAGCTTCACTTTCCTGATGTGTCACTTTACTTTACTTCACTTTACTTCACATCACTTTACTTAAATTCACTTTACTTTACTTCATCTAACTTTACTTCACTTTGCTTTACTTTACTTCACATAACTTTACTTTACTTCCCTTTACTTTACTTCACATCACTTTACTTTACTTCCCTTTACTTTACTTTAATTTACTTCACTTCACTTTACTTCACATGACTTCACCTAACTTTACTTAACTTCGCTTTACTTAACTGTATTTTACTTTACTCCACTTTACTTCACTTTACTTCACTTTACTTTCACTTCACCTTACTTCACTTACCTCACTTCACTTTACTTCACTTCATTTCAGTTTACTTTACTTCACTTTGCTTTACTTTATGTTACTTCACTTCACTTTATTTTACTTCACTTCGCTTCACTTTACCTCACTTCTACTTCACTTTACTTTACTTCACTTCACTTCACTTTGCTTTACTTTGCTTCATGTCACTTCACTTTACTTTATTGTACTGTACTTTTACTTTTTTTACTTTTACTTCACTTTACTTAACTTCACTGGAGTCATTATCCATTTAAAGCACTCAAATTTTGAAGCTGTAAATGCTATGAAGCTGAAACTAAGATTACCAGATTACCAAAGTTTGAGGCTGTAGATATCTTGTTTCATAACAGATGAGGCTTTACAAAGGTGGGGAAGTTACCCCCACACTTTAAGTCCCTGTTCTGGAGGAGCAGAATTAAAAACACCATTAATTACTAGCATTAGGAGGAAGATAACAGACTGTGATGTGATGGGGCATACACAGAGAATGACAGAAAATATAGAGACTGCCAATTACTGCCTTTAGGCGGGGGGGTCTTTGAGCCTGAGGATTTATGGCCACATGGCTAGTGCTGTCACCACCACTGTGAAGGTAGGGATTTTATTTTGAACCCGACAGAAAAATCCCCAGCCCTACAAGGATTTGAAACTGGGTCTCCCGCTTGAGAGCCCAGCGTTCTAACTGTTCAGCCAGCCACTCGAAAATATAGAAACAAAAACTGCATTCACAAAAAAATGATTGTGAGTAGATCAAACTACGAAGATGCTAAAGATTAAAATATTTAGGCAGTACAGATACTTAGAGTCAGCAAATGGAAAGAGAAGGCCAATAGCAGAGGGGAAAAGAAGCAGATAATGTCTACAGCAACTATTATCAATGGCTCAAGTGGCTGAAGAAGAAGAAGAAGTAGTATTGTAAGCTGACTTCAGTATGATTCATTGTTTTGTCATTTCACAGGGGAAACTCTCTCCTGGTGGGTGTGGGAGGCAGTGGCAAGCAAAGTTTGTGTCATTTAGCTGCTCATGCTGCTCGATGTGAGATCTTCCAGATCATGCTGAGTCGAGGCTACAGTGAGAACAATTTCAGGTCAGGATCTTCTTACAGTGCCATTTTAATTTCTTATTTCCTTTGACTTTCCTCTTTCCTTTTGTCTTTCCTCTTTCCTTTTGTCTTTCCTCTTTCTTTGTCTTCCTTCTTCTGACCCTCTCTCTACCATTTACTTAATTGCAGGATGTATGATATGTGAGTGATTCCAAATGGATCAATGCATTTTATGTGATCTGTAACTTTTTATGTTTGGCCACAGCACACTAAAAAAATCTGGCTTCCCTGTTGGTTATACATACTTTGTAGACTATCTGAAAGTTTCATACTTGTAAATTATCATATTGGTTATTTTGCACCATCAGCAAGTGCTGCAATTAACATTTGATTAACAGTACTTCCCTCACTAGGTATGTATGTTTGGGTGATACAATTCATGCAGTATATTGTATTCTGCAGTTGAAAATGTGGTGTTTTGAAATAATTATTGTACTATGCAGACTGAATAGTTTATACATGACTGTCTCTGAATATCCCAAACAAGAGCAGTCAATAAATTGTAATTTCATGTTCAGCACCACAAAACTAGTAAAGATTGTAATTGTTTTCAGAACAGGACACTGTTTTTAAGTCAGTTCTCGTTGATGTTCAGATCATGTAGGTCTTTCTTCTTCTTGGTCCACTGTATACTAAAAATGTTTATGTAGCATTTCAGTTCAAAAGCTCCAGTTTTTGTCATCATTAATTAAGAATCTGTGACAAACATCCATAAGTTGCCACGGGAAAGATGCATGATCTCAAAATGTTTACTTCAGCTTGCTTGCAGGTGCTGTGCCACAGGTTCTTACCAGTGCCAAATGTAGTCATTAGCACGAAAGAAAAAAGACAAATCATAGCAGAAATGAAATGTCTATGATGAATCCTAAATGTAACTAGAAGAGAAAGGATCAAATTTGACCATATTAGGAAAGAGGTTGGGATGGAACTGCTACTCAACTACAACAGATCAAATGTTTCTGACATGTGGAGAGTATCTATGGGCCAGTAGGCAGGTGTTAAGTACGACACTGCAGCTCTCAAATGTTTTTGTTTGTTTATTTTGTTTTATTAACTTATGTATTTTTCAATCCTTTATCCTCAGAGATGATTTAAAAAACCTGTACTCAAAACTTGGTACAGAAAACAAACAAATGGTCTTCTTGTTTTCTGATCAGCAAGTGGCTGAAGAAGGTAAGATACATGCATTTTACCTCTTTCGGTCCCAAGGAATGCCTCAGCAGTTCAGAGGTTCCTACCTAGAATCCAAGTGAATGCAAGACAAGCCAATTTTGTGTCTTTATTTGCTAACCCTTGGGCCTCTAATGCTAAACCCCCTAGGACTGAAAGAGTTTATGTATACATATAATCTGACTGTCATGTTTGTGTTTCATTGAATATGTTTTTCTTTCTTCATTAGGGGTGAGACTGTCAAGATATTTGATTCATGCCATCTTCTTTTTCTTCACGTTAACTGGCTGTAAACGCCAGTGGAAGGTTCTGGTTGTTCTCTTCTGGAATCTGGTCCTTTTACAGAACCTGAGTGTTGCGTGCTTATCCGTTTCACAGGTCTGACTCACTTGCATAAACTTGGTTCCTTGCCTCTCAGGCAGATGTTCTCCAACTTTGAAGGAAGCTCTAAATACAACAATAAGAAAGAGACAAACACTGTTCTTTGGCCATGCAGTGAGAAAAGAGACATTGGAGAACATCGTGACAACTGGAAAGATCAGTGGAAAAAGGGGCAGACCAAGAGAGATGATGCTGGATGGGCTTAAATGGTTGCATGGAGGGATATCATCAAGAGAGCTGTTCCAAGCAGCCAGGGATCGTGATCTGTGGAGATGCATGAGCGTTAAGGCCAGTTGGCAGGGCACATGATGATAAAGATGATGGAAACATTAGATAATAAAGTGGACGACAAATAGTGAAAGGGCTCTGATTGTAAGAAGGCCAGTCTATGAGCCTTTGAAAAAAAAAGTAATTTCCTTTGTTTGTTTCCTCATCTTTTATGATTCAGTCTAATCAATTTGAGGTTCGATTATTACATTTTCATCAGACCACATTTCCACTGCATTAGACATTTTTCAAGTTGGCTGCAACAACATCTGTTTTAAAAGGAAACCTTTCAAAAATCTGCTTTTGTTATGATGATTCTTAACATATATTCTCCAATTAGTATTTTCTGTCAGATTTATTCATAGTTTCAAGTGTTGCACCATTGAACAGTATAGTATTCCTTGTTTCCTGTGTTGTTGCTGTTGTTATTATTATTGTTATTGTTGTTTTTGTTGTTGTTGCTGCTGCTGCTGTTGAGATGACCATTAGGTTTGTTTTCTTAGAGTGTAATTCTCACCCTAATTGTGTAACCTGTCATTCACCTAATTCTGCAATTTTTTTTTTAAAATTTGGTATCGAAATTGATTAAAGATATATCATTTGTATTTGTTATATTGTTAACAGGTATTTTGAAGGTTTGGAGATTTGAAGAAAAAATATGTTGGATTTAAAAAAAAAAAAGAAAAAAGAATTACAAGGAGACTGAAATACAAATGGAGAAGAGCACCAGAGAGATGATAAAAAATATGAAACTTCCGAGCTCAGCAATCACTAGTGTGAGTTAAGTAGAAGACCTATTCTGCAATGGAGGATGATGAGCTGAAGAAAAAGAGAAGGGGAAGGAAGAGGAAATGAGGAAAAAAAGATGGGAGGAGGGAGAAGACAAGAAGGAAGCAAGGAGGAAAACAATATATTAATATAATAGGTGTGTGTGCAGGTGGGTGCACTTGCGCCCATGCATTGTGGATGGGGTATGGATGGGTGAGGAAGGGGAAGAGAGAGAGAGAGGGGGGAATAATGATAAAATAATTAAAAAACTTATTTTTCACTGACCTTTATTCATTCTAATAATCTTTGGCAGGATTCCTAGAATTAATAAACAACATGTTGACTACAGGAATGGTTCCTGCCTTATATGCAGATGAAGAGAAAGATGGTATTATCAACTCAGTAAGTGTTCTTGTAATCAATTTATTTTTTTTTAAGTCAAAAAAAGTTCTAAGCAAAACATTTAAAACAAGCTTAAAAAGAAAAGAATATTTATCAATTTTTTCTTTTTCTTCTTCTTTCATTTACTTGAAATAGGTTACCTATATCTGTTTATCACACCCTCCCCGAGGTAGTCCTGGTAACTGGGGGTACAAATCCCCAGGCAAAACACAATGAATCTAGAGGAGCAAACCTCGATAAAAAACCCGGTGCACCACACCGTACTGCCCCCTGTGGGAGGGAAGGAGCCGGAGGGGTGCTGAACAGTCTTAGGAGTGGAAACAAGTATGCTAACCCCCTGAATACTGGAAACTATCGTGAAGGCACAGGGACTCAGGACATGATGATCCAGTTGCCCAAACTACTCATGCTTAGGCCATGCTTAGAGCCAAGAAGAGCTCAACGAAAACTGCAGGCAATCTGGTGGCGGGAAATGAGCACACTGTGAGCCCCACATTAGCTACGTGTCAAAGGGGAAGGCAGAAACACAATCCATATTCCCCTAAGAACTGACACAGCTCACTTCTGGCTGCTGTCTGGGGAGGGAGGTAATCCACAGTCACCCCAGCAGGACAATGCAATAAACATGAAAGAGTCTAAATTTATACGTACGAGATCGGTCGTCGCCTCGTCTATCAAGGCCCGCGCCAGACAGTGGGAAACCAGGCTGTCATGTGCGAAAAATTGGCTACTGGAAAATTAAGGGAAAATAGGAAAATCAGGCACCCCAGAAGAAGGCAGAGTGGGAGGGAGAGCAAAGAGAAAGACCGCACCGCCAAAAAAATTATATGTTTATCACTTTATAACTCGGGTGGGTAAAAAAAAAAAATTAAATTTTTTCCTATTGTCTACAATGGGATTGTTTTATTCTTCTTTTTTCTTCTTCTTAGCAGTCACCACCTATAAACTCTTGCAGCAGGTTTTAGTTATTTATTTACTTTAAGACTTTGGTCTTGCTCCAGAACTTGAATTTTTTTTAATGCAAATCAATGTTATATGTCTGGTCATTTTTGTATGTTGGCTGTTTGTGCAGATGCACTCCAACTTCAGGAAAAACACTCATAATTAGTTACCTTTTTACAATAGGTTTGTTAGGGGCCGTAGGTATTTTCCTCTTTCTCCGCAAAATCGACTCATAAAATTCCTCATTTAAATGCATGACTTTACATTCAGTGGCTTCTGATAGTTACAGAATTAAGCTGAATTATTTCTCCCTAGAATGGTTAAATATTGGTTTAAAATCTAATTGAAACACTCCAAATAATACATTTTGTCTCTATAATATTTTTAGTTGTGTTTAGAGTAGTTTTGATTTCCGTTTAACAAAATAATAATATATCTATCATCAACAGTATATTATTTTTATTTTCACCGCTCACGTCAAGGGTACAGCAGTTAGATACATCAAGTTGCAGCATTGTTAACGTCAAATAACCAGCTTCCTTAACTTATCATTCATTCTTCTGCTTTTCTTTCCTGATGGAGCATAGATATTCATCTAATTCACATGATTTTTTTGGTAGACTTGTTGGTTTTTGCCACAAAGTTGTCTACAGGAGTTGTTGGCTAGTCTCACACAAATCATATCCTTGGCTCCCTCTTATGGCATGTTTGTTGGCTACAGAATTACTATTGATTGTGGACCCTACAAACACATAGACATTTAATGAAGATTAGCAGTTTTTTCCTTGATTAAATATGTCTTGTTAAGGTCGATGTCCCATAAAAAGCACAGCCAACATCATTAAATGTTTCATCATCTGTTTCGAGTACTGTGCAGACTGGCATAAGCAGTTATGCTTCTCAGTAACTTATGATCTCCCACAGAATCAATCTATTTGTGCACAAGTGGATGTTGGTTAGATATATAAAGTAACATTTTTAAATAAAAAAGAAAAAAAAGAGCAAAAGAACTGCAAATATAAATATATCTTTTTTCTCCTTCACATTCACAGGCTGTAAACTCTAGTGGAAAGTTCTGGTTGTTTGTCCACCTCACCTCTGGACTATAGTCATGTACTAGAACCTGAATTTTGCATGCACATCTGTTTTACAGATCTGATATATGTGTATGCAACATCTTGGTTCCGTGCCTCTCGGGCAGATGCACTAGACTCCCAGGAAGCCCCCAGTCAGTCGACTTTTACGACATGCTTGTTTGAGAAGGTGGTGGGTCTACTCTTGTTTGTTCCAGTAGTGGAACATCAGAATACACACAAGGAATATAAATATATGAAAGTGTGCAATGGAGAGGCCAGGATCGTTTGCATACACTGATCAAACATACAAGTTAATATAATAAATTATTTGTAAGAAAGAGGAACTCTCACACCAACTCAGCTTTTAAAAAATAAAAAAAATTATGAATTCACTAAACATAAAGAATAATTAGGAAGCTGAATGAAGAACAGAAGTAAACAGCTCACATAGATTCAAATGAATCACATTTAAAAGAAAAAAAAATTACAAACTGGAGTATTTATGAATGAAAAAACAACAGTAAGAAGGAGAGTCCACAGCCCATTTTTGTGTCTGTACTTTATTCCCTTTTTTCATCTGGAAGAGCTTCCAAATTTGTTAGGTAAATCCATCTCTTGATATCAGCTTGAATGCAGTCACCTCTATTTTCAATGTATCAAAGAATGTGTTTTTGATAACTGTATTGATGCTTCTCAGATGAGAACTGAGGCTGCTGTTGCTAATAAGGGACCTGGCAAAGAGAGTATCTGGCAATACTTTGTAGACAAGTGTGCAAACAATCTTCACATTGTGTTGACCATGTCGCCTGTAGGGGAAACTTTGAGAACACGCTGCAGGAACTTTCCAGGTGTGTCATAGTGTTTATTTCTGCACTGCCTGAAAAAAAAACTTTTCTTTTAATAAAAAAAAAAATGCCAATACTGTTGTATTTACCACTTTTGCGTTGTAGACAGGGAGATCTTTGATCTAAGAATTTAAAACCGCATGGTCAATGCTGTTGCCATGGACTGTGCAGGTTAGAATTTCATTTTTGCACACAAAAGAAAAATCCACAGCCGTAACAAGGATTTTAATCTGGGTCTCCTGTATGAGAGCCGAGGATTAATAACATTCAGCCAGAAGTTCCTCATTTTGCAATGAAAAGTTTGTAATGTGAGTGACTCGTTTGCTATGAAGCTGAAACTAAGATTACAAAGATTACCATGTGGGTAAATGTTAGAGGAATTACTTCATTGTACTGTTTTTTTAATCCCCCATATGACTTGGTCTTTCTTTGTAGATTAACTGGACACCTGCTAAGATGGTAGCCCAGAGGATGAATTTTTGCACTTCCAGCAATGATCCATGGGATCTCTAAAAGACCTGTACATAAGATCTTCTTTTTCTTCTTTGCTTCGGTTTCGTATGTTCAGATCTGACCATCAGGCGGGTTGCCTCTGTGAACTCGCATGTCAGTAGCAGCTCCTTCATGGTTCCCTATAGCTTGCTCTGCACACTTTGCTCTTGAGGCCATGTGTCTTTTCAAAGTTTTATATAGAATGGGCAGGTCTGCAGAATGTACTCAGGTGTTTGTGGTCCTGTTTGACAGGCACACTGTGGGGACTGTACAGTCTTTATTTTATGCATGTGGTAGTTGAACCTTCAATGTCCTGTTTGTAGATGGAAGATTATTGTCTGTTGCTTTCTGTTGAGTCTGCTAATGGAGTCTTGTGGATGTTTACTGTTAGTTTGTTCTCTATACAATTCCTTATATTTTCCTTTGAATACTAAAGATAAGGAGATAAGTCTGAAATTGAACCCACAATCTTTAAAATGCAGGGCAAATATCTTACCACTTTTGCAGACAGCTATGCATACATTTTTATTTCAAGTATAAGAAAAAGAGAGAATTATAGAAATCTAGTGTAGTGTGAAAAGTAATTTAATTGAGTTTTAATCATAAACAACAAGCAGCCATCCATCAGAATTTTGAGAGCATGCCTCTTCTCTGTAGCAACATATGGATGTGAGTCATATATGTGATTCATTAGGGAAATAAATAGGCACTTCTGAAATTTGTTAGAAAGATTCTTAGAATACCATGTACCAAGAATATTAGAAATGCTGACAGTGTGTCAGTGACACAGACATGGGAGCTCACAATGAAAATTTGTCAAAAGTTTACTATAAGCACTATGAAGTTGTTTCCCTTAAAGAAATGTAGAAGAATGAATGACTAAAGGCTTCAACCAAATTCATCACTAAAATCATGATTACAACATGACGGTGAGCATCAGTAGTTGTGATTATAAGGGGTGCAATCATGGTAGCCAGGAATAAATGTTGCCTGATCGCTTAACATGTGATCGAGGTAATCAGTGGGTTAATACCTGTATCATTCATGTCCTGCTCCCACACATCTTTATATCTTATTAGAGGATGACCTTTGTTTGATATCTACCTATATTGCCCTTACAGTTTTAAAAACTATACAACTGAGTCCTTGCAAGCAAATTGAATTATTTCAGGAATTGTCAACAATGCCATCATTGACTGGTTCTTCCCCTGGCCTGAGCAAGCTCTGTATGCAGTGGCCAGTGTTATGGTGTCACCAGATGTGAGTGGGCTTGTGTTTTTGTTTTGTTTTTGTTTAGTGAAGTCTGTCATAAATTATAGTGGTCTCTGTGGAGAAATATCTAAACCATTTGTCTCCTGCTGTGAGTGGGCTGCGTGGTCTTGAGGCATGGTGTCTGTCTCGAGTGCTGAATGTTCCGGATTCAATCTCCTTTAATGGCTGGGATTTTGTTCACAAGGACTTGGAATTCTAGTAATTCCCCCTGGTCTCAGGGTAGTGAAATCGGATGCCCGAGTGCATTGTTGCGCACGTAAAAAATCCCTTGGCAGTTGGAAATCGAAAAGAGTAACCTAACGGCGCTGCCCGGGCAAAATTTTGAGTTAAAAATCTACCCAAAGTATTTCAGGATCCTCGCCAGTGCTACAGAGTCTGTGCACTGTGCTAAGCCTCTTCAGACTCAGACTTGAGTTAGAAGAAGAACAGAGCACTTATGAGTACTACCCATGTGCCATGATGTTGATCTGGTGTTCAAACTTCAAACTTCAAATGTCTTCTGCTGTGAGGAGTGGAAATTTGTATCATCTCCATCCTCAGGTTGGCTGATGCTGCACCAATTGGTGGTAACTTGATGCACACAAACTAGATGTTATTAAGGCTTTTTGGGAGAGAGTTGACAGTGAAGAAGCACAGACAGATCTTTATAGTTAGAAAATAATGGTGTAGTGGGAAATGGCAAGTTGTTCTGGCCAACAACCAACACTCAGAGGAGAGGCAAGTCAGACAACAAAGTTATCTTCGAAATTGGAACTCTTTGCTGGCTCCTAGAGACAGGGACAAAGCACTTATGGGATTATCTTGAACGCTATGATTTTTGGTTCCCAACTCAACTCAGGTTTGGTCGTCATCCTTTTATTCATGGATTTGAGTGTTTTGGAGATCTTTATTACTTATGATTAGAATTATAGGGTTTTGTGGTTAGTGCTGTGCTGATGACTGGTTATCATCTACTTTAAGGAATCTCCTTTTGATGTTGGCATTTTTGTCTCTATATCTCTTTATTTTCCCCCATCTTTTTCTGCTTTGTTGCTAAATAGATGCTTGAAGTTACATTGTGAAGCAAGGTTACACATGGGAGACTGATTTATTGGTCATCAGGCACTGCAATGGCTGCAAGCATTTGGTTTTGACTTATCAAGAGTTCCCATTGACTTTGCTGTGATCTCTCTAAGTCATTTGTAAGCTCTTTTTTCTCTATCTCTACAGAATGTTCTGATACCGCAGGAGCACAGAACAAACCTGATTGCCCACTGTGTCATGGTCCACCAGAGTGTCTGTGATTACAGTGTTCTATTCCTGCAGAGACTGCGCCGGTACAATTATGTGACACCCAAAAACTACCTGGACTTTATTACTTGTTACCTGAAATTGCTAAAGGAGAAAGATCTGTTCATTCTTTCACAAGTAGGCATTTTTAAAAAAATTGGTTTGAATTTTAGTTTAGAAAAAATACTAGTCAGTTATAACCTCTGGCTAAATCCGGCAATCATCCAAGGAAATGGTATTTGAGCAGTTATAATGGCAGTCACACATGCATAAGACCCAGGATTCAACCCCCATGTGGGTTCCGGAACCCTGTTATAGGCAAAACAAGAATAGACCCACTGCCTGCCCAAAAGCATGTTGTAAGAGTCAACTAATTGAGAGCTTCCTTTGAAGTTGAAGTGCATCTGCCAGAGAGGCAAGGAACCAACAGTCTGCATACAAATTAGTCAAATCTGTCAAACGGATGCACATGCAAGACTCAGGCTCTGGAACAGCTACAGAACCAGAACTTTCCACCTGAGTTTACAGCCGGTGAAGGTGAAGAAAAAGAAGAAGAAAAATCCCCAGCAAGACCCACACACACAAATGACTGTTGTGGTGTTCATTGGTAAAAACAAAGAAAGTTGTTAACCCACATTTGGTTGGGTTCTACTGAAGATTGCTGACATGATACTGGCTATTCTCCCTAGAAGACTTTAGGTGGAAAATACAACCAGTCAAGACCAAAGCAACAAAGAGCTTGATGGTGAGTTGATTGAAGGCCTGTGCTCCAGTATGAAATAAAAGGCAGGTGAAGAGAAGAGACGACAATAAGATGTCATCAGTCGGAATTGAAATAAGTATTTTGTTGGCCTTTACTCTTCAGGAGTTGTACAGTTCGGAGGAGCAGATTGATCACCACAGTGTGGTTAGATTGATACAGTTGGGGATGACGAGAGGCTCTGGCAGATGCTCGAGGCTCAGAGGAAAGGCAAGACAGACGTTTAATCAGAATGCTACTGGCACCATTAGTATTGGAATTCTTTGCTGGCTGCTGAAGATGGGGATGGAGTGCTTATGGGAATGCCCCGAGTGCTGTGATGTCAGTTCTTGAATCAAATCAATTCAAATCTTCAGGACAGCTGTTCTATAGCAATGGCTAATTCTCAACACTTTCAAAATCTTCCTGTTGAGTTGTGTCAAGAATTGACATCACAGCACTCGGAGCATTCCTATGCATGCTCTGTCCTCATCTTCAGCAGCCAGCACAGAGTTCCAATACTGATGGTACCGGTCACAATCTGTTTATATGTCCATCTTGCCTTTCCTCTGAGTGTAGTGAGCCTGCCAGACCCTCTGGTTACACCCAGATGCCTCATTCTCTCCAGGCCATAATAATCTTCTATCTCTACTGATTCCGTCGCTTGTTCCCAAAGGGCCTTGACCACATCTGCCTTTAACTTCAGTGTCATTAGCCTTTGTTTAGTTTGTTCACGTAAAACATAGAGCTAATTTAGGCAAATATAATAATACATTTAATTGAAAAAAAATTTTTACTGTTAAAATAGATAAACTATCACCTCATGTCATGCTGCATTATTTCATCAGCCCAAAGGCTAAATAACTGCAATATTGGTCCCAAATACTGGTCTTCCACATTAATAGTAATATGATGGCTAGCATTTTTGCCTGTCAGCCTGTATGTCAAATGTTTGAATCCTCCTTGAGGCAATAATAAAAGCTTAATTTGCAATCTTAAAGTAGTGTAACCTTAAATTAGCAACTAAACTATAATGAGCACTAAAGTGCCCAGCCATTTTCTTTCTAGGGCATCATCTTGCCTTGTATTCTAATGTTCTTCTGTAATATGCTCAAACTAAGGGTGTGTTTAAATTCTTAAACAAAAATGTATTTACTCAACCCCTCTATTGTATTTACTAAACCCCTCTGGGAGTTCCAGGGCCCCACTGTGGGGTTAGAAGAGAGTGCATCCCCCCCTTCCCCTTGCCCCCGTAATATGTCACAAAATCAACTAATTAAGGGTGTTTCTTTTGAAGTCATAGTGCATCAGCCTTGGAGCTGAGGAAGCATTAGTCTGTATACAAAAAAGCCACATCTGTAAAACAGACATGCTACACAAAATCCAAGGTGTCAATTAAAACTAAAGACCAGAAGTAGATGATCAACCAGAATTCTAAACCAGAGTTTACAGCCGGTGAATATTAAAAATATAAATATATCTCCTGTTATTCTTCATCCTTTATTTATTTATTTTGTAATAGTTTTAAAAACTGTGTCAGTGACCATTGTCTCTGTAGGCAAGATGTTTAAGGTTATCGATGTGACTAAGTATTGGGGAAAGAAGCATGCTGATTACTTGTTTCTGTGTGTGTTTTTATATATTTTTGTGTCGTTGAATGTGTTGTTGGGGCATGCTGGGTATTTGTGTTGTTTTTATTTAGTGGAATGTGTGGGAAAAGCATGCTGGGTATAACTAGTAAACTAAATTTTCATTTCAGTGTGAGAGACTGCAAGGTGGACTGTCTAAAATTGAAGATGCTACAAAGATGTTGGCCATCCTGAATGAGAAGCTGGCTGTACAGAGGGTTGCGGTCACTGAAAAAACAGTCGCTTGTGAGGCTTTGCTTCGAGAAATTGCCCAGTCTAGTACCCAGGCTAATGAAATGAAAAGTACAGCAGAAGTCAAAGCACAAGAAATAACAGAGTCCAGCAAAATTATTGCAGTGGAAAAGGTAACAAGGATTTATTGTTCCATTTCCTGCACATTTCTCTTCTTTATTTAAAGTTTTGTGTTTGTTATTTCAAGCATGATTTACTTGTTTACCTCTATTCAGCTTTCACTCATCATCATCATGGAAAAGGACCCTTTCCCATGCCTTTGTGCATATTGGAGATATAAGGCTAGACCTGTATTTCCTAGACCAGTCAGCACACTGTGGGTGATGTGGTCAGCATCACGCTGGCTGCCTTTACTTCCCAGCACTATACCTGGTACTCACTCAGTCATTTTTTTTTTTTTAAGTCTGACTCCATCAGGACCCGAGCCAACCTTCTGATCCACAGGTGAGCGTCTAGCTGCTACACTACGGTGGCTTTCCATCCATGTAGGAGGTGCTTTATAGCAGTCATGTCAGACTTGCAGCCTTTGCAAAAAAGGGTTGTTTTTAAATGACTTCAATTGATTGTCATATGTGGCTCTCAAAGAAATACAAATGTGGCGCATATGAGCCTTATGGAGCTCATAATTTGACATGCCTGCCTTATAAAACATTATAGAACTTCACTCCCATCACTGCCCACCTGTAGGAAACTTGATCTCTCATCAGCTTCCCCACCTCATGCAACTTCCTACACAAAATGTTTACTATAAATTGTATCCACCTTAGTGCTGGTCAGCCCCTGCCTCTGTTTCATGGTAGCATAACCTCCATTACTGTTTTTCCAAGTTATTGTGGCATTTGTAAAAATAAAGGCAATGGACACTTTTCACTCCTTTATGGGATTCAGCATATAGTGCTAGACCTATATTGTTTATTGACCAGTTGACATTCACTGGATACCCATTTTAGTTGTGACATTTTATGTGACCAAAATACTTCAGTGCAGTTTATGAGCCAGTTTTCTTTAATGTTCTTATCTTTTAGAATGTTAAATTTCTTTTTATCTTAATTCTTGGTGTCCTCAGAATCTGTCTGTAGCATTTCAGCTCAAAACCCCACATTTTTCTTCCATAGGAGCCTTTCATTAGCAGGTTAAAACATAGATCTTTAGCATTTTAACGAAAAATGAAAACTGTCTTAACTTGTATTTACCACTTTTGTGTTGCAGGTGAGGGTTAAGTGGGGATCTTTGAACCTTGTGATTTAGAGTTGCCTGGGTAGTGAAATTGTCATGGACTGTGCAGATTGTAATTTTATTTTTGCCTCTAAGAGAAAAATCATAATCTTATTGAGATTTCAAACCTGAGTCTCCCGCTTGTGATCCCAGAATACTCAACTATTTTGCCAGCTGCACCCCAGTTTTATTTATCATCAGTTCTCGTTATGCCTAGTGGCACATGAGGCTTCAGAGAGGACTTTCCATGCTTTCCTGTCCTGTGCAATCTTCAGTGCAGTTTTCCATGTCAAAGATGCCGCACTCAGGTCACTTTCCATCGTTCGTCTCTATATTGTTTTTTGGGCGCCCCTGTTTTCTCTTTCCCTCTGTTGTCTATGTGAAAGCTGTTTTGGCAGGTATATCAGAAGTCATTCTCATAACGTGGCCAAGCCATTTCCATCTTCTCTTGGTAATCATACTGTCTAAAGTTTCTTGGTTTGTGGCTTGAAGTAGTTTAGTGTTTGAGATTGTATCTGGCCAGAACATTTTAATAATTCTACGTAGACATGTGTGGTGAAAGGTGGACAGCTTGTGTGCATCCTTTTTGGTCATTCTCCAGCATTCCGCTCCATAAAGAAGAACTGGCAAAATGATGCTTTTGTAGAGTCGGAGTTTTGTTCCTCTGCACTAATTGTTGGATTTCCAGATTTGCCTCATCCTTCCAAAAGCAGCTTTAGCTTTGTTCAGGCGTGACTGTATGTCTTCCTCTGTCCCTCCCAGTAGGGACACCACACTGCCAAGATATGTGAAATGTTCTACATTTTCAAGTGATTGGTTACTTATGGTCACTGGTTGTTGGTTTGGACTGTTTGTCATAATCTTAGTTTCCTTTGTATTTATTCTCAGTCCCACCATTTCTGCTGTGCAGTGTAGTTTGTTACTTTTCTTTTTTGTTTGTTATTTATAGCAACTATTATTTAGTTTTCTTATTCTTTTTTGCCATGTACAAGAGAAATTAACACCATAACTTAGTGCCAACTAGCAAAGATGATCGGAAGAGAGCAAGGTAAAGACTGTAAGGTAAGGACTTGGATGGCTAAGTCACAGGTTAGATAGGTTAAAAACACAGACTTGATCAATGATTTTGGTGATCATGTATTCAGGGAAAGACAGGGTGGCAAGTGAAGAATAGGCTGACCATGCAAACAAAAGAGAGAGGAAAATTATTCACTAGAAATCCCCAATTACAAAGCCCACAAACAAGCACTTTCCATAAATTATACTTTACTTCGACACCCCAAAGTACTAGAGGATCAAGATTAGATAAGAAGATTCAAGTAAAAGTCTGTATACCTGTCTCTTAGTATGTCAGCTGCCTATCTGTAAGCATACCTACCTTTCATTTAAGCTGAAAATAAAGCATATTATGTTTAAACTGTCATGTAGGCGGATGCAGAAGAAGCACTGCTGGAAGCCATGCCTGCCCTGGAAGCTGCCAGATTGGCTCTGGATGACCTAGATAAAACTGACATTACTGAAGTCAGGTAAACCATGGCATTCTAAGTTACGTGATGTGGCAAATATAGCAGTAGAAATAATTATGAATTGGTTACCTTTCTGTGAAATATTAAAAGGTGATGGCATTTTATAGAGAACAAGCACAACTTAAAAATTTTTTTTTTAGGTAAATCAGTGCTGTTATTCACCAAACAGTGTTTTTAAAAAGGTGCCGGTACTCCCTAACAGGGTGCCATCATGATGTAGTGGCTAGATCTCTGAAAGTTTTAGGTTCGAATCTGCATGATCACAGAATATATTTTATACTTGATCTTAACTCCCAGGTCAACATAACCATAAATGGATACCAGGTGGAATCCTGGGAAGTGAAAGCAGCCAGCATGATGTTAACCACTTCACTTCTCAAGGGCTGTTTGGACTATACAAATAAAAGTCTGGCCTCAAATGCCTGATGCACCACTGCCATGTGAAGGAACCTTTACTTTAATCCCTAAAAAGTGCTTTTGACAAAAGAAAAGGACCCTTTTCTGTGCCTTAACCCTACCAGATCTGAGGCCCTGAACCTAACTGCCCCCTATACCTGAGCTCCTGGGTATAAGCACACAAAAACCAACATGATATACAAAAATATTTGTTACATGCAAACAAGTGGTTGGGAGAAGATGAAACTTGGAGACGTAGAAAATAGGTTTACCTTTCATCTAGCGCCAATATTCCACTTTTGTTTGCCAATCCACCCAGCAGGATCAGCCTTGTTTCACAAAGTGAGCACTAGATGTTGCTGTTTAAGGGATACGCCTCTGCAATGATTCTCTCTTATCTTCTACTGGCTCGCCTCATCGCACGCTCGCTGCCAACTCACAAAACCGACATCACACGTCGAGCAGAAAAAATGGACGACTGGGAAACAACACGATACTGTTCCAGTACTTTAATCTTCCACTCGCGGCTTACACAGCCGGCACATGAACTTGACAACTGTCCAGGCACACATTATAATGCAAGAATCAATTATTACCTTCAAGCAGAAATCCCAATCGATTTACACTAACATCGTAAACGAAACACAACAGCTGTCCTGACAGATACACTCAGACGACCGGCAGACATGTTACTGGCCAGCTTTCTTCGCCAAGTTGGACTGGAACAAATTCACTCAAAAACATCTGCTGAATTCACACATCATCCACCGCTGTCCATGCACACTGTTCCTGGGTCCAAAACAAGACTGCCCACAAACCTTTTCCTCGCTATTATATAGCCCTCTGATCTATCCTGTTCTAGAATATTCTGGATTCATTCTCACGAATTTCCCACTGTTGAAAGTCGTGTCTGGCCCGTGATAATTCACATTTCACATAAATCCTGTGAACAATCATGTTTCACATAAAACCTGACTTTCAAATGTCTCTCATGAAACTCAAGACATAAATCTCGTGTTATCTCAGCCAGTCAAAACATTCGTCTTACATCTATTACTGACGTCATCTATCGGGCATAAATTAATGAGGAGAAAATGACTCACTACATTCTCCCCCACCCCAAAAAAATGTTTTACATTTTCAATTAATCAGGTGTGAACATTTCATTGAACATTGTGATTCTAGACCTTTGTAGTGAATCATTTTCGATAAGTTCATTTCCAACCAAGTTCCCTTTACCTTATTAGGTTAACAATTCAAACACTCTAAAATGCCATCTGTTGGGTCTTTGCACGACTGTGAATACCTTAATGGGATCCTCACCCCAGGCACTCCCCTTTTAGTGCGGAAGACCAATAATCTGGCTCCATAGGTATCCCCACCCAGCTCTAAAGTCGGTATACAACCGAACCCCTCTCCTGGCACCCCCCGATCGGTGCGGAAGTCCAAAATCTTGGCTCTTAAACCGAAGTGTGACCCCATGAAGTCCCACCCTCGCTATTCCCATTCATGAAAGTCCTCAACAATGGCTAAATCAGCAATGTATGGTTTTGTTCCCAACTATGTAAGGTACAAGATGTAGTTAATTACCTTGTCTTCAGAAACCACAACATGTCTCATTAACACACATATTCAAATTAAATGCTACACCAATTCAATTTAGTATACTAGTAAATGTAACATTTTCTGGTGAGGTGTTTTTTAATCCTGAATGTTGTCTCCCTTTCATTGTTTACTATATTATACCCATTCCAATCAAAACATACATTTTCCAAGTTGTAAATTCATATAATACATTTATACAATAATACAATGCATACCCTTGCATAAATGATTTCAGTTAATACAAGTTGTAATAGCAGTTGTAACATGTTCTACAAACGTGACATGATATCTGGTAAATGATTGTCTGTTCCTTTGATGTGTTCAATGTTAAATTTGAATTGTGATATCAACAATGCACATCTATATACCCTTGGATTGCTATTGGCATCAATTGTTAATAATTTTGTCAACCCCAAGTTATCTGTTAAAATAGTGAATTCTTTTCCCAAAAGAAACTTCTGAAACTTTTTAGACTAATAACTAGTGCCAACGCTTCTCGTTCAAATGTATTTTTGTTGAGTTTGGTTAAGTTTCTGTGACATATACATTACGTAAATTTGCATCAAATACATCATCATCTGACATCAATAGTGATCTTTTAAATATGGTTTAAGCATGTTTACATGAAAAATTTGATTTCATAATCAACATCAGAAATCTTTCTTGTAACAACAAAAGGACCTGATTATTGTATACATAAATTGTCTGATTAATTAACAAACAAAAATTAAAATTTTTTGATTTTATACACCCAAAATCTTTTTGTAAGTTTTTCATGAATGTAACTATTTTATATTCTGTTTGTTTGATTATGGATTTGACTGTGGCAATAAAGATTTGTAATCACCGAATGTGGGAAGTGTTTTGAATACATCATTTGTACAAGTAATAGTTTCAGCAACAAAAGTGTTAGTAGTGTAGCACTTCTAAGAATTTGACAAGTTTTGGTAGTAACAAATAGTTGAGAGTTGTAGCAATCTTTGTAAATAGGACTTATAGTCAGAAGAAGTTGTAGGATCTGGATGCTTTGGATAATACAGAATGAATCAAGATTGTATGTTTGGCATGTTATCAACAGAATTTGCCACATGGTAAGTAAGATGTATTGCATCAGCCAAATGTAATTACTTGTATAGTATGAGGATTTTTCATGATGTTTTTTCTCTCTTGAGTTGTGGTCACCTTTTAATAAATTACTATTTTCAAGTTTTTCATTATCTGCCATTGTTCTTGGTGTATTCTTTCTTGCATCACTATTTCTCAATTTTTCACTTTCATTCAGTATGGATGGTATGTTTTTACCACACAATGCATTGTTATTCATTTCTCTTGCATTCAGTACTTCTTTCATATCATTATCTTTACCCTCAATGTTCTCATATTGTACTCCTTTCATACCTTTATCTTTACACTCTGTATTCTCATTTCTTTCATTCTGCTTCTTTTTTGTACTGATCCTTTCACTCATTCTTGCATGACTGATTGACTGCTCCCTATTCTTGGATGAGTCACTTTCATTCCCTTGCTTTCTTGCATTCACACTAAGGCGAAGATCTTCATCACTGTTAATCATGTTCTCACTTACTGTTACATTCACACTATGGCAATACTCTTGATCACTGGTACTTGTGTTGTTATTTTCTTTCACTTCTTTGATGTTTTTTCTTTCCCACTGAAACATTTCTTGCTCAGACATTTCTTTCAAACCGTTTTCATTCCCCAAAATTAATCCTGCACATGGTGATGGTAATACTGCAACTCTCATTCTTCTTTGTAGAAATGGAGTGTTAACATTGACAAAAGCTATCTTATATTTCTCAATCGTGCCTCCAAACGTTCGGCAACGAATATATTTGTTAATAATGTCTGTTGGTTTGATAAGATCTTTGTGGATACCTGAAATTGTGGCGCCCGTGTCTCTCAAAATGGTGGTTATTCTTCCATTTACAATACCTCTGTATAATTTTAAGGTTTCCTGTGTATTTGTGGCTGAGTTGGCTTCTTGTACAGGTATATTATGGCCACATGGAAGGCTATCTTCTTCATGAAACTGTTGACATACAGGACAAGTTTCAACAGTTACTGCATTGGTCTCAAATGGTTCGGTGTCTGAATCTGAGTCTGACATTGCCTGTGATATGTTGGCTTCCTTAAATTTTCTTCTAAATAAACAGTCTTTTTTCACATGATTGTAGCAACCACAATTGTAACATTTAATGGCATCTTTATAAAATCTCAATCTCTGTGTTCTTCTATTAAACAGTTTGTCTACATACTCTTTATAACCCGGATTTCTATCACACATTTTGTCGTTCGGATGAGATTTTTGACAATATTTGCAGTACGTCATTTGCCACTTTTTGTTGAACGTGGTTTTGTTTTTGTGTGGGTTTGCCCCTTGGTTGTATCTGGCTTTGTCATAACTGGCACTAGCTCCAGTTTCAATGTCTGGTACCGGGTTGGAAATGAAGATTTCACGATGGGCTGAAAAATAATTCTCACCTAAATTCTCTAACTCCTTCAATGAGGTTGGTTTATTTTCTCTTAAAAAAGGTTGACATAGGTTTAGGTAAAGATTCCAACATTTTGTTCCTTAATAATAAATCTACTAATAATTTATAATTATCTCTAACATTGGCCGAATCAATCCATTTATCAAAAATATTCTGAACTTCCGAAAAATAGTCAGTGAATGTCTGATCAGACTTTGGCTTTAAATCCAGAAACTTTTTCCTATACCCTGCTTCATGTAGGTCATAGTGTCGCATGATGCGATCTTTAATATAGTCAAAGTCTAATCTTAGATGTTCAGGGACTGTTTCTAAGATCTTCAATGGTTCAAATGCTAAATGTTTTTAAAAAATAATGGCCCACTGGTCTTTTGGAACATCATGAAAGCGCATTTGCAACAGAAAACTAGATATATAACTACCAATGTCATCCTTTTCAGAGAAATTTCTGACTATACCTGCATACTTTTTGAATTTATTTTCTTCTTCTTTTAATCTTTCTTTTTGGATAGCAGCTTCTCTTCTGGAATCATTTTCCATTTCTTTAGTTCTGATTTGTGCCTCTGTTTTTTCTTTTTCAATCTGAATCGACGCAGCTATCTTCTCGCGTTCCAAATTCAGTTCTTGTTCTTTTAATATTCTTTCTTGTTCCATTTGTCTATTTTTCATTTCTTTTTCCTGTTCCAGTTGTCTATTTTTCATTTCTTTTTCCTGTTCCAGTTGTCTATTTTTCATTTCTTTTTCCTGTTCCAGTTGTCTTTCTCTTATCTCCATCTCCTGTCTTTTAACCTCTAGTTCGTGTGCTCTTAATAATCTCCGTTCTTCCCTGGCATCGTCTTGCATTTTCTTTTCTTTCTCATCACAAAACTTTCTAAGTTCTTCCCCTTCCAAATTTAATTCTTTGCCCAGCTTGATCAGTTCTGCCAAGTTAGACATTTTTATGTCTTTACAATGTAAACAACAATTTGTTACAATACCTTTCTTTCAAAATACACACCTTAAAAAGAACAATATAAGTTCAATATAATGAACTAGTAACTTGAATTAATAACTAAATGTCCCTGGGTATGAATACCAAACCTTACAATAAAGTGGATGTAACTCTTCCAACCACCAAGTCTATTACTAAATAATTCTATATATATATATATATACAGTTGATGTTTGAGAAGAAGAGTTAACTAATTTTTTGTTTAGCTTATGGGAGAGTAAATCACTTAAGCACACTTGAGAAGTTAGATATGACAGCAAGAATAAATGATATATTATTTGATAAAGATTATTAATCAACTAATAGAATGTTATAGCACTAGAGTAGATGCAGTGGATTATCAAAGTATCAGATGTAGTGGACTATCAAAGTATTTACGAAATAAATAACTAATTAATTTGTAAATGTGTAACAATGTTATAATAATCCTGTGTAGCACAGTAGTTGGTTATACAGTTTCAGACTGATTATACCTTGTAAAATCACCAAAAAAATTGTCTTTATTGGCCGCACAGTCTGGGTATAATTAAATACTATTCTAAAAAAAATAAAATATTTGATTGAATTAGTCTTGATAATCGACTGTGATAGAGTAATCACTAATAGTCTCAAATAATTGAATTATTTCCCGTAATAACTACTAAATTCACTTGTTCAGTAAGATGCTTATTAAATTTGCAATCCCGGACGAGCCCCCATCTTGCAATGATTCTCTCTTATCTTCTACTGGCTCGCCTCATCGCACGCTCGCTGCCAACTCACAAAACCGACATCACACGTCGAGCAGAAAAAATGGACGACTGGGAAACAACACGATACTGTTCCAGTACTTTAATCTTCCACTCGCGGCTTACACAGCCGGCACATGAACTTGACAACTGTCCAGGCACACATTATAATGCAAGAATCAATTATTACCTTCAAGCAGAAATCCCAATCGATTTACACTAACATCGTAAACGAAACACAACAGCTGTCCTGACAGATACACTCAGACGACCGGCAGACATGTTACTGGCCAGCTTTCTTCGCCAAGTTGGACTGGAACAAATTCACTCAAAAACATCTGCTGAATTCACACATCATCCACCGCTGTCCATGCACACTGTTCCTGGGTCCAAAACAAGACTGCCCACAAACCTTTTCCTCGCTATTATATAGCCCTCTGATCTATCCTGTTCTAGAATATTCTGGATTCATTCTCACGAATTTCCCACTGTTGAAAGTCGTGTCTGGCCCGTGATAATTCACATTTCACATAAATCCTGTGAACAATCATGTTTCACATAAAACCTGACTTTCAAATGTCTCTCATGAAACTCAAGACATAAATCTCGTGTTATCTCAGCCAGTCAAAACATTCGTCTTACATCTATTACTGACGTCATCTATCGGGCATAAATTAATGAGGAGAAAATGACTCACTACAGCCTCCTTCTCTTACTATAGATCTAGTTTGAAATATGTAATTTTCAAGATTCACCTCATCACTCGAGCTCTCACTGACTGTGTCACTTCAACTGGGAACGTATTCTTTATGAAATATAGACCCGACAGAGTCTGAATCAATCCAAGTATTGATCACCTGTTGGACTGTAAAAATACTAGACCTACTTCACTTTCCTGTCGAAGTGTCTGGTTCATAAGCCACTTGTTTTATTGTGAATTTTCTCATGTTAAACCACACAAAGTAAATCCAAACACACGTCAGCAGTCATTTGCAATGACTAACCACAAGGTTTGGTCTCGATTGGTTAGTTATTATTAGTTTGTGAAGAATTTTTTTTAACGTTGTACACAAAGTACAGAAAATTAGGTACAGCTGTTTAGCGGCAGATTTGGAAATTACCAGAAAAGTGGTACAGAGGTCTGGTAGAGTTGAGGCATATTGGATATATAGCACTAGACCTATGTTTCATAGGTACAGTCCTGGGAAATAAAAGAGGCTGGAATGAGGCTGATCTCATCGCCCCCTAGTGCCAATTGGCCTTTAAAATATAGATCTGGCCCTGTATGTCTGAATGTGTGGAGAAGGGTCCTTTACTTTGTACTTCCTATATTTTGTAGATCAATTAGCACTAGGTGGGTGATGAGGTCAGCATCATGACGGCCACCTTTACTTCCCAGAACTGTACCTGGTACCCACTCAAGGAGGGATCAACCTGAGAGCCATGGAAAGATATAAAACCAAACTAAAAGTAGATCAGCGAGTTTCACAATATAAAAAACACAAACATAACGTGAAATCTGAGGCTATAGAGCCTTCATCAGCACATACATAAATTAAACAAAAACCACAAAAATACCCCACCAAAAAAAAAAACAAGAAACACTTAACTGCCATATCCCGAAGCAGCCATGTTGATGTCCTGTCAGCAGAATGAAGAGACATGTTGGGCCCGAGAATAAATAGCCCATGAATGCCAAGGACCATAACGAGAAGTTTAGATGAAACTGTATTGACAGTTCAGTCCCCTGGGTTTTAGGGTTCTCAAGGTGAAAATAAATAGATTTTCAAGAGACTTGTGGACTTTGTCGCTGGAGTGGCTAGATTTAATGGCTATCACTGAATAATTACTAGGAAGTGCAGTAAAGGGGAAAAGTGGGACAAACACACACAGAAAAAACTAAGTGTTTGGACTTGCGCCTTGATCGGTTGAGACCACAACAAGAAAAGTGGTCTTGGATACCAATCCACACACAGGGAAGTCATGTAACTGCACTGGAATATTAAAAATAGCAAGAACAGGAAATGATGTTGTGAAACGAAACATAAAGAAACAAAAGTATGAGATAGTACTAATTAAAATAATGATAATAGTCTAAAAATTTTTCTGTAGTTTCATTTCCAGAAGTATGAGAATTGTATCAGGGTCTATGCTACTTTAGGATTTGAAAAAGGAGCTAAATCAATTGCAGGTGTCAACTAAATACATCAGGGAGGCCTGATAAGATAGAAGTTATATTTATTAATATTGAAAATATAAGAATAGTTTAAAAAAAAAAAAGATTACATAGCTTTTAATACAAAGCTGTAGTCAAGCTGGACAAGTATGGCTGCCTCCATTCATAACTCGTTCAGGTCTTTTGGCATAAATGAATGGAAGTTAGTGCTTATAGTCCAGCAAGTTTTGGTTTAGAGAATATTAAAATTATCATCTCAGCAGCACTTGCTGCCAGATCTGCATCATGATAGTAATTATCATTTGGGAGGGGGAGGGGGAATTCCGACTCTGATGAAATTAACGGTTCTCCCCCCTATAGAGTCTGAAATCACGTGAACCGTTACTTCCTAGGGCCTTTTCTGATACCCATATTTGACTACAAACCAATGAGCAAGTCATTTTAAAAATATAAATTCTTATCTGATTTGGCCACATATTTTTACTTTCCTGGACATTTTTGGTGCCAGTTTTAGGTTGTGTCATTTCTGTGGGCCCAGTTAGTTCAAAACTCTGCTTCAGATGAATTTGAAATTCGTACCACCAGATTGGTAGGCAAGCATGCTAGCTAAAAATACTCTGCTGAAAAATCCTCTAAAACAAAACACATGCTTCATTTCAGGTCATTTGCCAAACCCCCACCAGCTGTCCAGACAGTCTGTGAGTGCATTGTTGTGCTAAAGGGGCTAAAAGAAGTCAGCTGGAAGTCGGCAAAAGGGATGATGTCAGATCCCAGCTTCTTACGACAACTCAAGGAACTGGATGTAGATAACATCACACCGAAACAGACAGGCACTGTGAAAAGTATGTTTTTGTAAATTTAGTAAGTTTAGTGCCCTCCTTTCTTCTGTCCCCAATCTGTTTGTTAGAGAGATAACAGAGAGTCAACCAGCCCCCATCTGTCCTCTCTTTCTTACTTTTTGGGTGTCTTTAATGTGAGATGAAATTAGTCTCTCTTTCTCTCTCTCTCTCTCTCTCTCTCTCTCTCTCTCTCTCTCTCTCTCTCTCTCTTTCTCTCTCTTTCTCTCTCTGTGAGAGTTAACTGAGATCTGCATACAAAGGGATATGGAAGAATCACTAAGAATCTAAAGAGAAGTGAAAGCGGCTTCCAATCACCAAAATGTAGAGAATCTTTGAATAGTATAACAAAAAAGTCCTTCCTCTGGAACTAATAAAGCAAAGTAATAGAAAACACTAACATACAAGCAAATAAGAATAATAAATAGTTATAGATATATAAATATAGAAATGGATTGTTATGGCATTTTTTAAAAATTTAGAAAGTTAATTTTTCTTTTACATTACAAAATTAAAATGTATCTTTTTATTTCTCAAGACAAATACAGTTCAACTAAGTGCAGATCATTATTTTTCTAGCAATGTTAGCTGGAATTAATGTGACTATACAGCAAATGGCAAGCATTAGCAAAGCCGGGGCTGGCCTCCTGAAGTTTGTGGTAGCTGTCATGGGATACTGTGCAGTGTTTCGAGAAGTGAAACCAAAAAGAGACAAGGTATGAAACCTTTTAGAGCATGTTAACTCATTACTGTCTGATGTGTGCAGCTGTTGTTTATCAATCAACTCATCTTTGTGTTCAGTGGCTGTAAACTCTAGCAGAAAGTTCTGGTTGTTCATCAACTTCTTGACTTTTGTCTTGTTCCAGAAAGTGAGTTTCGCATACATGGTAATTTTACAGATCTGGCTTATTTGTTTGCAGACTGTTGGTTTCTCAGCTCTTAGGCCGATACACTCCGACTTCAAAGGAAACACCTGATATAGTCTCGTATGACATGCTTAGGAGAGCAGTGGGTCTATATTTGTTCCCTCAAAATGGGGCCCTGGACCCCACAAAGGGAAGCATGATTTTTATAAGTTAACCCTTTGGAGACGACGTGGCAGAAATATCGGCCCAACACAAAGTGGCCAAAAAAGACGACTGGGCCGATCGGTTGGCCCTATATAATAGAAGCCATAATATTGGCTGGCAGGTTTTCGTACCAGCCAGTCAGACTGCTTCTCGCATTTCTTGCACATGTGGACTGTTCACTGATGGCTTTCGAGAAAGTTTGATGTGTTCTGTAATTTTACATTGATTTTTTTCTGGGGTTACCTGTGCCCAAAAATGGTGAAAAGGACTGTTATGTCATAGCAACTGAAACATAGCTGGAGGCAGGAAAATGAGTAGAGCCATGTGCCATACGTGTCTAAAGGGCCTCTAAGGGCCTTACTTCCCAAAATACAGGTGTTAGGACTTATTCAAGTTTCATTCATATAAAAATTCACCCAAATTTTTCAGGTTAGTTATGTTTATTCCCAAGTTTAAAAAAAAATTGCATGCATAAATTATGCAAATCAGAATAGTAAATTTGAATAAATAATGAGATTTTGTTTTATTCATAAATATTCTGTTAGTTCATTCAATTTCCTACACAATTATGTATAGTTTTATCTATGTTAAGAAGCGGCTATTTTTTAATTTTTTGTATTTAAACTATGATAATCCCCTCCTGAACGCTCCGTCTTAGTCTTTCTGTGCAGAATGGCTAGCTCTTTTGCCAAGAGCATCACACAAATCATAAACCCCATAGCTCAAGCAATGATCAGCAGGGATATCTGTAAAAACTCCACTCATGAATTGAGTGACGTGAAGCAAACCTATGGTCTTCAGAGAATAAGGCAAATTGCTTGGGCCACTTCACTACAGGTGCTGTAAAGATGACTGACTTAACTATTTACTATTTTCTTCCCAGCTGCTCCTTGAATGTTTAGCACCTTATTGGCTTGAAGAACTGCATTTTTGGGATGTCAGTCACACAGGACAAATCTCTAATACCTCAGTTCATCTCCTAGGAAGTTATAATTAGAGCCTTCTCTATGTTTACACCATTTATATTAAAGTCAAGAGGATCAGTTTGCACTGAGTGTTATCTTGTATGGCCCTGTCTGCCACCATAGCCAGTTGCTGATAGTTATTGGTTTATTCTTCTTAGGTTGCAGCCCTGGAGAAAAATTTCTTTGAACTCAATCGCAGCTTGGAAAAGATCAACAAGAAAGTGGCCAAGCTGGAAGAGTTACTTGCTGATTTAAATAGTAGATATGAGAATGCCATGGCAGAAAGACAGAGGCTAGAAGCAGAGACAAAACTGATGGAGAAGCGGCTCATTGCAGCAGATAAGCTTATCAGTGGTCTTAGTTCAGAAAATGTCAGGTATGCTTGAAAATATTTAGCTTTTTTTTAAAGCTTATCTCTGATATGGAAGTACTGTCTATTCATGATGGGTTTTCCCCTCCCCAAGAATTTATCCTGCAAGGCTGTGGCTGCTTCCAAGTACCTATACTGAGTATTACTCAGAGATAGAAATAATTTTGTTTGTCCATTACATAGGAAAAGATCATGATGTCAGTGATTTTAACTCTTTCACCCCAGTGACTTACAAAAGAACCAAGCCAAATTGCTCTAACTGTGGAATTTCAGATTTTCCTAAAAAACATTCTTTTAAACAAAACAAAAAATACATTTTACAGTTCACCAAAAAAAAGGTTCTTAAAAATTGAATTTTTATAGACATAAACAACAAAACTTATGTACTGATGAAATCGGCAAAAATGTAATGCAGCAGTAAATCATCTGGGTTAGTTATTTCTGAGTTTAAATCAATTCAATACAGTGGCTCGCTTTTTTTTTTTTAACCCTGTGGCTAGGCCACTGAAGACCACTGTGACTAATCGAATATCATGACATTGTAGTTTCTAAAATTTTCCCTATTATAGGAAAAACAAGAATAGACCCACTGCCTACCCAAAAGCATGCCCTAAGAATTGGGAGCTTTCTTCGAAGTGGTAGTGCATCTGCCTGAGAGGCAAGGAACCAGCAGTCTGCATACAGATGAGTCAGATCTGTAGAATGGATGCACACGCAACACTAAGGTTCTGGAACAGGACTGCAGTCCAGAAGTGGATGAACAACCAGAATTTTTTTGCCAGAGTTTACAGCTGGAGAACGCGAAGAAGAAGAAAAAGATTTCCAGACTATTAAACATTTGCACATGTGCAAATGGAATGAGAGCTTCTAGCAATAATTTCCATAAACAAGTCACTATAGCCGTGCTGTGGCATAGCACATGCTGGAAGTGCTGGTTTTGGTGCTTCTTGGGATGAAAGGGTTAAAGGTATCCAAGTAGAGGAATGGGAATTGAATACATTTAGAGGTCAGTTGACATGTGCAAGAAACTGTGGTGGTGAATTGGCTAGAAACTTGTCTGCTGGCCCAAAGATCATGAGTTTGAATCCCCACTAAGACATACTTTAAGAGTGAAATTTTTGAATAGCTGCTCCCTCAGAGATCACTAAAAATATGAGGATGTTTTAACTTGCAGGTGGCTAAAGGACCTTGCGGAGCTGAGAAAGAAACGCCAGCGACTTTTAGGAGACTGTCTTGTTGCAGCTGGATTTCTCAGTTATGTGGGAGCATTCAGTTTTGAGTTCAGGTACAGTGATTCTGCTGCAGTTAATCTAAACATGATTTGATAAATTGTGTTCACTGACTTAGAATGGCGTCTAATATTCAACAACTTGAAACAGCTAAAAAGATAACTTTTCAAAAATGAGAAATGTCAAATGCAATATTCTCCATGTGGGTTCAGTGGTCCAATTTTAGGAGATAATGAGTAGACCGACTGCTCCCTAACAGGCCGTCATAAAAAGTGACTAATCTGGGTTGTTTTCTTTTCAGCCGGAGTGTATATGCTGCACTTGTAATGAACCAACAGTCTGCATATAAGTAGGCAGATTTGTACATCGGATAGGCACATGCGGCTAAAGTTCTGGAACAAGACCAAAATCCAGAAGTGGACGATCAATCAGGAATTTATAGCCAGTGAACTTGAGGAAGAAGAAGAAGACCTCATAAATAAAAATAAATATAAAAAAATCACTACTTTATGGGGGGGTGGGGGGGGGGGGGGGGATGTCAGCTAGCAATATGAAAGTGGGGGGAAAAAACCCATTAAATGCAAAGGTTTCAGAAGGAAAGTCAGGTAACTAGAGCTGCTGAAATAAATATTAAGAGACAATTTAAAGACAATTATTTATTAACAGCATCTTTACAAATACACAAGCAATTGTAAAAGTATTGTTTTATCATTACCTCTTGTTTTGATTATATATGTTCTGTGATTTCAGACGTGAACTTATCAATGATATTTGGTTGACTGATATTCGAGAAAAGGAAATACCTTTGAGTGCCTCTTTTCGCATTGAAGACCTCTTGACAACAGATGTTGAAATAAGCAGGTTGGTGAGAGATTTGGCTGACACTTTTTAGTAGTATCCAGTTAATATTATTTTAGTTACCTTTTCTTTGTCTCTTCTAAGCGTTCACTGATTGAAAACACTGGTGGAAAGTTCTAGTTGTTAACCCACATCTGAACTTTGGTCTTCATCCGGAACTTTAGTTTTTACTCATCCATTATTACAAATTTGTGTTATTTGTGTGCAGATGTTGGTTTCCATGCCTTTCAGGCAGATGCACTCGGAGCACTCCGACTTTAAAGAAAACACCCTTAAATAGTTACATTTTATGTCATTTGTTGGAAAGGAGGGGGAAGGCTGCAGTGGGTCTCTTCTTTTCCCCTCAACATGTTCACTTCAGAACCCACATGAAAATTCTACAGTGAGGTGCTGTTATTTGGAGCAAGCTTTAATCTCAGTGTGGTCATAACAGCTTTCAGTTTTTGATGTTGTCTTTTATGTCCAGTAATCTCTCTTTTTTTTTAAATGTTTTAATGAGTATTGATCTACACAGTGTTTATGTGTGAGTTTAATTTTGTATCTTATCGTGACATCATCTTGAAATTGCATAGTATGTCCTGAGAAGTAGAAGCTAAAATCAGGGTAAAGTCAAAAGGATCAACTTCATTTCGCTGGGTTTTATCCCACATGGTTTGGTCTCTCTGTGCTGGTGTCTAGATGCCAGCTGTGAACATTGAGACAGAGCACAAACTCTGTAGCTGAAGTAGTGAAATCCAGGGGCTCCTGCAAAAATTTCACTTGTGAACCCAGTGGTCCTGTCAATGAAAGAGATACATGACCTTCATAATATTAGGTAAATGACTTGAGCACTTCAACATGGCGGCCCACTGAGAATTGGAAATTTTGGTTTAAATGACTGCATTTTAACGGCAGTCTGGTTTCAGCTTCTGGTTAAGAAGGTATTTTCTGTGGTTTAAAAAAACCAACCTTTTGCTAACCTTGCTTGTGATATTAAAATGAAAGGTTTCTCTAGGAGAAGAAGTGAAACAAGAGCACTCTTTACCTCACCTCATACTGTAACCTTGTTTATATATGGGGAAGTTTGTCAACTAACTCCCCTATAGTAGTTTCTATAATGGGATTAGCTTGTTTTTTTGCTGCTTTGATGAATTCAGTTTTACAGTCCACCAGCCTCCACATACAAGGTGTTTAAGTTAGCAGCAGGTTTTTTGGTAGAAGACATCTTTTCATTGACTTTGACAGCACCACAGGTATCATACCTTTCAGAAAGTGGTGGAAACTATGAAAACTAGAGTATAAATAAATGAGAGGGCTGGTCTGCAAAATCCTGTAAAGTATATGTAGCTAACTGCTGAACTCTGCTGTGTTACAAATATGAGCACAGATTTATTTAATGAAATGAGTTTATTTCTTAGATGGTCTTCAGAAGGTTTACCTCCCGATGAGCTGTCTGTACAAAATGGTATCCTGACCATGAGAGCAAGTCGGTTCCCCTTGTGCATTGATCCTCAGCAGCAGGCCTTGAACTGGATCAAGAAAAGGGAGGAGAAACATAATCTCAAGGTAGATGGCATTGTGTAGTCCTTTTTTGTGTGGCTGACATGTTGGCAAGTGTGGTTGTGTGTAACTGTTGGTTGGCGTCAATTTATGCTTAGAACTAGATCAACAGGTGAAAAGGGAAACATAATCTTCGAATGAATGTCACTGTGTGTTCCTTTTGTTTATGGATGACATGCTGACCTATATATTTATGTGTAGCTGTTGGTTTGCGTAAATTCCTGGTTTGAACTCTGGATAAAAAAGGGCGAAAATTGTAAATTATTTTACAGAACATCAAAGAATCAAATAGTTTAGTCATCTGGTCAGAGTGGAACAGAATCAGTCAGCAGCTAGAGCATACTATAGAAGAAAAGCAGATTACAAGGCAAGAGGCCAACCAAGGGTGGAGGGAAGTAAAAGAGACATTACAGAAACAGAATATGACATTACCACAAGCTATGCTACAAAGCAAAAGACAAGAATACTCCTCTCTGCTATATTTATGTCAAAACAGTAGGACAAAAGAAAGAAGAAGAAGAAAGTGAGAAAAAAAAAAATAATCTTTAGGTGAATGTCACTGTGTTTTGCTTTTGTTTGTAGCTGATGTGATGACTCTCTTTTAACCTTGTAGGCTGCAATATTTGTTGTCTTGATCAGATTAAGCCCAGACTCTGGCACATTTAATCATCTACATCCCACAATTAAGTGGTAGCACAGAATGCAAAGGGAGTTTCCGTGGCCGAGCAGCTAGACGCTCGGCATGGATCGAAAGGTCGTGGGTTTGCTTCCTAGCGGAGCCGGACTTTTTTAAAAAATGACTTTGGCTCCCAGGTCGATCCAGCCTTGAGTGGGTACCGGGTGCAGTCCCGGGAAAGTAAAGGTGGCCGGCGTGATGCTGACCACATTACCCTCCTGTGCCGATTGGTCTATAAAAATATTAGTCTAGCCCTATATGCCCTATACGCCTAAAGGTGTGGGAAAGGGTCCTTTACTTACTTTACTTACAGAATGCAAAATGTATCCATAATAAAGTGAAATAAACCACAACAAGTATACAGGATCTCCTCGACTTATGGCCAAGCTCTGTTTCAACTAATAGGTCATAAGGGGAACTTGTCATAAGTTGAATTTATACTTTCAACACTTTTATCATTCAAAAAAGTTGTAAAAATTTTACACAAAACACAAAAATGCTGCAATCCTGATTTATTTCCAGTTACTTGTTGACTCTGCAAAATTACTATTTCTATTTACTTAATTTTTTTTTTATGTGGTCATAAGTGTGGATGGTTGTAAGTCACAAATATCATAAGTCAAGGAAAAGATGTATTAATGTAGCAGTTCCTTTAAAGAACACAACTTGTGTACTTCTTGATGGAAAGGTTCTTGATCTATTACCAGCTTCCTTTCCTCATACACTTGTGTGTCAAAGGTGTCTTTTAACGTCTTTGTCTACCATCATGCTTGTTGACCCTCGCTGGCAAAAATGTTGCTCCTTCAAGACTTCTCCTTCATTTGTTTTCATGCCCCAAGTATCTTTGCCATGTATCCACTGGTGTGTAGTCATCCATGCTTCAACTTCAAGGGACTGTGTTTACCTTTAGTGTACCTTTTTAAGCAGCTGTGATGTTTAGTATATACAGAGTATTTTAGTTTCCAAAAATTATTCAAGTTTTCTTGTTTACATGGAAAAGGCTATCTATTCAGCAAACATGAACAAGAAAATAATAAGGATAATAAATGTTGCCCCGAATATAAGCTTAAATCAGCATTTATGTGTGCAGAGTATATTATGAAGGGCATTCAGAAGAATGCAGAAAGTATTAGTTTTTTTTTTTCAACTTAACGTTTAGGCAAAATGTTTTAAATTCATTGACAGTATAACTAAAATGTCCTTATCTATTCTGTGACCTCAGGCCAACCTAAAACAAGGGCATGCACACCTTTCCTGAAACAGGTTTTGTCCTGTCATTTAACTTTTTCTTGGCAGCATAAATATCCATCTGTTTGCTTTCTTAAGCTTTAATGCTCTAAATCCAGCAATTAACAGTGCTCCTGTCAACTGTACACAACTTCCTGACAGAGCACACAGTCGTTAACTAATTTTTATCACAATTTCTTTTTATCCACAATCAGAAATTTTACAGTTTGCGGTTTTTAAAATTTCCTGAATTAATGCAACTGTTATTTTTGTTAAAATAAGTTGCCATTTTGAAAATACAGTACTGACATTTCCAAATTAAAGCTTACACAATTGCATGTCTCTGGCTTCATTATTCATGGAAACATATAATGTGGCACATTACTTCCTGAAAACCCTCATATATTAATTCCACTACTGCATTAAAAAAAATTAACACATGACACATAGTTAGGGTGGGAGGCGCCGTGGCATAGCTGTAACTCGCCTTGGGATCAGAAGGCTGTAGGTTCGCTTCCTGGCGGAGCCGGACTTTAAAAAAAATTACCTTGGCTCCTAGGTTGACACAGCCTTGAGTCGGTACCAGGTGCAGTTCTGGGAAGTAAAGGCAGCCAGCAAAATGCCATTGGTCTTTAAAATATAGGTCTAGCCCTATATACCCAATACGCCTGAAAGGCATGGAAAATTGTCCTTTACTTTCCTTTTACATAGTTAGGGTTAAAAAAAAGTGAGTGGTGGGTGAGGCCTCTTAATAAATAATAATTAACTTTCCCCCTCGGAATCCCAGAACATTTACAGCAGATATCCAAGAAAGTTATTAACCACAATGGAGAAAGACTACATAACTACTTTGCTTTCAGACAACATGTATTCACATCATAATATGATACTTATTGTGATACTTATTGTGATGCCTGTTTATATTTATATAATTTATGTCTGTTTTATATATATAGATTTGTTTAACTTTCCTAGGCCAAACAACACTTATTAATATGTCATACATTGATCTGTATGCTATAACAATGATTTCATATAGTGCATTGCTTGTTACAGAAGGAGCTAACGAGAGTCTTGACTAAATGAAACCATCATTTGATAAAGATAGCAGTAATTTAACTTCAATTTATATGTGTCTGGTATCATGTTTCTGTTGAAGTATATTCTGTTTTTACCTTGTACAGTGTTGCACATTTAATGATGAGGACTTTCTCAAACAACTGGAGATGTCCATCAAATATGGATTTCCGTTCCTCTTTACCGATGTGGATGAATACATTGATCCTGTTATTGACAATGTGCTAGAGAAAAATATTAAAGGTAATAAAATAGATTCACCTGTAAATCAGACCAGAAGGTTTGATGTTCGAGAAGTCTCTTTGGTAATAACACATAAAGCTTGTATTGTAGATTTACCCATTTATTGAAACAGGCAATCTTTGCGACATGTTATTTAGGACTATTAAGTCTATTATTTTTTCCTGCTAAAAAAATGGGGCCCCAGGAACTCACACAAGGATAATTTATTCTCATTATCATAAACATTTATTTGAATTTAAAAAAAAAAAAAAAAAGCAATTTGATGTCTAGAGAAACTTCTGAGGCAAAGATTCAAAAAGCTGGTGTTGTCAATAAATAATAAGAAAAATTCTCAGAATACCACACATTAAGAGGAAGAAGAATACTGGTATTCAGTAAGATCGAAACACTCAAGAAAGTTGGCTCATAAACTACAAAGTTGAATACTTTTACTTTTTTAAGTTAATGTTGAAATCAAGAGGATCAGCTTCATTGCACCAGGTAATCCAGTTTGGCACTGGTAAATGATATCATTGAACATAAAGAATCTAATGGTCTAACGGCTTGGTCATCTGGTCAGAACATAATAAAATGAGCCAGCAGCTAGAGCGTTCTACATGAGATGAGCCAGCTACAAGGCAAGAGGCTGGCCAAGAAAGAGATGGGTGGTGGGGGTAAAATAGACACTAAAGAAACACAGTTTGACATTAACACCAGCTACACAACTAGCAAAAGACAGATAACAATATCTAACTACTCTCTGCAGCCCTTTACAGCATAAGCAAAAGGATGAAAGAAGATCAATTCCATTATAACTTGGTGTTTCCCTGAAGAACGGTCCCAAATTATCGAGGCAAAAAAATATACCCTAACAGAGCCTCAGTCACGTGTCAATTGCGCACTTCTGGCGACTTAAATTGCACACTTCCGGCGTTTTCCGCCACCGCCGAGAGTATCCCCCCCCCCATTCCACTCATGGCTGTATGGTCCCCGGAAGTATGCAATTAACACGTGACTGAGGCCCTTTTAGGGTATATTTTCTGCCTCAAAAATTTGGGACCGTTATTCGGAAGATAGCCTAACTTGGTGTCTCTCTGAAGAATGGCTAGCTACCTGCTTAGAGCTTCGCACAAAGCACAAACTCCATAGCTCTATTGATAATTCCAAAGAATCTGAGTAAAACCTGCACCTATAAACTGAATGAGACATCCACATAATGATCCCATGATATTCATAGTACGAACCAAATTTCCACTAGGATTTAAATATCACAGTGGCTGGAAAAGAAGGGTATTATAAATCACGGTTTGTCTATGTGGATTTCGAGGCCCCCTTTTGGGGAAAAATTAATAGACCCTGCATTTGTTTCAAATTAGATAGATGCACCCTCCCCACACCCCCAAATGAGAATAATCGCATAAAATTTGACTAATTATGGGTGTTTCCTTCAAAGTCAGACTGCATCTGCTTAAGAGGAGAGGAACCAGCAATGTGCCTACAAATAAGCCAGATATATATAAAACAGTTGTGCATGCAGAACTCAAGTAATGGAACAAGTCTAAAGTTTACAAGTGAATGAATAACCATAATTTTCAGCTGGAGTTTACTTAACAGCTGGTGAATATGAAGAAAAAGAAGGAAAGCATGGTTGTAGGAAGAAAGGAAGGGTATTGGCCAGTACATAGATGGAATCAGGACATTGAGGGCACTTCAGGGGTAAATGTATTGATGCAAAAAAACTTCTTTGCATTCACCTGCTTTAAACTCTGGTGGAAGGTTCTGGTTGTTCCTTCACTTCTGGTCTCTAGTCCTGTTCCAGAAATTAAGTGTTGTGTGCACATCCTTTTCACAAGTCTTACTCATTTGCATTCAGAAAAGGATAGACAAATCTTTTTTTTTTTGGGATGGCCATAATGAAAGAGTGAAGAAATAGAGAAATATCAGGAAAGCCACTAGGATTATGTTATAAGAAAAAGTAGATATTGATGTAATTGATGCACGCTGAGATAAAGCAGGCAACAAATTACATAACAGGCACTGAAATTGGAAACAAATGGATCAGGTCAGCAAAGAGGTCCAGGAGAAACTATATGATGAATGCGGAAGCAAGAAGTCAGAATCAAAGGTCCCTTTACACACCAGAGGCACAACAGGCATTTCAGGCTAGACTTATATTTGTATCGACCAGTCAGCCCTGGATGGGTGATGTGGTCAATATCATGCTGGCTGCACTTACTTTTAGGCTGGATCCCATACATACAACTGACAAAGGATCGGGAGATTTTTCCGCATGCCTTATTTTACAAAGAGTTTACTGTATTATGATGATTTCATGTAACATTGTTTTACTTTCTTTTGTCTTCCTTATCAGTAGTTGTCTTGTCTTTATTATCACTTCCTTTTTTCCGTTACACTTTATTCCTTGTCTCTCTACTTATGTAGCATCCGTTATCATTGTTATCAATACCCACTAGGAGCCCAAGGTCGGGAAGTTGTCCTACTGGGCGACAAAGAGGTGGATTATGACAAAAACTTCAGGCTGTACCTTAACACCAAACTCTCCAACCCCAAGTTTGGACCCAATGTCTTTGGCAGGGCTATGGTCATCAACTACACAGTCACACTCATGGTAAGTCAACCATCTTGTGCCTCTTTTGTTCTGTTCTTGGAGAATACCATGTTGTTGCATTGGATCCAGACAGGAATGGGGAATAAGGGAGATAATTGTTGCAGACTGCTTGAGAACTGTGAGTCTTGAGAAAGAGTACATTAAATTGGCAACAATGGTCCTGAAATCCCATGCTATCATTGGTAAAAACTTTTTTCAATGTGCGCAGGTCTTGCCAGTCACTTTCACCAACCCCATGGGCTGTGATTTCTATGCCTCCATATAGCAGAGAATAACACTGTCCTCTGAAAAAATGGAAAGGTACTAGCAACAACAGAGAATTATTAAAATTGGTTCATGTCTTAAAGCTTTCTGTCACAGGTTTCACACAAGATGTCCATTAGTATATTGCTTTCAAAGATGCTAAATATTTACACAGTTGTGACCAAAGGGGAATTTAAATCTCTGCATCATGCTCTCATCATCACCTCGTGCCGTTTAATTTATGTAGGGCTGACAATTAACTTCTCCCAGTCTATTCTATTCTGTTCACTCATTTTGATACTGTGCATGGAATTAAATTTTGCACATCTCTTTTTGCACATCTGGCCTCCCTCATTAATGTTTGTTATAGGGTTTCTTTTAGATATCCTTCTTCAGTCCATTTATTTTACATTTCAGTGCCTTATTTTCCCTGAGTAAGTTCCAAGGCTCCATATGGGTGGGGGGAGGGGGGTAGACCCATTGCAATTGAACATACAGACCAAAAGACTAATTAAGAGTTTTCCTAAATCTGGAAAGGTGTAGATATTGCAGTCTTACTATAAACAAACATACGAGATCGAGTGAATAATGACACTGTCAGACAAATTGTGGGAATGACACCTTGTACTAGATTCATCGAGAAACAGCAGATCAAGTTGTTTGGCCATCTTGTTAGAATGCGGCAAGATCAAATACCATCACAAGCACTAAATCTCAGAAGATCAGCTACAAGAGGATGGAAAATGTGGATCGACAACATTAAAGACACTCACGTAGCCTGTGGCAGTGAGCATGCATTTGATCGCAAACTATTCCTCTCCATGATGCTTAATGGCAGAAGTGGTTTATGATGATGATGACTATAAACAACATAACAATATGCCAGATGCCTTTTTTGAGGGCAAAAGAATAACAATGCATGTTTTGTGATTCATTCTTTGCTTCAGAATGTTTCAATGTATTGACTTATTTTTTTTTTTTCTAACAGCTAATGTTAGTGGATGTCTAGATATTTAGTGATTACTTTTTTTTTCTCATTTATTGAATTCATCCCATTAATGTTCATCAATTTTCTCAGAGTTTGTATTTAAATACATTTAACTTTTATTCCATAACTTTAGTGGTTCTTCCAAGTTCACTGCAATATGTTATAATTAAAATATAAAAAAAGTAAAGTAAAGTAAAAGACCCTTTTCCACGTCTTAAGGCGTATAGGGCATATAGGGCTTGCCCTATATTTTTATAGACCAATCAGCACAAGATGGGTGATGTGGTCAGTATCACGCCGGCCGCTTTCACTTTCCTGGGACTGCATCTGTTACCCATTCAAGGCTGGGTCGACCTGGGAGCCAAGGTCATTTCTGAAAAAAGTCCGGCTCTGCCAGGGAGCGAACCCACAACCTTCCTATTCATGGTGAGTGTCAAGCCGCTCGGCCACGGCGACTCCCATAATTGAAATGATACAATTAAACATGTCCCTCTGTTGTAGAACTGTATAATTTTGTATTCCATATTTTGTTAAAGCTTTCAAAAGGTGATGTTGTTTTGCCAGTGTGTTTCATAATTTCACATTAGTCCCAGTCAACCTCACCTAACTCTTTGTAACTGAGTCAACAAGTTGCAAGTGAACATTTATTACAGGGATTAGAAGATCAGCTGCTGAGTGTGATTGTTGGTTATGAGAAGAGAGAGCTGGAGGAGCAGAGGGAAAGCCTGATTCAAGAGACAAGGTCAGTGTTTTTTGAAGATTGTCATTGAAATTATTTTCTTTAAGGATTCACATTTATAAGCAAAAATATTCAAGATGTGTGCAAAGAAGAGGTTGTTAGTACAGTATTCTCAAGAATGTGTTGTTTGTTAAAAGACACATCTATACTGTCACCTTGCCTTTTCATTACTCTTTGACACACCTGTCTCTTCACTCTATCATTATCTCTGTGTGGGTTCCAGGGCCCTATATTAGAGAAAACAAGAATAGACCCACTGCCTACCCAAAAGTATGTCGTAAGAGTCGACTAATTGGGAGCTTCCTTCTAAGTCGGAGTGCCTCTGCCTGAGAGGCAAGGAACCAGCAGTCTGCATACAAATGAGTCAGATCTGTCAAATGGATGCACATGCAACACTCAGGTTCTGGAACAGGACTGCAGCCCAGAAGTGGACGAACAACCAGAACTTTTCACCAGAGTTTACTGCTGGTGAATACAAAGAAGGAGAAGAAGAAGATCATTACTAATGGAACTGTTTGTGGGTGAATTTCTGTCTAGGCATTTACTTTATGTTTGTTGTCAATCAATTATTTTCAGGGTCACTCTACTTCTTCTTCTTAGCATTCGTCGGCTGTCAACTCTGTGAACAGTTCTGGTTGTCATACACTTCTGGACTTTGGTCTTGTTTTGTGTCCATTTTACATGTCTTGTTTGTTTGCAGACAAATGTACTCTGACTAAGAAGTTTGTTTGTAGACAAATGTACTCTGACTAAGAAGTTTGTTTGCAGACAAATGTACTCTGACTAAGATGTTTGTTTGCAGACAAATGTACTCTGACTAAGATGTTTGTTTGCAGACAAATGTACTCTGACTAAGAAGTTTGTTTGCAGACAAATGTACTCTGACTAAGATGTTTGTTTGCAGACAAATGTACTCTGACTAAGAAGTTTGTTTGCAGACAAATGTACTCTGACTAAGATGTTTGTTTGCAGACAAATGTACTCTGACTAAGATGTTTGTTTGCAGACAAATGTACTCTGACTAAGATGTTTGTTTGCAGACAAATGTACTCTAAGATGTTTGTTTGCAGACAAATGTACTCTGACTAAGAAGAAAGTACCCCTAATTAGTGGATTTTTACAACATGCTTGTTAGAGAACAGTGAGCCTATTCCTCCATCCTGCCTTAAAAATTGGGCCCCAGAGCCAAAACAGGGGCATTCTCATTCGGGAAATCACAGGGACATTCTCCTTCAGGGAGCCAAAGGGACATTCTCCTTCAGGAAATAACAGGTACATTCTCCTTCAGGGAACCACAGGTACATTCTCATTCAGGCAACCACAGGGACATTCTCCTTCAGGGAACCACAGGGACATTCTCCTTCATGAAATCACAGGGACATTTTCCTCCAGGAGACCACAGGGACATTCTCCTTCAGGAAATCACAGGGACATTTTCCTCCAGGAGACCACAGGGACATTCTCTTTCAGGAAACCACATCCCGGCAGATTTCACTGATGTGCTCATTTTATTCTTTTTTTTTTATCAAGATTGTCTCTGCATTTCTTTTCACTTCAGTTTACTTTTTTTTTTTTCTTAGTACCAGATGGTCAGTACTTAACTCTTTTAGAACAAGAAGATACCTGAAGAAGAAGAGAAGGAAGAAATAATCACTGTGGAGAATTATGAATGCATTTGTTTCAAATTAGCTGGATGCACAGTGACCACTATGGAAACAAGATTTTTGTTTGTGTTTTTTAAATGGGAAACAGATCAAGAATATTTAGCTGTGTGTTAGGATTTGAAGGGGACTGCATCACACATCATGTATTGCTTGGGAGTGAATGAGTAACTACTTACTATCATTAAGTACTTTGAAATGACATTCTATGTGTCTTGATGAGCTAAAAGTCATATAAAAAAGGTCAAACTGAGTTATAAAAAAAATAATAGATACAGTGAATTAATACATTAGAATGTAATAGAAATAGTAATGAAATAAAACCATGTATTTAGTAATCAACAAATGTATGGGTAGCTGCCTGGTGCCAAAAGAGTTCAAGATAGCTTGCACTGAATTTTCCTTATCTTGCGACATGTGGCTTTTGCTTGCACTATTCTGCACGTAACTTCTATAATTTATCTTCAGTTTGTATGTAATGTATGTAAGTTGTACCCCACCAGGACATCACACAAGGGATAAACACCCGGTGACACAAAGTGCCACCACGCGGATGAGGATCACCCGTGGAGAGGTCCCTAAAACCGTGTCCAGACATTTGGCCATATTTCTGGCCTGGCTTTTTTTAAGGGCACCCAGAAAAAAGCCAGGGTGTGGTTTCAAAATAGCTAAAAATTGCATCACACAAGAGGATGACGAGATGCTTTTTCTTTAATCTGTCTTCCATCTGCTATTCCAAACATCCCATATACTTTACCATTTTGACCAGCCTTACCTGCCCAGGACTGCAGGTTATACTAAGCTGGTGTGGGCATTATGGGTGTCCTATAATAACTTCTTTGGGGGTTGAATGGGGAATCTAGGTTGCACTATAATTCTTTAGTCTCAGTCAGACTTTCAGGTCTTGTTGGTCTGCCACCCAGACTTAAATCTTCAAATCTCAGGGTGTCTAACTTTTCAGGTACTATCATGGAGGCAATAAACAAGAGAGAGAGAGAGAGAGAGAGAGAGAGAGAGAGAGAGAGAGAGAGAGAGAGAGAGAGAGAGAGAGAGAGAGAGAGAGAGAGAGAGAGAGAGACATACACACCCCCACACACACACACACAAACACACATTATATTGACTTCCTTCAGACTAGCCCTGTTTATTTTAATATTGCCTTTTAGAGAACATTATTTTCTTTGTAATTATCATACATTTTCAACAGTTCAGACTTACAATTTTATTATTTAATTTTGACTGTTTACTATTTTTTTTAAATAAACCTATACATTGCAATCTCAAAACGATACCATCAGAATAGTGCAGGTTGTTTACATTAGGCAGTACAAATCAAGGTACAATTATTTCTAAATTAGATGCTGCCATTGGAATGTGAAGTTTTAGGCCTTTACATATTTTCATCTTCTTATTGTCAAAGCTGTGTGGCATTTGTAGTTTTGTCTATCAACAACCTTCAGTTTTGTGTACTTTCCGTCAGTTCCGACACAGATGATTTTTCATGTCATAATGTCAGACTGTCCAGCATCTCTCTGTCTTCCTCTGCTCTGTTCCTCTCCAGCTTTCCACCGTCACTGATGTCTGGTCATTTTTACTTTAAACATATTAAGAGTAAGCAAAAGAAAGCCATACTGAGGGTTATTATTGCTCTTTATTATAGTCACAGACATAGGAGATGAAGTGAAAAATTCCATTTCTTGTTGCCTTACCTTTCACAGACAGTTCTAAAAATTGTCTGGTACTCATTTTGTTTGTGGACCCCAGTTGTACTCATCAAATAACATACTGCCATATCTAGGCATTGAACTTGCACCACCAATGCATATCTTTTATATCTTTTAAATCTTTTAGTATTAAGGTGTGCAGGTAGGATGTCCATGTGCTGTGTGTATGGGTGAATGTCTTTATGCTTGGAACTGCAGGTCATCAGTGTTGGGGTTGGCTAGCTCTTAATTGGAAAAGTGAAAAGTGAAAATCAGCAGCCTGCCATCAACTTGTAGGACACTAAAATCAACCCAACCTTCAAACAGTGCCTACTAAAAACTAAGGTTTTCTCAGGCTAATGGTGCTGTGGCTCACCAGACAGGATGGAATCAATTTATTAAACATTCCCTAAAATTCTTACAGGCTCAGCTAGCTGGTAATGAATAAAAGCATGTTGAAAAAACACACAAAAAGAATATAAATGTGTTATACATAACACACACCAAAGCTTGCCCCAATACCTTTATAAAATTTTACCTGAAAGGCAGAACTGGACTGGAGAGGAGGGAGGGGGTTGGGGAAAAGGGGGGGGGGGTGCCAGACAACTTGGCACATTCATTAGTTATAGTTTTATTAAGTACACTTTCCTTTACTCTTTGTGCTCTGTTCTTCTGTTATGTTAACCTATCCCATCTCAGTTGTTACTGTTAGGCCTTCTAACCTAAAGCTGTATTTTTAGTTTTATAAGAATACAAATTGTAACTCTAAGTTCGAAAAAAAATTGGTAAACATATTATGGAGGTAACTACTACGTAGCACTGCAAGACTTAATAATGCATACCATGGCCAGAACTGTCTGTGAACATGTCCTTTCTTTCCTGCCTTGCAGTTTCAATAAGAAGCTTCTGTACGACCTGGAAGATTCACTACTGAGAGAACTGGCACAGTCAAAAGGAAACATGCTGGACAATGAGGACCTTGTGGAGACCCTAGAGTCTACCAAAACAAAAGCCTCTGAGGCATGTGCATTTGTTTTTTTTCCTTGTCACTTTATTGTGATTTTAGAGTTTTCTAATGCCATAATGATTCCAGGATTGGTAGTGTTTAGTTGATGCTGGCGTTGGATAGGACACACATTGAGAAAGCCTGAGAACAATATAACTAGAATGTCTTTGCACTGGAACCCACAGGGACATAAAAATGAAAGCAGAAGAAAAAACACATAGAGAAGGGAACAAACAAAAGTGTGCAGAAGAAGAAGTGGAAGAAGCAAATGTATACAATGGGCAACCAGGTTAGTAATTAAATATTTAAGAAATTATGGTCATCTTAATTCAACCCCCACTCCCATTTTTTATTTTTTTATTTTTTTATTTATTTATTTCTAAAACGAATTAATAAGAGAAGTTCATGAATGTGACATCCATGTAAATGAGAAGATTCTCAATTGAACTGTCATGAGTACCTTGAAGAATTCATATCTGGCTCAAGATGCCTTGCAGAGATGAGAACAAGAATCACCAAAAGTAGTGTATGTCAAGATAGAAAGTATTCCACTAAAAAGATGTCAATTTTGGTAAGAAAAAAATTGTGAAACTGGAAACAGTGGCTTACTTGAAATAGTGAAACAGTTGACAT